TGTGTCTTGCCGACTCGCCTTCATTCGACCATCTACCTTGGAAACCTTGTCCAGCTGTCGAAGCACTACCCAGTTACACAACAGAATTTAGTTGTCGCACTGTCGTTGGCCGACGTGGGGTAAATCGATGAGACCGCTTAGCACCGCTTAGACAACCGATTAAGACGGTCAGTAATGTTCTATATCCACATATTTACCGTATTAGGTACAGTTGTGACAAGTTAAATTATATTGCTGCAATATGTATTATTGTGTAATACCTCTACTATCGCGCCGTAGTGGGATTGAGAAAGTGGCTATTAGCTGGCATGAACTGACACTACCTGGCATTAAACTGACATAGCTGGCAGAAGTCGCGAGCTGTCAGTTGCCACAAGTAGGTTAGGAGGTAGGTACCTAACCTAACACGAACATGTACATAAATTCACGCGGGTACAACAGACAGGTACCTCCGCTATCGTGGCGTCTACCTCACACTAAAGCCTTCCCAGAGTTGAAAGTTCCCAGATTTTAGTGCAAGTGCCGCAAGTCCGTGCCAACCCTTCCGTGTATGTATGTATTAGGTACATTTTTACTTTGGATCTTACCGTACTTTAGGGCCGTCTAGGTCCGTCTCCACACGGAGCCACCCCCTAAGATTCTTCTTCTCTCATCTTAGCCTTCTAAATTCCCCTGCCTCACTTCCACCGCCAACCCCCCTCCCCCCCAGCTGCAGAAAACCTAGGCAGCTGGGCCACCCCGAAGGTTTGCTAAACAATCTGAATGGATCTAAATAGACCAACCACTTACACGCAGCTAAATCTCGTCCCTCATTTTTGGCGGGTGTGTACAACACACAAGGCGACCATGATGATGACGATGCCACAGCATATGCATACCCCGTCACGGAGACAAGGTCGAAAGCCTGTAACTGGCCAGCCCGGTAAGGCCCTGTCAATGCTGGCAATACGGAAATAGTCATCCTCCCTCTCTAACTGTTCTCCTGTTCGTCCTGGTTGTTTCTGGTGCGTCCTGGTAAATAACCATGAGGTCTCTTATCAAATCTTCCCCCTGGTCATACTATAACACAGCTCGAGTCCTTCTTTGCCCCGCGGCTACACACCGAAAATAGCTCGAACACAGTATGGCAAATATGACGAGGACAGTCTATCAATGTCTCCAATGTCTCTGTCTCGTCTACGTTTCTAAGAGATACATTTTCTGATTGTCCTTCCTCGGCTCTTCACATTTGACAGCAACGCGCAAACGGCGCAAAAAAGGGGGGCTGCAGCCAATCATCCAAACAGGCATTGGCAAGCAAAAAGCTAACCAAGGAAAATACCGGCACCTTTTGATAAGAGACGGGGAGAAGAGCGGAAGAGACCAGATACTCTCTCTTTTCTTTTCCTGTCAGGTATCAACGGCAGCATCGTTCAAACGAAGCACTCTTCGCGTTACGGGATGCAGGAATCCATCGTCATCTCACTCAGCCAAAAATCCAGAAATCCGCAAACTCTCCGACATTGCCTAGTGGCCCCGGCGGCCTTCTTAGTGGTAAAAGACGGCTCCCGGCTGGGCAGAGAAACGATGAGTTGGCCCTGCATACTGCGTCGCTAGGCTTCGCTTCTTCGCTTCTTTGCCTTCCATGCCTCTCATTTTTATTTTTATTTTCTTCTCATCTTACCTAAATCGTTACCCTGCCCTGGCGGTCCAAGGCTGCATCGCCCGAGACGGCGGTCAACGTTGCAGATCCCATCGTAGCCTTTTGGAATATTTCCCGCCGGCGGCTCGCTAATAAAAAATGAAACATATGTTGATAACCCTACTAACTCGCAATATCTTACAGCGGTCCCGCGAATGAGGCCTTGTATAGCCCTTGGACAAGCCTTTGAGCAACCCTTGGAGACCTACAGCTCGTCCAATCCCAATCGTCCACGCGCGTGCCATGCAGACCGACTCCTGCCAACGCATCCAAGCATCCAATTGCCTCCTGGGTGTCCACATATTCCATTTAACGCGTCCACGACGCCCGCTCTTCCTGATTTCTATTTCTTTTTTTTCCCTTTTCTTCCTCGCCCCCGACCAATCGCCTCCGGTCTGTTTTCACAACCACCGGACGACGGTTGGCTAGCAATAGTAATAGTCCGTTTGCGGCCTATTCATGGTCTTTCAACCCATTGGACACCCGGCTGCAATGCATGATGACCAGCGGCTGATTAAAACTCGACATCGGGCAACCATGGACAGGGTTTCGGGCAGAGTCGTGTCCAAGATGTCTTGAGGTTTCCCAATGCGGCCCAACTAAATCCCACCCGCTTTCTTTTCTGGCTGGGAACCATGCGATGCTAATATGCTCAGCTATCCGATTCCTCCATTCAGCCTTGTACAGATCTCGTCGATGCACGTCAGTTACACCATCCCGGCGCCCAGTGGAGCCTCATACATAGTAAAAGAACGCGTTCGTCTGAACTTTAGATCCTTATTATAGGAGGTTTCATATGCATATACGTAACAGCCAACCGTTATTCGAGAAAGATGGTCTATACTGCCTAACTTGGTAATGGACTTCCTCGATCCATCTTATCCCATGGGTGGAGCATATTAGAACGTCGTTCGTAGTGTATAGACTTTTCTCGATAATCAAGAATTCCGAGGTCTAATCACGCCAATTAGGAGAGACGGTTTCAACCAGTCATACATGTGCCGCATTGCAGGTTTCTCTAGCTGGGCCGAGTAGGCATGTTCCGAAACAACTCCAACATATAAGTATGAAAGGAGAAGAAGCAACATTTCGGCAGGCTACAGAGTGGGACTACGCATAACAGAGAGCTCATCACTCACCTTTGAGTCAGCTTACAGATCGTTCCAGGGTTATAGATTCGGGAAGACCCACAGTCTATGAATAACACGAGCTTGCGAGCTTGACCGGCCAAGCGATTTTTGCGATCCACGGATGATGCTCACGATACACCGATACACCGATGCACCCTATATCCGAAGCAGGATTCAGACATCGTCACGGTGCATACTTCGATCTGCGCTCGCTTGCTGGCAGTCTAGGCTCTAGAAGACATCTTGGGCAGTCATCGAAAGTCTATACAGTTTAGTTAAGCAGCTATAGTAAAATAGAACCAGATAGAACTGAGCTTTCCAGTATGCCTACAACGTGGTCATATGCATACCCCGTACTATAGCCCCTGGCAGATACCCACATCGACCCTACGTATGTCATTTTGTACCCTTTATAGCTATAGAGCCCAACTAGACCTTCCCTAGCCCACGGTATCGTTGGCCTATGCGGACCAGTTTGTGAAACTGAGCTCCTCCGGAACATGTAGCCAGCCGCTGTCAGCGTGGAGCCGTGTCACGCCTAAGAGGAATGAAGTATAGTAGAGGTACTGACGATGAGTTCAGGCCAATTCTACATGTGTTGCGCATATATTCCTATACGTACCCCAGTTGGAACTGGCACTATGGAAGGCCTATCTACAATAGGTTATTAGTAATTCAAGAGTCACAGCCAGCATGCGCCGGGAGCTATGACACGTCGTACTATTGCATGTTGAAGACCGGCGTCCGTTCCGTCTATAACTCTAAGAGGATAAACGCGCGAAGGTAAGGACATAGCAACTACCCTATCAGAGAAGCTCTAATCAAGAACTCCCTCAACTCCAACAGGTGGGTATTCCTTCTCGTTAAACAGCCTCGAAAGACAGAACCTTGGAATCGTCCCAAAGGAAAGTTGCAAGTAGATCCACTAGAATCGGAGAGAAAGAGATCATCTGGATCTAGATGGTCGCCCTAGATAGTTAGTTGTCCGGATGTCCTCGCACAGCATTGTCCTAGCCACTGGGATCGCGTCGTGGCACTGCAGACATATACCACGTAATGTATCAACATATATACCCGACCATGGCTTACTACAACTTCGTTTTCGGTACGAGCACATTATCAGACGTATCATAAAGGTCCCAGTTATCCCGACTAAGAGGCAGCGCGGAGGCCAAGGGGCGCGTAAATGGGGTCTAGACATACATATGCGGCTGCATAGTCACCGAAACACTTCAGTGACAGGCGCATGCATTGACTCTGGAAATACGGATTATCACGTAACTTTGTAGTATGCACACGCCCATAGCGATGACAGCTATGGGCGTGTACTTAGCCGTCCATAGAATTACTCTGTCAAGACTATAGACTAATCTCCTCAATCAGAGTGTAAGGCTATAATGAGGCTTAATTTTGGGGCGACATCTGCTATAGACTTGGTCCCCTCGTATCTCCTGTGATGTTATCAATGGCTACGTATACTTAGTACAAGCAGCTTTACTCTATGTTTATTGATACTATGAATACGAATGTAGCCGTAGTAGATAGTACAGCTTTGTTTAAAGCTTCTTTGTGTCGTTATTTCTTATAGTTATGATCATCGTAGACTTTAGTATAGTTGCCTTATTGAGGCTATTGTATATATACATCACTCTCTACATAATTATCATAAAGAGCTAGACACTGTCCAATTACAAGAATATTCCATAGGCATGGCTTTTCTGATGTATACTCCTTCGCCTATCTTGATATCACCTTAGTTTGACTTTGCTTTAGTAGCTTTGAATTTAATATATCGAAACTTTTGCATCGCCTCGTGAAATTATCACTCATAGAAATGAGCTTAGCCAAGAAGCATACTTAGAGTCACATCTACGCAGTTGTTTGATAGCATTCGTATAGCCGAATCATTCACCATTCTTATTCGTTGCTTCTTAGCTTAAGACTATGGCATTGGACGAATGATGTGTCGCGCTCGAACTACACCACACCAGGCATTGGACGTAGGGTCATGTATAATATTAAGGCATTTTATAACTCACCCCGAATATTGTCCCAATACCATAACCTTACGGAGAGTTACCGTGGATAGAATCGTCGGCGATTATTCCGCATCACCGTCCCCGAAGGATCTCCATGTTTCCAGCCCCAGCATTACATTGAACAGCACATGACCTATGTGGCCTAGTAGCAATGTCTATCATCATTCGGCTTTTTCATTAACAGGGTCTAGATATCTACACGTTTTATCTATCTATTTGTTCTTGCCCGTGGGGATGGCGAATAGGACAATCTTCTTATCACCACTCTCGTCATACGCCTTGTCTACGCGATAGTATCCTCTTCGCTCTAGCTGGATAATATCGTCCTGCTTAAGCTTGGCGACACCTTCGTCGCAAAACGCGTCCTCCTTCGTCGCCGTCACGGGGTTTAGGAATTGTTCTAGATCGTCCTCTTCCTCGAGCTTGTCCTTCGTGATCAGGTAGTCAAATTCCCAGAGCTCCGCATCAATAAGCTTCTGCCCCTGCGTCGAGAGCCACGTAACCTTCTTTTCGGTAGTGCGAACATCTCCCTTGAGATGTAGCTCGCATGTAATACTAGTGATTGGATCACCGCTGGCGACAGCTCTGACAAAAGCATTGCCCCATTGCATTAGAGTTATCTCCTCGCCGTCCTTGAATGACTTGGCGTCTTCCTGGTCCAGTATCAATTCTTTGCTGAAAGCTACCTTCTTAGTTCCGACGGCGGGGTTCTTAGGGTGGAGTGGCTTTTCCTCGGTACGTGGCTCGGCAGGGGTTTCGTCTCCCATAATAGCGACCTTGACGTGGTCCTTCTTGAGAATGGCGGTGTGTCGTGGTGCAACCGGGTCAATCTCCTTTTTGTTCGTGGCCCAGAAGCTAGCCCAGTCCATGGACACGACATTCCTGGACGGACCCTGCTTCAGGATGAAATCGCGGAGCGCGGCGATGGTCATACCTCGTCTGCGAATACCCCGGATGGTCGGCATTCGTGGGTCGTCCCAGCCCCAGACTCGGCCGGTATCAACTAGCTTAGCAAGCTTGCGCTTGGACAAGAAAGTTCGGATGAAATTCATACGAGCAAAGTCCCACATGTACACCTGGCGTAGCTTCAGCGTGTCGAGGAACCATTGGAACTGAGGGTTTCGATCCGTGTACTCGGTGGACCTGAGGGCGTGCGTGACACCCTCCAAGCTGTCGACGACGGGGCATGCGAGATCGTAGGTGGGGTACATCTTCCACTTGGTACCTGTGCGGTGATGCGGGTCATTGGGATTGCACCTGTAGATGACCGGGTCGCGCATAGCCTTGTTCGGGTTGTCGACCGAGATCTTTGCGCGAATACAATTCTTGAGTCCTTCCTCGGTACCATTCTTCATCGCTTCGAAGATGGCCAAGTTCTCCTCAACAGTCCTGTCTCGTCGCTTAGAAGCAATACCTTTTCCTCGCTCTTCGCGCATGGTTTCTACGTCCGTATCATCGGCATAAGCATTCCCACTCTTTATGAGGGAGAGGCAGGTGTCGTAGAGGTGATCGAAGTAGTCCGAAGTATATGTGACCACATCAGGCTTAATTCCCATAAGAGCAAGATCCTCGATGATAGCATCCTGGTATTCCTCCTTTTCTTTACTCGGGTTCGTATCGTCTAGTCTCAGGCGAAGCTTGCCATCGTAAGCTTGATGCGCAAAGTAATCGCTAAGCAACGCGGCTTTGGCGTGTCCGATGTGAAGGTATCCCCTACATTCCTAATTAGAAATTTGCTGAGTAGATATATATATGCTATAAATAGGGAATACTAACGAAGGCTCGGGGAGGAATCGAGTGACGACTCCCTTGTCGGTATCCTGTAGTGCCAGGTTATAACTCGCGCCAGCTCGACTAGCAGCTTGGATTTTGGCCTTCCGTGCTGAGTCGGCAGCCTTGACTTCGGCTTGGAACTCGGGATGGACTTGTTCGATATAGGTAAACCATCGGTGAAGGTTTGGGTATGTCCCTTTGCGGACGAAAGATACGGCAACGCGATTGTTTTTAATGGCAAGCCAGATCTTAGTGTCTAGATCGCTTAGAGAATATCCGGCAAGGTAAGTTCTCAAGGTGAGATGCTTCTCAAGTCGAATAAGGTGAGGTTCGATAGACTTGAAGTCTCCTCCTAGGGAGGTTGATACGGCAACGAGCTCGTCTGCCTTCATTTTGACGGCTACTATATGAACTCGAAGCTATTTATGACCCTAAATTTTAGGTGTAAATTTGTAGGTTGCGTATAAGTGAGTCGACTCTGCCGTTTTGAGTCAACAAGCAGACGATAGATTATGGCGGGGTCACCCCACTGACGGCATCTCTTAAAAAGTTGGGTAGAGGGGTAATTGGTCGATTAGATAGGCTGATAGGCTGATAGGCTGATAGGCTGATAGGTTGCTATCTGACGATAAGATAATAAACTTGTGGCTAGTAATAGTGCGGCACACTAGTATTGAGGCTGAAATTGTTACCCCTACCCTTGTCCTAAATTTGTTTCTGCATTATCGATTTCTAAAGCTTCATATGACTACGGTCTAACGACTGTCGGCGACTACAGAAGATCACAATGGCTTCGACGAGCCAATGCATCGCTTCGCTGGCGAGGCTAAGCCTCTCTACGTCTGTGCGTCCTGCGCATGCGACAATTCCTAGGTTTCTGGCTCCCTCGATAGTTCAAATAAGATGCAAAAGCGCCGGCACTTCGGCTATGCGGGCGCGTGAGCGAGAGAAGGAAAAGACCAAGAAGACAAAGAAGCAACAGCGATTCAAGGAATACAAATATGCCACGCCGAGCAAAGAGGAGAGGTATTCGCTATGCGATGCTATGCGGTAAGTTGTCTTATTCCATTCAAGTCTGGATCCTCCTGTTCTCGAACTCATAGGAACTACAGATATCTACGAGCCGCCGAAGTTGGCCGACCGCCATCTTCTGTTACGTACGAACTCGCTCTTAAAATAAGAACACCTAAGAACAGCCCGGTCCTTCGAAATCGGATACGTCTACCCTACCCTGTCAAGAACGACACGCAGATCGCCGTCATCTGCAAGGAAGGCAGCGGTGCTATGCACGACGCCCGTGCCGGAGGAGCTGTCGCATTCGGAGAGGAATCCCTATTTGAGCTGATCAAGGCGAACCCGAATAAGTTACCGTTCAACCGTCTTATCTGCCACGTTGATTCCGAACCGGCCCTTAAAAAGGCTGGCCTCGGCCGTATACTGGGTCCCAAGGGTCTGATGCCTAGCATTAAGACCAATACCATCACCAAGAGTGTGAAGTCCCTGATGCACGAGATGGTAGGCGCCGAGAACTACAGAGAGAGGGTGGGCGCGATCCGTATGCCTATCGGGAATATCCAATTCACACCTAACATGCTCTCTGCGAACGTCAAGGCTCTCGTGGGAGCAGTGAAGGAGAACATTTCGACTTTGGAGGACAGAGTCAAGAAGGATTTAATCGAAGTTGTGCTAACTTCCACAAATGGGCCGGGTTTTAGCTTGAACGGAGGGTTCAACTCTACCGACGAGAAGGTCCAGCCCGCACACCTGAGCACAGCCATGTAAATATCTATACCCCTTAAGGCAGGACAGTATAAAATTGTACCATATGCTTTTGTATAAGTTGGATGTTCGGGTATCTTGCTAGTATGCTCTTAGGAATAATTGTGAATCTGTGATAGTCCTCGCTTAATTAAGCGCTCTTCAATGCTTTTACAGCTTCTAGTTGAGCATCTAATAGAGAATAGATGCCCATCAGCTTCAGTAGCTTTGCCTGTCCTCTAGCGCCCGCCTTCTTAGCTTCCTTCAACGCCGTACCAAGGTCCAATAGGATCGTATTTCTACACCTTGTTAGCCTTTCTTCCGCTTTCCGTACGAAAGGCGTCTCCCTTCCAATGTCGTTGGCTAACTCGTCTACTACTGTATATTCGTTCGCCAGCTGCGTCAGTTTTGCCGTACTACTTCCCACTGCCCCCTCTAACTCATCCTCATCATCTTCGTCGTCGTCGTCGCTATCGTCGCTATCAGGTCCCGCGCTCCCGACTGCTAGTCGACCCTCGAGCGTGGATATCCTCTCATCGAGTTCTAGCATTTTCCTCCCGGTCTCTACCTCACTTCTTACGTCGGATAGGTCTCGGTTTAAGCCAGCGACTTCGGAACCCTTTTCTCTTACTCGGCCTTTGATCTCTTCGACGGCTCGGCGAAATCCTAACAGCGCCACACGGACGTCCTCAACTCTTTCCTCACCACCCTTAAGCTCGTCGCCTAGGCTTAAGAAACTGGTGTAATTCGCATTGACCAGTTCCAACAGCTCGGTGCTAATAGCAGCGCTCCGCTCCCTAAGGTCAGATCGTAGGTCTTCTAGGGTCTGATGACGGTTTGCGAGGGAGGAGAGGTATTCGGCTGGGTCGAAGTCCGGAGCGAGGAAGTCGGACCGTGGGAGAGCAGTGGGAAAGGGGAGCGGAGCATCGTCTTCGTTATCTGAAGACTCGGATGAAGAAACTAAGGCGAAGCTACGGGAGCTCAATGGTCTGGTCGATGACGGTGCCGCGAGATGGGCCATGATATCTCGAGTATCGGGGGGATTAAAAGAGCGTGCGTCGTTAGGATAAACTAGGTCTTGTATTATGAGACATGCGAGGTGTTATATTTCGGTCTGATATTGGCGACGATATGGGGTTGAGATTGGCCTGTCCCCTGACGTTGATAATATATTCCCTTCTAGGTATATAAAACGGATATAGATTATTTATCAGCCTTAAATCGCGTCCTTCGAATGTAACTTATGCAAGTAATCGGGATATAACGAGCATTAATCATCGAGGTAGCTTAGGTGCTAGTTGATGCGCATGTCACGATTGAGCTAAGCTAGACCAAAGTACCTTCGTACATGCAGAATTGACATCAAGTTGGATGATGTGGGGTAAAGTTAAAAGTTGAGGTTGCACTAAACGCCAACTCACCGAGTTCACCTTTGATGGTTTACATAATTAGGTGGAACTTACCGAATTCTCCGGTACCGGCCTGGCGGGGCTTACCTTAACAGCTTCCAGTTAATACATATTAATGGGTCCAAAGGAACTAAAGGCAACCAAAGCAACTTCGGTTAGAGCAAATTCGTAACCGGTTACACCCGAGCGTCACCAATTTCCTCTCTCATTAAATTCAACGTTCAACGTTCCTAATACAGCTATTTATACTGTACATTTAATTAATCGTTGATCGTACAGTTGGACCATAGAGACAAGAGGGTGATAAGAGGAGGCAACTAGGTAAATACGATAAGAAAAAAAAAAACAAGAATCGGATAAGAACCATATGCAAACATCCCTCCTTCCGTTAAAACGAGTTCGGAATCCGACAGGTCCGAGCAACTCCAGAAGTGGAGCGATGGTCTAATTTTTTTTTCCTTCTTGCTGCCGAGCCTTATCCTATCTTGGCCTCTCATCCCCCATGTGACATTGCTGGCTCGGATTAGGCGAGTGGACTGCGGGTTACAGGGCCCTGGCATAATCTTATCAATCTGATCAGTGATTAATGATCTCGAACCATTAACTACCGCAGTCGTCAGTCTCGGCCCCCCTCCAATAAAGTAAGTGACCTTACTTTAGTTCTTCCTTCTAGGTCAGATCACTCGATAGTGAGAGATCGTCTGCATGACCCCCCAAACCTCTTTTTACAAACCCCCCACAACCGACTGAAGAACAAAGACAGCTGTTGACTCGTAAGAAGGAACCATTCAATACTCAATACTACTTCAATCCCGGTTCGGTCAACAAATTGATTGACCAAGAACTTGCCAAACGATCATTTCGTCTACCTCATTCGTTTATTCTTTAGTCACACCTATCTCATTCCCACGAAAGGAACTCAGCCGCCAGTTCATTTTTTCTGGACTAATTGAAAGAATTACTTGGCCAAAACCCTTAAGCACAATCAAGTTGGCCCTAGTTCGGAGACCCTGAGGGCAGCCCGGCCCGCTCATTCGCGTTCAGTCCCTAGGTACATCACTGCCTGCCACCCCCAAGTTTGCTTGATTAGTGGGAGGGGGACCCTAACAAACCTCCTAACCGCTTTTCTTCTTTCTTCCCTTGAATCAAGGAATAGCAAAACGTGAAAGACATACATCGATAGAAAACTGATCTCTTCTGATATCCTTACCTATTTACCAACTCGGATACCGTCAGACTGCATCTTTGCGGAGTCGATCCCACGGAAAATCCTAAGGCTCGACGCACGTTGATGTCCGAGGTGCATTGCAGCGCTGAGTGGCACAACGAATAAGATCGACTAAATGCTTTTATTGCCTTTCTGCTCCAGAATCGGAACAACATGGCGACTTCTGCTGCTACCATGTCTTCCGCTTATCTCAACGGCCACTCCAAACCCCAACCAACCAAACTCTCTATAACCCCTATCTCAGCTGCATCTTCCCCCGCCTCAGCTGCTTCGCCCATTTCGAGCGTCTCTACGCCTACCTCAAACCATCAGCTTGCCATCAAACCCGCAGCCGCAGCCGCAGCCCTACAGGCTACCGCAATGGCTTCAAAAGCCTCGATCACCAGCAAGGAATGGGTAGTTCCTCCGAGGCCTAAGCCCGGCCGGAAGCCCGCTACGGATACGCCACCAACTAAGCGGAAGGCCCAGAACCGCGCTGCCCAGCGTGCATTTCGTGAGCGGAGAGCCGCTCGCGTGGGAGAGTTAGAGGAGCAGCTGGAAGAACAGAAGGAAGAGTACGAGCGAAATCAGCAACAGCTTACCGACCAAGTGCAGGACCTGGACGCCGAGGTGTTAACGCTACGGAACAGATGCTTGGTCTTAGAGGACTTGCTAGAGAAGGAGCGTAAGGAGCGTATCAAAGTAGCAAGCGAGCTTGAAGACCTACGACGACGATGGAGAGGAGGAGAAGATGCCAGCACATCTTCAAGACACGGAAGTTTCGCTATACAGCACGGGAGGCTACCGAATCCGCTGACCATTGCATCTCAACATCCCACACCACGAGGAAGCCTCGCTAGCAACGCATCGGATCATCGCAATTCGGCAACGGCCTTTTCAATCTCGCAAATAATCTCCCCTCCTGACTCATCGAGTCCACCTGGAGCCCTCCGAGAGTCATCGACTGACCTTGCTGGGTGTGGCAACTGTGAAATCAACGGACCTTGCGCCTGCGCTGAAGAAGTTCTTGCCGATACGGCTGTTGGATGCAACAAGTGCAGTATTGGATCCAAGTGCGAGTGTCTGGAAGCCATGGTGAAAGACCTTGCTCCGAATTCGGAATCCGAACTTAAGCGGAAGAAATCCTCCCTGTCTGTCATAGCCCCGGAAGAGAAGAGACAGAAGATACCCGAACCCTATCCTCACGAGGTCGACTTCACCGCCGCGTTCGCTAAGAAGAAGGATCCCGTCCCGGAACCAGTTATATACCAAGCCCCCACTCAGCCGACGGTGCCGCCACGAGACTCTTGCGGCTTCTGCGAAGAAGGTACCTATTGCATGTGTGCCGAAGCTGCCGCATCGCAGACGCTCCCCCCGGTATCTCAACAAGTTCAGACGCCGCCTCCTTCCGAGAATGACGTAGGCCCCCATCCGATAGAAATCACATCAACCGGCGCCGTCAAATTACCAGGTATCAATTCGCTAAGTCGCACTCCGATCCCTACAGCCCGCCCTTCCGGTGGTTGTGGCCCCAAAGGACCAGGTTCCTGCGCCCAGTGTCTAAATGATCCCAAGTCTGGTCTCTTCTGCCGCAGCCTCGCAGCAAGCTTTTCCCGCAATTCAGGTACGTCTAGCGGAGGGTGCTGCGGCGGATCCGGCGGATCCGGATGCTGCAAATCTACCGAAGCAGGAACATCCACCGATTCCCCGGCTGGCATCAACCTATCATGCGCAGAGGCGTACAAGACACTCTCTAGCCATCGTAATTTCGACAAGGCAGCTGACGAGATCGGGACTTGGTTGCCTAGACTCAAGGCCGCTCCCCTACCGGCAAATACGGCGGGAAGGCCACCCATCGAGGTCCAAGTAGCCAGCATTATGGGGGTCTTGAGAGAGTTTGACGTCCGGTTTGGAAGAGAAGCTTGATCTATTTAAACAGATTCACGGCTGCTGGGAGGTCTGGCTGCGCTACATGCGTTTAACGAGAGTATATAATGAGACATGGCGTCAACGGACCATTGCATCCTACGGTGTTGATAAGGGGAGGGGATGTGTCGAGCATTTCGGCCGTCCTTAGGGAGTGATCATATTGCATTATTGGGCGGCGGTCACATATCCACGTAATTGATAAAAGGGGGTTGGTTTCGATTTATCACAATGGTTTACAGGTAAGGAGCCCCGAGGGCTTCCTAATTCATGTACATTTTAAAATCAAGGCGTCGAGTTCGGAATAGTTCTAAACACTACTCGTATGGCATCTTCTGCGAGACTGGTTTGCGATATGGAATCTTGAATGGCAAGTTATAGCCGGGAGGCTTCTCTAGGTGTTCCGTGTAGAGTTGCCATAGATCTTATTTGTTTTCAAGCCAATAATGATTACTCGCTACATTGTCTCAATACCAGCCGTGGTCTCCTTCAAAAAGTTCTTACCAGATGTTCGGCTTATCCACTTAGGAACTCTTTGGAAGCTCTCCCTAGGTGGAATTTGGATGTTTCATCGGGCATATGAAGCCTATTGTTAATATGGCGAAATGGACGTTGGACTGAATGAATTGTATCCATTCCCTTCATAATTACCCAATTCAGGCCGCACCATAGGCTTAACAAGGCATTATGAATACAAATTCGGTAGATATAAATATATAAATATTTAGTTGTATTGATATAAAGTTAAATGTACTATAATATTAGGTGTCCACCGCCTATTTCCCTTGCTCTAGAAGTGTCCCTGCCTCTCCTAGAGATGCAATGTAATGCTGAACCCGTGTGATATCAAATACTATAGCCAATCCAAGACACCAAGTGATAGGCAGTGCCTTCTGAACGTACCCTATCATACCATGCAAGACATATTTACGGCGCTCTATAACTTTGTAGCATATCCTCCGAAGACGGCATACTACCCTGGTAGTATGACGTTTCCCACCATCTCGGCCGAGCGGCTGATGTCCATTGCTGTTTGTCACTAGTACCAGCAACACTTAAACTGGCTCAGCTTAGTTCGTGCTTGTGGCGTTGGTCTGAGCCTGTCCGTTGTCGCCAAAGCCGCAGCCGGTCTTGCCGGCTTGGGTCTGCGCGCCGAGGCCGGAGCACAAGCCAAAGCTCTGGCCTGACACTCCCGCGCAACACGTCGATGCGCAGTCTGCCGAGCTCAAGCATTCTCCGCCGATGAACTGGGTACCCTGTCCGTTGCCTACGTTCTTAGCACCAGCTGGGTCGGGCTGGAGGGGTGCCGGGATAGCGGCGACAACTTGGGGATTATTAGTGCTATGTTTGGTTGAAGAGATGCAAGATAATGTGACTTACCGGAGAGAAGGGCGAAGAGGGCGATGCGGACCATTTTGTTTATTGTTTGTTGTTTTGTTTCTTGAGATTAATTATAGCAACTCGAAGCGGTGTTTATGAAGCGAAGATGGGATGATAGGTAGGGATGAATGTTAAGCTTTACCTGAAAGTCTGTTCTTATCACATCGACTGGAGATCCCGAAGCGATCATTCCGATGTTTATATATTCAGACGATACTCCTATTCTATCTCTTCTCGAACGTTTCCCACGACTACCTCCCCTGACACCGGGTTGAGCACGGCCGTGAGGCTGAGTGCGAGTGCGGGTTGTTTCTGCTACGCCTGGGGCATCAGCTCTGGGTCCCCTTGTTTTGATACGTCGCACATCATCATTAGGCCGAACGAATGTTTATTCGCGAGGCAGATTATGAGGCAACCCCGGATTTGCAGGGTATTTCATGCTCTGCAGTGTTTAATTGATCATATGCCCAATAGCATATGGAATGGCAACGCGTCTGAAATGCTTATTGTACGCGTTTAAACCTGCCATGTATTACTTAGCGCCACGAAGGCTACACAGGTATTTGGAGAAGCCATACGTACAGATAGCCCTTAGTGTTTTGTATCTGTTCAAATGTTCTTTTACATACGATTTTACGTCGGCGTTCCTTACTTCGCCAGGTTATCTGGCCATACTACAATGACGATGTCAACTAATGGAACCTCTCACAAACCAACCAGAGGAGATTAGCGTATCCCAGATTCACCATGATATATCTTAAGGATCTTGATCTTCAAGTTAGAAACACCAAAGAAATAATCTAGGGTTTAGATGTGAGGCTTCCTAGTCAGCGATCATAACATATCTTGCTAGGGGGATTCGCAATGTTTAGATTCCGGTCAATTTTCCTTGCAGGCTGTCATATGTGGATCATAAAATGGTAGCTGCGTAGTAAACATCCCGAGTTCAGATGAAGACTCCAATTGTTGCAGCGTTAACATAGCGTGGCGACGTTTTGTAACTGAAGTTTCGAGAATTGCAAAACTCAATGCAAGCAATGATGGGATCATCGTCGAGATCAACATAAAAGCACCCTTTATTGCCGATCATTTAATAGCGCTATTACGTACATAATATAAAGCATTAAAAAATTCATAATCGGAAACTAGAAACTTTGCTCGTCTGGAGATTGCGACACTTGGGTCGGGTTCTGAAACCATTTCGTTCTTGGATGGTTCTGGTCAAACTGGCCAATCATATCTCTCCAATTGCCCCTTTTTGAACCTCGTCCATTTAATGTTTGATGACTAATCACCCCTATTATCAAAGGCAAAGAATACAAAGCTGGACTATATCTACTACGTATTCAACAAGCTGGTCGAGTCAGGACTGATATTATCACTTTTTTAACTCTAGAAAAACTACTTAGGTGCCTACTTGATACCCAGATCTTATAGAAAGCACAAGCATGCACAAGCACTTAAGACTCAATACCCCTTTTTAGAATAATACATGGTCAGATCAAAGAACATCTTGTTGTATTTTGGTTAGTGACCTCATTAAGATATGTCACCTTTGTACTATTTTATATGTTTAGTAGGTACTGATGTGGGCTTCCTTAACTAGGTACCCAAGTACCTAGTAAACGAGGAGTGAATTTGTAGAACAGTGATTGCCATGTCTGATCTTAGGTAAATCAAAAGCGCCGTAGCATGTACCGAATTAATATTCGAGCCTTACGGCAAGTAGGTACGTAGCTACATATGTATCCCAAGTCGAAGGAAGGTACGATACGGGAAAGGTTGTGATTCTACTTGTTGAATCACTTTGTAGATACCTTGGATACGGGATCACCGCGGGGTGGGATCAGTACCTGACCGGCAAACAACAGAAATCAGCCAATTGACGGGCCGAAAGTATTAAATCATTAATTCGTTCTTTCCAATCGACACATTTTAGGGACGTGATTACCTAGGATATGTCAAGATCAGGCATCAACTTGAAATCAGTACGGCGCACATCTCAACACCGCCAAATATAAATACAAGTCGATGCCCACACAGTTTTCTCCCATCATCTTCCACCATCTTAACTATTCATTACTACAACCATAACACCTAACACTACAATAATTATCAACCCTTACCTATAAATAACAATACTTTAATACCCACCACACTACCAACCACCATGCTAAAGTTGTACCAAAAATCGGTATCACCTAGCAGGTGTTATCCAAAAGACAGCTTCCAAGTCATGGGGGTTCGAGCCTAAGCAGCAGCAAAGGAACGGTCCTCCGTTTCCAAGTCTCAGGCCGGGTCTTGAAAGATGACAACACAACATCATAACTTAACCTTACCAATAAAGAACCCCCTGAAGATGATACAGAGACTGGATGTTGCAAGTCGCTCACCATCAGCCACGTGTCCAACAATCAAAGAGCAGCAACCAACAGCCAACAGCCACCAACTACGGAAGAAGTATAAGAATTAACTACCTACCTACCTATCCTACATTATACACCAGTACAAACATAACTATTCGGTGACGAGCTTGAGAGGCTAAGGGCTTTACGAAAATACCAGGGAATAGCCCGATCCCTCGTTCCCAAACATCTGGCTATTGCGTAAGTTCTTCTAAACTAATTTTTTAAACCTATCATCCTTCCATCCCATTAACCTCAATACTAACTTGATACTCTTTGTAGAGGGAAGAGAAGGATGATCTTAGGCGAAGTAGATGAGGCTGGAGTTAAAGGCCGAGATGACAATGAAGGGAACGACGAAGACAGTCTCGAACCTGGTTACAGTTTGGATTTTTCAAGATACCTACCCTTGGAAGGCTTTTCCAAATATGCCACAGATTTCATTTGTGTTCAGGCCTATGTTCGGCCGGGGGATGAACTATTTTATGTCTTTGAGTAAGTGCTACTGCTCCAATTATCGTGAAAACATTCTAACTTCCTTATAGGATGGGGTTGATCCTCAGGCGTGCCTGAGCGTCTATCTTAACACTACTCATTAACTTCTACTACTACCGATATAACTGGAAACCCACGAGCCCCTCACCTTCATTATGCCGATGTAACATACATCAATACATAACATACATATCCACCAAGTGTTATAGATAGCCTACATGCCTACTAGACATAAACAAATTCATCATCATGTCACTAAATGCTATTGTGGCTCATATGAGAAACCCCTCAGTATCTTAGCTAGTATCATATATCGCCAGCTGTAAACCAGAATTGAACCTTCTACTTGTTAACTTGTACCTTTTCCCTTAGGGGCCCTGAACCCCTCTTCAAGTGACATATTGATAAGGATGGTCTCTGTAATATTTTATTGAGCATAAGTTAATTAAGTTAGCAAGTTAAATGATTTACAGTATATGGATATCAACAAAGCTTCTTTAGCTCCGCCAGGTTGACCTAATACACAGAAGATGCAAGTAGTTAGACTCTATACTTAGAATATTCAAGTACCTATTCATTCAAAGCAAGTACGGCTATTTCTAGCCTCGAGGTTTACATCTTCTATGACGTAGTTACACTTACGATTCTTAACACTTAATGGAGACTCACTCCTTTATGCATTGTCCCGATTAGACAATGCTAGGACATAGCTCCTTATTGTCATGAATAAATATTACTATTAGAAGTCGCCGACCTCAGTCTAAACTAAAATGAGCCGATAGCGACGCCATTTAATTTGTTACAAAAGTATAGAACGGAGTAAAAGAGTGCTGAAAGGGCTATGTCAAGGGTCAGTATCGCATAAACACGCGTGACATCATTTTACTTAAAGTCCCAAGACAATTAGACAATAGGGTATTATACGCCGTAAGGGCATCTAAACAAACAACCAGTTGGTGGATTCCGTACTTAACCTCTTTATCACGGCACCAATTTAAGAAAGAGAATATGCGCTACCTGGAAGTCTTTAGAAACAACACGCCTTATTATATAAATCTCTCCAATCGCAATCATCTTATATTTTATCTCTTCTTATCCGTCCAATCCCCAGCATGATCTAGAGCTATACCGCTTACACGGAAACTTCACAGCTAGCCAACACAAAAACCGTATCTCTACGGGCAGGTCTTAGGTATAATCTTCTACGTACTACGATCGGACAAGATGCCGACCTTCGTAACGCACGAGATGTATACCTGCTCGCATACAGTAGAGACGGTCCATCGAAGTTTCGGCATCGATAGCAGCTTTAGGCTAGAATGGATCCCGGTCCAGTCAATTTGCCCGTTGTGTTTCTGCAAGTCGCTCCTCGACAACTCTTACGAGCTCGAATTGGATGACGACGACGATGAAGATCGTCGCCGTATTCTAAAGAATCTGCTGCATCCGTACAAGCGACAGCTCACTAAGCACCTACAGGTGTTGGTGGAGAACAAGCGGTGTGCGATGTCCGGAATCCGCAGCAGATATTCGGGTTTAAAGCAGATACGAGTGTTGGAGAAGTTAAGCCGTATGGCTTTGACGCCCACAAGCCTAGGTGAGTTCCAGGCTGCACTCCAAGCTCTTATTAACTTCCAAGAGGGTGAGCCTCGTTACCCCACGTACGTCCAGCTGTTAGGAAACGCTATGACTATCAGGCTCGTATAGTCGTAGGCAAGGCCCTTCATAGTTAGGAAGAGGGAAGCCAGGTCAAATATAGTATAGCTCGTCATTTATTAGTCTTGTAACCTATACACTATCTATCATGCATTCTTATGTTCTATATATATAATAAAGGGGTTCTTATTATGCGAAACACATTAATCGTATTGTTTATCTGATCTGGATTCGTGAATCAGGATATTCGTCAAGCCTTCATTGTACTAGGGCATGGGCATCGCGCTAAGTAATTCGCCCTCGTGTATGCTTCCTCCAACTGGTCAGACTTGTTCCTCAAGCTGACCGTCCAGGCTTCAAACCCAACCCGAGTGAAGCCAATTCATAATGCTAGTAGCGGTAAGATCTCATACTACTAGGGGTATATAATTAAATACATCCGCCATGCTCGTTGTAATATTGAATAAAAATCAACAATTCAAAAGTGCCGTGCTCATGTCTCGCCATGGTAAAGCATATGCTTGCATATATCGAGCCGACCGCATGCTTCTTTGAGTAGTTCAGAAGGTGACTCGGATGTAAGAGTACCTATAGTGTCGAGCAGGTTTGGCAATCCATCTTGAAGATTCGCCTGAAGGTTTGTCGTCGAAGTATCGAGTTCTGACAGTTTAGTCACTTTACAGAGGTAGTCAAAAGCCCCTGTTGTAGTACGCTGCAATTGCTGCGGGAATGGTCGGAGGGTATTAGATTGATCTCTCGATTGAGTAAGTGCTCGTACGAAAGACCAGATGCTTAAAGTAGCATAATACATAATCCACGGCCGATGAGGATCGGGGTCTCGTCGACACGAGTATTGTATGCCATAGGTATCGATGGGGGTATTCGCGTAGCCATTGTTCCTCTTCTGACGAGGGTCCAAGAGAATACGATGAAGAAGCTTAAAAGCATGGAGTATTGCGTGGCGGGTGGTTATTTGATTTGACCACAGCGACATTCGCGTCACGACGTTAGTGTAGTCTCGAGTTGAAATTTTGCGGCCGAGTAACCGCTTAGCCCCCGTGTAGACTTGACAGTCAACAATGTCGATGTACAGGCTAATATGGGCAAGATGGTATAGAACAGACGCACTCTGGATGAGTCCGTTAGAATGAGCTTGTGGTCCAGGGCCATCCGACTCAGAGTCACTTGAGCCGATAGCCTGGTCGAAACTGGTCTTCCAATCGTCAAATGCTTTCAGGAGCATATTGCACCACTTATCCCTCGTGTCCGAAGAACTAGCTCCCAGCTCAAGCCACTTTAGATGAGTATCGCGATGTCTGAGGTGCCAGCCGACGCTTAGAAGGCCACACATGATAATCATGCGACCAAACGCGTGGGTTCGGACTTCCTTCCCGTGGATGGCACATTTCAACCCGTCTAAAAACGAGACAGGCTTGACACCGTATAATCTAAAATTCGAATCGTGATGCCGAACTATCTCGGGGCTCGACGCCGACCATAAAGACTCGTCGCAAGGTAAGGGTAGGCGTATTTCGTGAGGGGCCATATCGGCCGCATGCCCAAACATCGCAGCGTGAATGATATCCATCATGAACGCGGCGAAAACCACTCTATGCATCGATTCCATCCTAGCCCATTTCACCCACCACGTCCTCGCATCTGACGTCGCAGGGGGCTCGGTTCCGTTCCCCTCGTCAGATGGCGAGTCAGCTCCAGCTCCTCCAATTAAGGGGCTACCTCGCCTAAGCAACGTTAGGGTTACCGAGTGGTAGACGTGTGCTCTCTCGTGAAGGATCCTAGATGAGTACATCTTTTCGTAAAATTCCACTAAGAGTAAGGCCTGGGCGACCCAGAGTTCGACCGGGGGAGACGCTTCGTCGGCGGTCAATATTTCGAAACGAACGTTAGAGATAATGAGGTCAGCCAACGCTTTATATTCCGGCATTTCCCGGCTAGATTCGCGGCTGTAGATCTGAGCGGCGCCCAAGGCAATCATTACTAAGAGAAGGAGGATGGAGCATTGCGCTGAAGAGAATGTTGGCTGATGAACGATAGGAAGTCTCGGCGATACAAAGTCCCAATAATGCCGCATGCAATCTCGCAGAAATTCCAAGCTTAGACCTGGTATATCGTCGCTAGTTTCATGCATCAAGTTAGCTAACTTAGAGTCGAACCTGTTCTGTTTCTGATGAAACAGTTTAACATAGCGTAGGACATCTACGCGGCGATACTCGGAAATAAGCTCGTCGGGCATGTCAGGATGTCGTGGGGGTGTAAGATCAAGTTGGGACCGACTAGTAAGGGATTCGTGATCGTAATGGATGTTGTTATTGAATGGCGACTCCAGCCCGCCTTCAAGAAATGGGATGCTGGCGAAACTAAAGTCTCGATACGTCTGTTGAGGGTCAAACAACCAGACACCAAAGTTTTCACGAATCTCTAGTTCGTTCGCATCAGTCGGCACAGGTACGTTATGATAAGGAACGAATGTGGAATGGTCATGCATGGGTGGTTGTTCACGACCGTAGAAGCCAGGCTTCTGACGAATGATATTGACACCATCCATCGGAGATGTCCACGGGACGCTGTGCGCCAGCGGACTAGGCTGCGTAGGCGCCATAGGAGGCGGTAAAGGCGGATGTTGAGCTTGAACTGGAGAGTCAGAAGTCAAGAGCACAGCTGCATTCCGCGGGGCACTCGCGGGCTGCTGTGGAAATGTCGCCGACCGCGGCGGTCCTACAGCATTCGTAGCGATACTAGGCGAAGGCATCATAGGCATCTCCTGGGGAGATTCCTTGGTGGGCATGCTGAAACTGCTGGTACGGTTCCTCGGAATATACGAGGCCGAATGGCGTTTCTTATGACGCGCCAGCAGATCTGGCCTCACAAAAGTTTGCGTGCAGTCAGGGACATCGCACGTATATATAGTCTTGGGAGCATCTTGGATTCGCGTCAGTATTGTATTACCATCTTCGATGTGGATCCGCAACTAAGTGTAGATCTCTCTGAGCCTTACGATTCAATTGATGCCTCTGAAGATGTTCAGCTCTCGAATACATCTTGTCGCACCCGGGCCAGTTGCACGAAAACCTCCGCGGAGCTCCCTTCCGGCTCGCTCGTTTGTATGAACCCCCGCCGCCACCAGCAGCAGCATTCCCTCCTCCTCCTCCGTCTCCTGGTGATTGCTGCTGGGACTGCTGGGACGCCATTTAACCGCGACATCGCTCGTCCATAATATCGATAATATGGCAATATCGTAATATCAGAGACGTATGACTTGCATATGCGCCGAACCGTTCCGCGGGGAATCTCGAGAACTAATAGACTAAAAAAACAAGCCGGGGAGCGGAGTCGATGGGGGTCCAGCCTGGTTTTCTACAGATTTTCTACAGGAACATGATTGCGCGACATTTCCCTCCCATTTTCTCGGGACGGCTGGCTGAGATGGGAATATTCGCCAAGAAATCCGACGCGGGGGCTGCCCCCTGCCCCGAGAGCCGTGGGGGGCGTCTCCAACTCCTAATTATCCGGGGTAGAATCCCTCCTGTTGTATCCTTATGTACTAGTGTCGCGTAAGCCGTGGGGGTTTTCGAGCGTACCAACCAGGCGGTCCGTATTTTGTTGAGCCATTGGATATCATATGTCCTAGGTAACTGGTTGTTTAATATATTTATGATAATATAAAGATAATTTTTGGAATCAGTCAATAATGTTAAACAGTCCTACCGGGGTTTTGCTATGACTGATCCAATACAGAAGTTAACTATTAAGGAGATTAATTATTGAAACTCTGAACTCAGTACTTAAGTCCCAGTCTCTACCCTCGAGCAATGACACATGATTCCGTACACAAGCCATAGAGTGATCACGTGAGTAAGTCGAGATGTTCCCGCTTTGTCTTTCGAGGATAAAGAAAGCGTACAATTCTTGAAACCATTCAACTACTTAATATTCGGCTTTGATATCCTGAGAAGTTTTATGAACCTTATATACTGCTTACAAGTTAGCCGTTCAAATACTAAATTAAATTATATTCCAACTAAGTATATTCATTATCAGCTAGATAAGTAGCTTTCATGGTAAGTATAAGTTGGGAGGGTAAAATATTGCAACATGGGTTATCAACTAGGAAGTATTTAAGTAAACAAAAAAGCTTTAGAGTTGGATTTCTATAAGAAGCTTTCAGTATTCTTCTACCTAAATCCTGAAAGCGTCTTTGAAAAGTATCGCATCAAAGGATACAAAGCGTTATGACTACTTAATATCTACGCTACTTTAAATCCCAATTTTGAATGATCCAGGTTAGAAAATCGAATCATACAAACCTTGCTACCTTTTATATCGATATGCCTACCTATTTAATAGAGTTACTTTAATATAGAGAAGCCGGCCTTTACCCTTCCCACCGAGTATTTATCCCTTTCCACCTACTGAATTTATTCCAATGTTTATGACACATCATATTCAAGCCAATATAACCAAACGCTCGAATCATTTATACTGGTATAGATTCACTTGCTATAATGACTTGGTATTATAGCCCCCTTGCCTTGTTGGTCGCTCCGGTCAAATATCTTCTCAATCAGATGAGACAACTACTTGGCGCCCGAGATAGTCCAACTCAAATTTTTGGTGGCAATTTGGCAACCCTCAGCCCTAAATATGCGAAAGATGAAGAAATATTAGCGGATATTTTACAGGAATTTCAAATGCAGACTACTGGTTTCGTTTCGATCAACGCCCATGCTTGGGATCAAGATTATAGCAAGATCACCGATATTGGAGTATGCACATGGCGTGAATATTCTTTCAAGCATGTTACAAAATCCTCCTATCATTGGAGAATTAGGGAAAATATGTCTCTGAAGAATATATACGTGCCAAATGAGCCCGACATATTTGCCTTCGGTAGCACGAAAATAATCAACGAGTTTCATATAGCACAAGTCATCGATAGTGTCCTTGAACCTTTCATTGCAGAATTTCCAAAGGTAATCGTTGTTGGATATGATATTAAATCGACGATGCACCTTCTCCATACAAAATGGAAGCCACCCGAGTCAATAGTGTTTCTTGATACACAAAAGCTATGGCAGATTAGGAACCACCATTCGGATCGTGTTGATCTCGAAAGGGCGCTTGAGACAACACCAGCTGCGAATTACGAAAGGAGACTACTACATAATGCTGGAAATAACGCAAGGTATATCCTCGAACTAATATAAAGATACAAGAAAACAATGCCTATCGGTTATATCACTATGGTATTCTATAATTAGAGAGACTGTGTCTCTTATCGACTTAGTAAGACCATTATTCCTCTATTTCCTCTCATGTTCTCAGCCTTCTGATTAATAACCTATAGTCGTTAGAGGACTGCCAACGTGGCCAAAATAGGTGGATGAAGAGTGTAGTACGTCTAGGTGGACGTCCTATTAATATTACGAAACTCCTAGAGGCTTGAAGGAATATGAGTAGTGTTATATAGGCATTTATAAGAATCAATTAGCACCTATTGTATCATTATACTCTAAAGCTGGGGAGGTCGACTGCCCATAGACTTCGGTATGTCCCGAAATATAACTTCGACTATCAGCTCAATATCCCCGAATGAATCCCGCAGATGTTGATCATCTACGTTTATAAAAGGATCCTTTTTTTCCTCCACATATGTGCTTAGCGGGGTTTTGTACATCTGCTGCAATCTCGTATGAAGTGATTGCATCTCAGCGATGCTACTGCAATTCTGAATACTTTTCTCGTATTCGTCTTCCCCAAAAAGACGGGCAAAGTCTTGTGAAGTTATCTGATTAGTGGGTCGAAGTCGTGGTTGAAACATCGTTGAATGTAACCATTTCTGCGGTAAACGATGCATATCCCAAAATACCGAGAAAAGTACAGAGAGGTCACCACTAGATATGAGTTGATGCGAGACGGTAGAAGTACCCTTAGGTTTTAATTGCGCGATGGAAATGTCTCCTAATGGGTATGCCTTTTTCAGGGAACAACTTCGAGGTATCGTTTCCCCTCCCGCAACCATTACCAATGATCCAGAGTGTGAGAGTGACGCTGGTTGTAAGACAGAAGGAACTCTTTCTAGGTGTTGTATGATTGGGGCTTGAGACACGTCTAAACTCAAGAATAAATTCGTGGGTATTATCGGCCGTAGAATGGAATATGAATTACTGAGGAATAACTTAGAGTATGGACAGTGTACCCTAAAGTAAATGTTATTCCTTGAGCGATATAAAGGAATCCAAATTTGGAATTGCCTAGAAATTTTGATTCCATCTGGCATTTTGGAATGGACTGCTTTTCGGTGGAGCTCTTTGGCACAGTTTAGTCCTGCTAGAACTACGCCCCCTACGAGTGTTTCAATAACGGGAAGGTTCATGGATATACCCAGATTTGTGATCGAGTACGGTAAGTGCCCAATTTCAACACATCCAGCTACTGAGTCACAGAGCTGAAACTCATTGGGTGATGAGGCTAAGGCGCTTGTCAGAGAAGAAGCATCGGGGTCTCGTAAATCCCATACGAGGATACTTTGGTCGTCAGAAACCTTAATAATTTCTCGTTGTAGCCTAGTAAAGGCCTTCGACCCCTCGCCATATAGCAAAGGCATATTGATATCGAAAATACCAAGAAGACAGTATGCAATGTCCTCTGGGCGCGTTGTCTGACGATCGGCTGCCCAAGACATGCGCTGAGCAATAGAGTAACTGTGCATTGTTGAACGATCCCTCAAGGCATCAATGTGAATCCTGGTGATACTCGAGATTACTTCAGCCAAGCCACTCTTATCCCCCAGCATTGTCCAACCATGATCGAAGAACAGAACCTTGCTTGGCGCAAGTAACTCCTGTAACGTCCAACCTCTTGTAAACCAACGACTTTCAGCAAACGTATCAGTCTCCGCCTGGGCATCGTGTAGGTACGCATAACACACGCTCGAGTCACGGTACCAAGCAAACATGCTATTAATAGCCTCACTAAGCTCAGCAGAGCTACTCTTGTCGATGCAATTGGTATCACACCAGAGGTATTGTAGACCGTCGGCCTGTGCGCGGCGACATGCCTCCACGATCTTAATATAGCCCTCTTTGCGCTTGACAGTGCTATCAGTGGCGGCACGCTCCCACTCCTGGAACGTCACCTCTGTGCCGCCTTTCCATGTGTGCGATAAGATGGCGTACGGCGGGGCCTTCTCGCTGAAAAACTCCTTGAGTTCGAGGGTGTTGACGTCGATTAAGCGCATAGCGAGAGCCCAAAATATGAAGGTGATGGTGATGTGGTGAGGATGCTATGGATAGTACTCTTGATTCGGGACAGGTGGTAGTGCTAGAGTAGAAGAAACTCTGGTGCTAGGAAATGCAGTAGGGTAGGAGGGAAGACGCAGTATATAGAAAAATACTTCATGAAGCTGTGATGATCAATATCATTCATCACTTACATGAGTGTCCCGCTCTTACAAAGCGAGTGGGAAAACAACAAGTGCGAAGTTACGAGTCGCAGTAGGTCGTCAACTATCGCAAGAAACACAGGTAGAATATCATGTCTCGGAACAGTTCCAAGCTCTTGATAAATTGAAAAGGCCGTTTGAAGACGCCCCAAGAGACTCCAGGACACCGCTTCGGAAACAAATTTGTATAATCGAAACGGGTATACGAACGATATGTTTTAGAAAGTCATTTAATATTCATGCCCGACGTCGCCACTGACTAGTTGTGACTTATCAACTCTACCTGAAACTTTTCTCTAGACCTGTCGAAAAGTTACATCTTCGTTAAACATTATAGGTCAACATGGGCCGCTCATACAGCATCCGGTAACCGCACAGCGATGTCCCCTGATTGAGTAATATATCTAACCCAGGGCAATGAAGGGTATTGCAGCTAGAGATGAGGTTAATACGTATGTGGTGGCGTTAGAAAAGGGGTAGCATACCTTAGGCTCTGTAATCTTCAAGTAGCGTACTTGAATACCGCTAGTTGTGAAATAGGGGATTTCAAACTTGACCTGAATGGGCCTCTTGGCGCCTTTGCCTGCACTGACACCGCCCATACTTCCACCAAAACCACCAGTCATTCCTCCTCCATGCTCGTCGTCACCTCTCACGCTAGGTAGTCCCAGCTCAGCTCGCATGAGAAACTCCTTGCCACCACCAAACTGCTTAATCTTCCATACGATGGCGCTCTGCTCAGGGGCGTAGTGAACACTACCGATATTTGTTCGGAACCGCGGGGAGTCGGCGTCGTCGGGTACCGGAACAATAATTTCGACATTGTTAGCCGTACTCCTCCTTTTAAATTGCGCCTTTGCTTTTAGCATATATTCGATTCGGGATCCTGAGTGACTCTCCACCACACATTCGACCCAGATCAGAGGCTTGACTTGGGTGTTTAATCGATAGCTCATTAGCTCAAACTCGCCGTCTGGAGGGATGAAAGAGATGGTTCGGTCGTTCTCAAAGCGAGATAATCGAACACATTGGTGAAACTTGACATCCTCCATCTCGATAGCCTTGCCTCGCGTTGTCCTTCCAGTCGTTTCGAACATGACCTTGTCGTTTAATCCCAGTCGCAACTCTGGCATTCCGGACAGATAACACTTCATCTTGATCGCACCGAGGATCTCCGACCTTAACACATTCCCGTTCGCTGATACTAATAAGTTCAAGCTTTCGACGACGTCCAAAAACACTTCGTTCTTCCTATATCTTATGCCTTCGGACCGCCATGACACGGCATTAGTGACGGCAATAGGTGGTCGAGCTTGCACTTCCAGCTTGTGCGACTCCTGGGTGATGTACTCCTGGAGAATCTTGGACTCTGTCGTTTGAGGGTAACCGAAGTCCATCATCTCATCTAGTAACTCGTATATAATGACAAAGTTGTCGCGGATGGATTCTTCTTCTAGCGCTTTAAAATACTCGGTGAAGACTTCGACCACTTTATGTAGGAAGAGTAAGATCTCGGCGGCGTTCGTGTTTCGCTTCGTTAAGGCAAGGAGGTAAAGGTTGTTATGTCGGATATATAAGTACTGCTAGCAATCAATATTGGGTATAGAAAGGCAGCTTCTGAGATACACACGTTGATGCCTTCGTGGGAGAAACATGGTGGTACGGCGGAGGACTCTTCTTCGGCTTCGCTAAGGAGGATAGGGAACTTCTCGACAGCTGACATGGGAATATCACCTCGATAGTTTCGGGCAAGTAGGGTCTATAAACGACGTGTCAGCGAGTCTACAGATATCATATCGTTGTAATAGTCGCACCTTGCCCTTCAGATCGAGGAAGAATACAGCTGATGCCATGATGTCGGTCTGGAACTTGATTCAGGGGCGCGAATAGGAAAGGGTGTCAATTGGCACTTAGGCCAGACAGCGAGCCTCAGAGATGTTCATTCAACAAATAAATTACGCGTAGTTCCTAATGCGCATATGAAGTCATAAAGTATTTCGTAGATAAAGTAGAGAAGCTCTTCGCCAAGTGAAAGATAACTATTTCGGTAGATCGCATGCCAGCTTTCGAGACCCCACGTTGCTTCAAGTTGTCGAAGACGTTCCAAGCCAAAAACTGGGTCTCATCCCTTATCAAGCCACATATACTAGCCTCACCTTAAAAGCTTAAAGCCTTAAACACCGATTAGGTGCGCTAAGCGGGTTCCGTTACCTAAAATTATGGGCATATTATAAAGTCATGTGACAAAGCGGAGTCTGCTCGAGACCCACCTAAATTTTCTTTCACGATAACTTTCCAAACACTTTTTTTCTTGTCTTCTCTCTCTTCCTTTCTTCTTCAACGCGTCCATTAGACAGTGCAGCTCATTATTTACCACACAATTAGTTCCGGCATTCTGTTGGTTTCTTACCGTGTCGTCGTTGGTGAAGCATGCGATTTCGAGGCGCGGAGAAGGATTCAATTCGATATGGTGCCATAAGAGCTGCCCGAGTATTATTTGCCGTATTGGTAACATACTGTTGCTTGGGCAGCGTCAGAGGGACCGAACATACTATTCTTAATTTTCATTTGCCTATTTCAATTGTGGGAGACCGTAGTATTACACGCGCGGCTGGACTAATAATATGTAGATGCCTTGACTCGTCAGCTCGGTTGTCATCCGCCTGACATCCTTATGAGGCACAGTTTGCAGCTGAAGTCTAGCCTAGCGTCGACGATTGAGACATTTTAGCAGAATGTTTCATGATTATTATGCTTAATTGTGAGCGGCTGATGATTAACGAGTATGATCACAGGAGATCGATATGAGTCCAGGTCTTGATTCTATGTAGTTCCGTGACGTTCGCGTTGTGATTCGACTCGAATTTGTCAGCTATTCAGTCAATTTCACTACGAGTTTTTAATTCAATTTTCATCACGTTGCATCTGCTACGCCTTTAGTCCATACGCTATATCATCTAAAGTTTCGGCTCTAGAAGCCTTGGGATTTGAGTTGAACCCAACTTAATCCCACTTAGTTGGCAGCTAATATCGTCAGTTCACTCACGCGGTCTGCAGCTGGGACCGAGGGTGCTTTGTGATGTTGGATCTACGGCAGCCCCAAGTGGAACTCGTGACTACATCGTAACAAGCGTATCCCTTGCTAACGGCTACCAGATACGGACCACGGTCATGGCCACTCAGAGCGAGCTGGAAGAATGCGTCGGATGAATCTCACGAAAACACATGTTAGGAAAGGATATGTAAGTGGCTAGACACACAGAAAAGAGCTTGAAAGGAGATATCATTTGCTCGTTCGGTGCCGGTCCTCCACAGGGCGTCGTGTCTTAGACCCCAAGGGGGAGCGAACAATTATCATATGCTTTTGTCTCTCTTTTTCCCCCTTCACAGTGCCAACAGTGACGGATCAGCCTCTACTCCTAATGGCCAAGAGGATATTAGTTGCATGTGATCACTTGGACACAATTAAACCATACAACTTAGGCTGGTTGACACGTGCTTGTACCTTCTCGAGTCGTTTTTCATCGGTAAACGTCTGCCAGTTTCGATGATCTATTGCTTTTCCGGTCTCATTATTACAGCATATGATTACGTCGGGAGTGCGTTTGATTCTTTTAGCTGTTTGGGTCTCTTTAGGCCATCGTGTTGCAGCGGGCGTCGATGAATCGATAAATTACGAAATCATACCGGCACATGTCAACGCGGCCGGGTTTACCTACGGACATATAATACATAATAGTCACTTCTCAATTTTCGTGTTCCGCCCACAAGTCGTTCTAGACGGAAGACCGGCGTGAGAAAAAGGTTGTATACAGCGGAACGATTTAAAACTCGATTGGGTAACTGGCTCGTGTGGTATATCGTAAGGTAAAGCTTTCACAAGCCGATCGGGTCTAGACAGTGCGTAATACTGTATAATAGATATGTACTTCCGTTCTATCTTTGGGGAAGCTTAGAGTGGATATATTACACCATCAAACCAATCATAATTAAGACCAACATAAGATTGACCAGTCAAAAGTCGTCATTCTCTATAGATGCTCCACTTAGACCCTGCCAGTTACCGCGTAGTAGCAGTCGATGCCCGCCTGACCAGTCGAAAATACCACTGGAAGGGCCTCGCTTGAGCAATTGCAGAATTGCTGATAGCTTTCCCGTTCTTTTGATATTTGGTAACTAACGATACTTTGGTAACCACCCCCCAAGTTCCAAGTTCCCAAGCTGCCAATGCGCAAAACCTTTTCCCGCCAATTCCCACTTCCACCCACATTCCCACCTTTTTTGTCTCTTCGCAAATTCAGGTTCACCGCGGTCCACTACTGTCCACCACGAGCACCTGCATATTGGATGGCCCGGGGACCCCATAACGCTTTTCTGGCAGACCATGGTCTCTCTCTTGATCAGACCCTGTCTCTGACATCGCTACCTATTACCTACTCTAGACTTGCCTACTCTTTCACACCGAAATCCGATCAGGCCTGACCTTTATTCACTTGTACTTACTATTATCTACCGAGACATTCATAACTACTTCTCTCACTTTCACTTTTCACTATTACCTGTCTATTATACGAACTATAGCCTTTTTTTTCATCGGTCGTGTATTTATTTTATTATTTTCTTCATATGAATGAATAATCAAGTAATTTGATTCGATAAGTCAATCGATCTTCCGACATCCACCCAACCCAACGTTCTCAACGAAACTGTTCGCCTTGTTTGTATAGTACTATATCACCTTTCGATATCGATGCGCACTCAATATACATGATACCAAGCCTCTCCGAATCAAATCCATCGCTAATGCGCAAATGATCGCCAAGTATTTCCTTTCCCCGCGACTTATCGCCAGTTAGAGTGTCTTCGAATAGAAGCGCTTTCGGATCGTGTTCCAACAGAAACCATGGAACAGCAAAATCACATGTCTCTTCCTCTGCCGCCGCATCACGATCAAAAGCATGGACTTCAACACTCAATACCTCAACACACATCACCGCCGCTAGACCCGTCGGCCGGATTATTTGGTCAATTTGATCGGACTTTTAAACTTCCACTATATCCTCCACCATCTTACACACAATCCCACGATCCTGTCGGCTTAAGGTTTCCCGATCCCCCCAAGACTGAACTCGCTCCTATTAAGTCGATAAGTTCGCCGAGTAGTGACGAGAAAGAACCCGGTAGCGACAATCATCTCCCATCTCTATCAACCTTAACAGCTTCATCCGCCCCTTTGTACACTCCGCCCCAACCCTCAGAACCGGCATATTCCCCTCCGGCGCCTCCTCCTCTTACTCATTGGCCGAGTTTAAATCCCCTAACGGCATATTATAACCCAAGCCACGCACAGAATGCCGACTCGCCTATGCGGATGGATATAGACGCAAGCAGCAGCAGTGGCGTAAGCGCCCCATCGCCAGATCGCTTCCAAGAAGGAAGAGCCAGTAGCGTTAGTTTAGACGATCCAGATGTACGCATGGCTGCTGAAGCCCTAGGCGATCTAAGAGCAGGTAAGCTATTAGTAGTCATTTTTCATATGTGATAGTTCGTTATCTCATGCGCCACCTGCATGTTTGATTGCACAATATTAATCATTAGGCAACGTTCGCAGATTTCGTGTCTTCCCCGCCGAATAATCACGCCCCGGTACCTGGTTCGCCACGCTCACAAACGAACGGTATCCATCCGGAGCCGCTCATCTCCCTATTGACTACATCGCATCCCTTACTTGCTACAACTATCGAGGGTGCCACTTCCGCCTACGTCAACTCTAAGAATTATTCGCCGAGGTTTAAGTCGAGCGCCGAGTATGTCGAGGGCTACGTGATTCCTATCGCCAACACCGTAGGGTCAGTCGGTCGCGTAACCGGCGTAGAAGGCGGTGTTCGATGGTTCCTAAGCGGTGGGAGGAGGCACAAGTCGCAAGGTTCCGATCTCGAAGCGGCAGACTTCGGTTCTAACAAGCGCCGGAGAGTCGACGGGACCGGTACCTTCAAGGAACCTACCCCGGAGCCCACGTCCGGCGCGCAAACACCGAGGGCATCCTTCGACAACTCGCGCGATCGTCGACCCTCGGTCGCAAGCACCGTAGACACCCTACCGGCATACGATGACCTTCGATCTCCACCATATGCCGAGCAGTTTGCGCCGTCTGAATCCCGCCCAAACAATGCAGCATGGCAATCCCGTCTTATCATGTCCACATCCGGACTGAGCATTGCCATGAGCGAGGAAAGCTTGCGCAGCCTCAAATACTGCCTGAGCTGGCTTCGCTGGGCTAATGTGCGCATAGGAAATGTCATCAACTCTCTAAAGTCTACTATGGAGAAGTTTGAAAGGGCCGAAAGGCAATCGGATGGTGATCATTCCATGAACGGTACGTCTACTGGCGAATTCACAGACAGGAACCAGCTCGCGGCGAAGATTGCGGACCTGAGGATGGACCTGCTCAAGACCCTTCAAGACGTCATCAACACGGTCAGCAGGTACGCCGGCGGTGCGCTACCGGAGAATGCGCGAGAACTTGTTCGACGACACCTAACGAGCTTGCCCCAAAGATTCCGAGTCGCAAGCATGGTTGGTGATGGCCAACAGGAGGGCCATCACCCCGAGGCTGACGGAGAGGCGGGACGAGAAGCGCAAGAGAAAGAGACGCGAGAAAGCGCCCAACGGGTACTGGTTCTCGCCAAGGAGGGACTCGATATGATGTCCCAAGTATCAGGGGTTCTGGATGGAACCATCGTCAGCGCCGAGGAATGGTGTGATAGGTTAGGTAGGAGGAAGCGAGAGCAGCGGGAAAGTTTGCTCGGGGTGTCTCACACACCGCAGACACCTTTAGACGAGGTAAAGATCGGGTAAATGATACGAAAATATAGTATGAAAACGTACGGCGTTCCACGGGGAAGACAAAAAAAAATGATGCACATAAAAAAACTGGTGGATTCAAAATTAGCGATGAGAAAACACTGAAGGACGAGACGAAGAGCCAAGGTCTAAATTCAGCTAATTGGCAATAGAATTCGGACCTTGGCATTGCCGGACGGGACGGCTCGCCGCTTTCCTCCCGGGGTTAACGAACTTGGTCTAACTTGACCTACAACAATTTTCTTGCTGTCAGGAATCTTGCTGGAGACGCAGCTTATACCCACGTAGCAGATAATCAAGATGCTTTCTTCACCAAGCGTTGCGGTCCTGCTTTTGCTGTCTTTTCCGCAGATTTTGTTTCTATTCGACGGGTTATACATACATACTACTAGGACGATTCTGATTTTGTGATTTCCACGAGATTTCCTATCACGGACTAACGGCATTTGATCTTCAGAGTATTCGGTCTCTGTCTGTACTTTCTTCCCTGGAGGGTAAATGGTTGGGGATTGTGTCCAAAATACTACCCGCACATACATAGCGTCATCGCATTGCCGTAGAGCCTGAATAGCTACCAGTTTATGTTGGCAGCTAGTGTTTATCTAATCTCAATTATATGTTTGACATTATGAATCTGCCTGTTTCTTTAGTTCTATTCCAACCTGAGTCTAGCCTATGTTCATAAGGTGATCATGGTGGTTTATGAGTTTTGTCGAGTATCCAGAGCGAGGGGTAGTAATTGTTGATATTGAAATCTAGGTAAGTGCAACGTTCACGTCAGCCATACACGGTGGTAATTCGCTTCGCTACTAGGTATAGCTCTCGGCCTTAGCCAGGGGTTAGTTTATCGTATGGTGGGAGTATCCTATTACCACCTAGTATATCCTTATGTCCAGAATCACTAAAGTATGCGGTTAACGATGTCGATATAAACTACACCTAGCTTAGTTCCGTCCAATCCAAGGTTCCTTAGCAGCTAGTAGATATGTACTTAATGTTCGAAGGATTATAAGCGAGTAGTATGATATGCGAGCAAGAGATTGTACGATATGAGTAGAGCAAATTTGATTGGGTAGTGTCGACAATATATAGCCTCTATTTATCACCTGGAAGTTATGGCTGTACGGCTAATCTTGTATCAACATCTGCATTCAGTGCTGCAGATATGCAGATATGCCATATGCAGCAGTGCTAGAAAGTAAAAAGAAAATGTAAAAAAGCTCGGAACCAGATTCGAACCCAGGACCTACGAAAAACTACTTTGTAAATGTCGTACTGTCAAGTCACGGGCATACCGGTCCAGCATATGACACCACGGTGCAGTTGTTCTCTAGCCTCATGTCACCCAGGGATACTTCCTTTTTACGGGGTCGGCTGATAGGTTCGCTGCTATTAGGATATATAAGTCTTACTTTCTAAGCATGTACTTTGGCAGTTGTATCACGTTGCTTAGGAGATTTGCTTCTGGCAACCATTTCGGTCCCGCATAGCGACGTCGTCAACAATGACATTGTGGTATGAGATAAGACGTCCGCACATTTTCTCAATGATGGTTGCCAGCGCATAATAGGACATTATATCAATATCATACAAAGTTAAGCCATATGATTCAAAGTCTTAACTACGCAAGGTATTAAAGAGATGAAATACTAAACAGACGGTAAGTGTTACCACAGGGTCTTTGTTGTAGGTAAGCAAACTAATGGTTGACAAAGACATTATACAAGGACGAGAGGGTACGAGCAACGGAAAATAAGCCCCATACGACATCTCGGGCTATTTTAAAGCCACGGGACGATCCCGGGTTTGATCGTCCCGTCTTTCTCCATTAAGCAATCACTTGACCTACAAGTCTTTTTCTCGAAACGATACTGGTTAAGCCATCTCTTGTTCAACAACCGTGCTGTTCGCAGCCGTATTCCGGAAATCCCCTCTTGGTTTAAGCCAATTTGGACAATGGATACCCATACGTCACCATGCTCATGCTCATGCACCACTCATCTCACGAGACGCAGAAGTATGCTGCGCAAGATTCTGGCGTTACGAAAACCAACCATAAAGCGAACTCGATCCGGAAGATGCTCAGAATGTAAGACAGCACCGCATCGTGAAGGCCAAGTCATAGATCAGCTTCCGAAGGACGTTGAACAACTCGCGGGAAGAACACATCCTCGGCAAGATGTGAGAGGATACGATGCCGGTGACATAGCGTGCCGCCTCGCGGTTATTTCGATGGTAGCTAGGTTTACCAATGGCTTGGAGCATGAAGAAGAGGTCGATCTTTCTGAGAGGGTCTATACCCAGCTCAAGATGGAGGGCAGCCCGTTGGTCGATATGAGGTGGATGGGCGGCTTGGATGATCTTCCAGATTGGGTGTTTGAGCACCTCCATACGGTTATGAAGAATCAACTCGGGTCGTCTTATAACGGTTATGACGAACCCAACGAGGAGTAAGTCTTCATTTAGTTGAACCATGAATATGGTAAGTACCCCTAGGTAGGTACGCCTTGTGTTCGTTGCCCAGTCAGGGTGATGATGTAGCATTTAAGTATTGATTTAAGTGTTAAACATATTAAGTATACCATTGGCTTACTTTTATGTGTGTTATTGGGTTTAACTCTTAATAAAGCAATTTTATTATTATTCAAATCAGTCCCGGTATTAACACACTGTCTTCAAACAAGTCTAAACAAAGATGATGGCTGGATTGAGCTAGTATACGAACATGTATAATAGTAGAAGAGGTTTAATAGTATCAAGCCTTATTATAGCACGCTTACAGTCCCGCATAGTAGCCGTCAGCCTAATACCTATCATGTCGATGGTTGAGGCTCGACTTGTACCTTCTTCGCCGGCCTCATCATAAAACTTTCAAGACGATTTCCATTGTCGAGAGGAACCGTATCCATTAGGTCAAACCCATGTTTTGCATAAAGGGGGGCTCCAGCTGGACTGGCTGCAAGGAAAGCTTCGAGACCTGCGTCGTCGGCTCTAGCTATACCCCATCTCAGCAACTGCTTACCCGCACCTTTCCCCCGAGAATCCCCTCGAACGCCTAGAATATCTAGATACCAATGCGGACGGCTCTCCATGATCTTCTTGTGCATTTCTCCTACGGTCCCGAAGAATTCTTCGGCACAGGCCAGGTCAGCATCTTTGGGCCAGCTATAGGCTGCCGGTGGTGGAGGGGAGGATTCTGTCGTGAAGAACTCGCGCCATATTCCAAATGCGATGATCCTTTCCGGCGTCGCAGAATTTGGGTCAGTCAAAACCAGGAAATGCTCGGTTGGCTTTTGCAGGCCAGAAGCCAGCGGGTCTAGCCAAAATTTTCGCACATGCTCTGGATTTGAATTGAATACTCGTCGAGTTACGGGGTGGTCCCCGAATGCATCGAAATAGACTTCAATGAGAGATGGGATGTCCGAATGAGTAGCCTCCCGTATTTTGTACGACATTTCGGTTTTGAGAAGTGAGGTATGTAACTCCAGCACTAATACTGCGTCACTGCAATGATAAAGCCGACAAGAGGAAAAGAGGTTTGGCGGGAGAGAAGAATTTGTGATAGTTGGCAATGTTCGCTGGGATAGGCTTGATTTATTGTTATCAAATCCTTCAACCGCTAATGTGTTATGTTTAATACCTCAAAGCCATCGCATAAAGTTGGATCCTAGCGGCTGTTGGTAAGCTGAAGACTTATAGACTTATCTGTATACTACGATTGAACCCGATGAACGTAGGATCTTGAGTATGACTCACCGGTGGCTTATTCCTATGACACCTTACTGGCCTATATTGTCGTTTATGCTGAGCAACCAACAGCAACAATTTCGTATTTGGTATGGTACCAAGGCGCAGCCATACGACTCGTACGATGTGAGACTATTGATAATAGATGTTGGATTCCTAACGTCGGGTTTAAACAAGGATTGCCGCGAGACGACGGACAGTAAGGGGTGGTTTACTAATCCTTAGTCCTACATCTCTCCAATAGCCTTTTGGCTACATGAATAATCTAGGTGTCAATTTCATTGAGAGAATGCGATCTCGGTGATTTCGTATGAGGAACGGATACTGCGGACCCCGCAGCAAGTTGGGGGTTCTTTGGACCGTCCAGAATACTTTACATATATTATGAACCGTATAAATTAGAAGCAAATACAAATCTTCCTATCTATACAATCACGGCCTGGAGATAATGGAACTTTGAGGTTTAAATTTATAGTACATAATCACCATAACCGCTGTGGCAAGATCTGGGGGGCCAAGTCTGATAGACAAGGGCATTTCTTGTATTGGAAGGTAAAGCTAGACTCTTAAGGCCTACTCTATAGCGTTATTCAAGACAGCAAGTAGATTGACGATCTATTCGTTTTGTGAGGGGTTTCGGTTGCACTTTGATCTAGCGTCAGTCTAAGAACTTCCCCAGATCTTCGCCAAGGTGAGAATATCCGGGCAAGGGGCTAGCTAACCTATTTAGACCCCGGCAATGCATGTATTACATAGTGCATTCTCTACTTAAACATGTGCTTGAAGCCATATATCGGTGTCCTGGTAGAGGATAAATAACTGCGTTGTTTCTAATTGGAAGATATAGGGTGGTGACGGACTAGGAAATATGGCCGGATCTTGCAGATTCCCTTCTAGGTCATGCTGATAATACCCCAAATCTAAGGTATAATGGAGTAGTGGCAACTGACTACTAAGATGCTACGTCTTTAAATGGACAAGAGAGCCCAGATAAAACTCCGAGAGGGTGTTCTTTCGTCTTAAACTTCACTATCCCCAAAGCCCCATGATGACTTGGTTCTTATTCTTAGTAGCGAACTTATCGACACTGGTCGGTAACGTTCTGTCATCGCCGCCGCCACTTGTTGAGAGGACATGGAACAACACCAAGTATGGTTGTAAGTGCTATATAGGTGATGATTGCTGGCCGAGCGATGGCTCCTGGGCCAAACTGAATTCAACGGTGGATGGGAACCTCCTAGTGAATATCCCGCCGGGTGCATCTTGTCATAACGTAAGTCATCGTACAAATAAGTTAGGATATGTTTAAATAGCCAGTGAGAGGAAGCACACTGACTTAAACCGTCTAAGACGTTTGATGGCCCTCTTGGTACGGTTCAGACCTATGATGCTGCCGCTTGCGCGGAGGCGACGGATAAATGGTCTGATGAATCATGGACGTGAGTTTTCTAGTCGAGTCTAAGACGATATACTGACATAGCGGCACAGCGTCGAGAAACCTGCAGCGGAATTATGGACATATTTCACGAATGACACTTGTCGTCCTACTAGTAACCCTGCCGCGCCATGCACCCTTGGCTACTATGGAGTGTATGTGATACGAGCTCAGTCTAAAGACCATATCAAGGCAGGCGTGGATTTTGCTAGGGAAAATAGCTTGCGCTTAATTATTCGAAATACGGGTCACGACTTTATCGGACGTAGCACTGGCTGGGGAGCGTTGGTCATAAATACGCATAGCTTCCAAGATGTCGAGTTCACTACCGAGTACGGCGGTCCTGGTGATTACGAAGGAGGTGCCGTAACAATTGGGGCCGGAGTCCAGGGTCGAGCGCTGCTCACTCAAGCTCACGCCCAGAACCCACCTGTGATGGTCTTAACGGGGGAATGTCCAGTGAGTCAATGAAGTCTAGGGCAATAAATAGAAGCTAATGAGTTTGCAGACTGTTGGCGTGGCTGGCGGGCTTGTCCAGGGCGGTGGCCATGGACCCCTCACACCACTGTATGGACTGGTCGCTGATACTGCATTGTCTTTTGACGTGTTGACGGCGGATGGCGAATATCTGACTGCAAATTCCGACGAGAATCCCGATCTCTTCTGGGCTTTGAAGGGAGGCGGACCGTCTGCCTTTGCTGTTGTACTTTCGGTGACCCTTAAGACGTTCCCGGAACAGAAGGCAGCCGGTGTCTTCATCAATATCAACTCAACGCTTACTAGCGATGTAGATTTATTTTGGGAGGGCGTCAGGTCGTTCCACAAGTATTCAAACGAAATCGTGGCGGCTGGTCTATACGCTTACTTCGAACTTATGCCATTGCGCCTGCATGTCCAACCCATAGTCGGAGTCGGGAAGACTTCAGCGGAAGTGGAAGCCATCCTCCAGCCTGTGTTTGGCGAATTCAAAGCTAAAGGCATTCCTTACGACACCGGTAGCAAGGATTTTGATACGTTATTCGATCTGTATAGTGACTTATTCGAAGATGAGACGGCCGGCACTACGGCTCTTACAGGCGGATGGATGTTCACTCACCAGGACGTCGAAGAAAACAGTGACGAAATTATCGAGGCGTTTAAGACTGTCACGTCACCACGGGATGACTTGAAGGACCAGGGATTTCTCATTGGCCATCTCTGGGACGCTGGTCTGAATACGCCGGTTTCAAATAGCGCAACGAACCCGCGGTTTAGACAGTCTACAGATTTTGCCATCGTCGGGCTAACAGTCCCGGACGGTGCAACTTGGGCTCAGAAAGAGGACTTGCAGGATGTGCTAACCAACATCCAAGATGCCGCGATGAGGAAAGCTGGGCCGAATGGATGTGCTTATGTTAATGAGGTACGTATGCCCGGACAAATGCGAAATATACGACTACCATAACGCTGATAACCTTCGTAGGGAGACCCGTATCAACCTGATTGGCAAGATCATTTCTGGGGCTCTGAATATCCGAAATTGTTGGAAACTCGTAAGAAGTGGGATCCTCACGGTGTCTTCTATGCCGTGTCAACTCCGGGAACTGAAGACTGGGAGGTTATTGAATACGGTACAAGATTATGTCGAAAATATTGAATGACTACCGGTGCTCATCAACTCTAGACTGGTGCGTTGAACGGCGAGTTGAGTGTAAGTAGACGATAGAATGGTAGAATGAGAGGAATAAAGACCATTAGAAGTTGCCGCGCGTATCGCTTCACTCAGATTGATAACTTGTTGGTCAGCTTCCATGATTGAGGTTTTGCGACGCGTCCATCCTATGCTTGTGGAATAACTGGTTTCGCTAAGATTAGGTTGTTTAAACTAGACCGAGCCTTCATTTTAAAGAGAGATTACAATAAGATATATCTTCTGATGGTATATGATAAAGGGATAAATTTATTTCTATTCGTAGAGACGCTCGACGTGTTGAGCTGACGCGATATTTAAAACATCTCACTTAATTGCATAAACGATGCTATCTGTGCAACCATCGGTGCACGTGACGTCAGCGTATGCAAATCTTGACTTATTTATGCAGCTACCCGGTCGGGGAGATCCTTACCCAAAGCTTCCACTAAGCAGAACCCCACCATCGACATCCATTAACATTCATCAACGCTGGACATCGCATGAGGGTAATAAATTAGATGAGCTACAACACAAGGATATGAAGTGAAGTGGTTGCCTATCGTAATGCAAACAAGCCTTCATACGGAATGCCATTTCCCCTATTCATAAAGTAGAGAGATGCGTGATCCGACTTGAGGCAAACTTCAACGTCGCGTCCAGACCAACTGCGACCCTTCGAGATACCTTGCTTGATATTACGAGATAAGAGCTGGCCCTTAACTGTTTTCGAGCACAAAATGACAGACCTCGAGGCGTCTGTACCTAGCTTGGGAATGTCTACTGACGTTCGAAGCGAACTGAAGAAACCTAAGAAGAAAAAGGTGCTCCTTATGGGAAAGAGCGGTTCCGGAAAGTCGAGTATGAGGAGTATTATATTTAGCAACTATATCGCCAGGGATACTCGGCGTCTGTAAGTCAAAACTCTACCCGCCTTACCACCTATAGACAATTTGACTTATGTGTTATATTAGCGGTGCGACGATCGATGTCGACCTCTCGCACGTCAAATTCTTAGGGAACTTGACCTTGAACCTCTGGGACTGCGGTGGCCAAGAAGCTTTCATGGAGAACTATCTATCTCAGCAGCGTGTACATGTCTTCTCCAATGTTGGGGTGCTTATATACGTCTTCGATATAGAATCTCGAGACGTAGACCGAGATATGGCTACATACGTATCCATCATCTCCGCCCTAACCCAATATTCACCTACCGCGAAGGTCTACGTGCTAATTCACAAGATGGATTTGATCACCCCGCACGCCCGTGAGGCTGTTTTCGTCGACCGCGTTCGGCTAGTCAGACAGAAGACCGCCGAGTTCATCCAAGCGGCAGGCTACACGGGCGAGTTAGATCTCATCCCCTTCGCAACCTCCATATGGGACCAGTCTCTATACAAGGCGTGGGCAAGCATCATCCACGACCTCGTGCCAAACCTATCCGTCATCGAGTCGCAGCTAGGCTCCCTCGGAGCGTTGATCGAAGCCGAGGAGCTGCTATTGTTCGAGAGGACGAGTTTCCTTGTCGTATCAAACTGGACGTCGGAAGAAGGGCAGAACAACCCTACGGGAGATCGACAAGAGCGTATCTCAAACATCCTCAAGCATTTCAAGCAAAGCATCAGTCGCTTTACCGGTACTCCCCGCAATGCCGAGCAGTTCACTCTGATGGTAAGTAGTTGCATGCCCAGCTGCACACTTCTCCTCGAGTAGCTCAGTGTTAGCTTGAAGTAATAGAATACCGACGAATCGCTAACGAAATAACTAGGAACACAAAGCGGGATCTAGATTCTCCATGTTCGCTTGCAAATTCACAACCAACACTTACCTCATGGTTATTCTCCCACCCGGAGAAGCGAGGTTCAATTCTGCCAAGCTAAATTGTCAGATTGCCAGAGAGAGCTTCAAGTTCCTCGACGGACCTGTGACTCCAGGCCAGACCTTTAATTAGCAAACCGATCCAGACGAGCGAGGCCATGCGTACCTTCTAAGTTACTCGAACTCGAGTACCTTTTGTATTTGCTTCTCATATCTCCGTCATGCATTTCGACATATCACTGTAAGCAGCGGAAACTGATTAGCTTCCACTATAGCACTGTAGACCCCAAGTCGAATACTCCTATCTGATCGCATACAATAAACCGACGAGTTCTCTAGACACAAGCGACCTCAACAACAGGGAATTTTAGTCTACAATATTCCGCTGATAAAATTGCCGATGTCTAATGTCAAGACCCCGCTGCATTCTTCGGCCGCGGGACATTTACCAAATCCAGGGCGTGATGCCTCAATATGGCTCCACCCTTAGTATGAGCTGTTATGAACGATGTTTTTCTTGGTGAGAGCTGTGATAGTCGCATCTCATATAGTCAAGACACGTTTATCAGTTGCGATGCTTTTATTGGCCCCGAGGCCGACTCCGGGGAGAGGTAGTAGTTTAGGCGCGGCGGTCTTGGTCCCTGACGATCGGCAGACGTCCTGAATTAGGAAGGTTAGTCGTCGCAGCAAACCAACCAATCAAAGCGTCAATTACGTGGTATGCCATGCACGATTTTGATGAAAGGGTAGCTGATACCCACGGACTTAGATCGATTTTGAATTGGGTACTTTGGAATGTAAAGACATGATAGTCTTATTCATCAATAGTCTTATTCATCGAAGCTTAACCTGTTTATCGTTACCAAGAGGTTTATTTCTAAGTCTACTTCGTACCTTGAGCTCGTAAAGTAAAAGTGAAGATGAACTCACATGCTTTCTGCCCTTCCTGTGTAAGACGCTAGCTGCTGAAGATCGTCGCCCCGTCCAGATCTCAGCACGACTTTGATACCACCCTCGACTTGTTCAATACGGCAGGTCAGACTCAGCTTCGCACTATGTAACGCAATGATTGCCATGTCTTTGATATGCTCTTGGTACAGCACGCCCCGTCGCTGCTAGCCGCTCTTCGTGCTATCATTCTCCTATGAAAGTCCGGTTCCTTGAGACCTGCTTGGCTATCTACGCTAATTGGTCCGAATATGGTCACTTCGGGAACTTGGCGATTGCGGTTGGCCATGTATATGTAACATGTGGTGTTAATACAGGTAGGAGAGATCGACGGACGTCTATATAAACTACTGGTCACAGGCTTTAAGAACCATTGTCCATGTAAGACATCGGATAGCTGGTTAGGTGTTACTAGGTAACCCACTGAATTTGTGTCTATCCGCCTGGCTCGGAACGTAACCAAACTGTCCAACCTCAATATCTTCATCATGAGGTTCTCATTCACCTTCGGCGGTCTCCTATCCGCGAGCGCCGTGCTGGCCGCGCCGGCGCCAATTCCGGTTGCCGAGCCCGCTCCCATGCCCATGCCTACTCCCGTTAGTAATCGCCTTGCCCTATCCATAAATGCAACAACAGCTCTTTCAAAACTGACAGATGTAATTAGCCTGGCATCCCGTCTGCCTCGTCAGCTAAATCTCAACTCGCAAGCTTGACCGTCAAGGCGGCGGTCGACGACGGAGGATACCAGCGGGACTTGTTCCCGACGTGGGACACCATCACGGGAACCTGTAACACGCGCGAGTACGTTCTCAAGCGCGACGGCGCCAACGTCCAGGTCGGCTCTGACTGTTACCCAACGAGCGGCACGTGGACCAGTCCCTACGATGGTGGGAAGTGGACGTCCCCGTCTGATGTGGATATCGACCACATGGTGCCTTTGAAGAATGCCTGGGTTGTATGTATTTCATGCTTTACCTGTTTCTCATCGTTTAACTAATTCTATGTAGTCCGGGGCGAACAAATGGACAACTGCCAAGCGCGAGCAATTCGCCAACGATGTTGATCGACCACAGCTCTGGGCCGTAACGGATAACGTTAACTCATCCAAAGGCGACAAATCTCCCGATACCTGGAAGCCGCCTCTAACAAGCTTCTATTGCACTTATGCGAGCGCTTACGTCGCCGTCAAGAGCTATTGGGGCCTAACTATCACGTCGGCTGAGAAATCGGCTTTAAGTGACATGTTAGGAACTTGTTAGGTATTCTATGATATGTAGAATATAAGGGGTTTGATGGCGTTAGAACTTAGAAAGACTGGTGGCTTGTCTTCATTCTAGAATCTACAATATACATCAACGAAGAGAAGGCAATAAAATATGAATATAATTGATTTTCATAGACTTTGACTTATGCCTCGCGATCAAATCATCCCTTGAATTATCGCAATAAGAGGTAATATTCTCTTAATATCTATGCGTAGCTGCATCGTGTCCCATTAAAAGATAGCAGGACAACTCATTTAGCAACTATAGCTCTATTGTTTAACGAACACACGGCTCATCCATTCCTAACGTTGCTTCTGCGCTTATTTGTTCTTCTTCACCATGGCCGTACCGCCCTTCTTGAACTCAGCCATTTCGCCTAGTACTAAAGACTTGTCCGTGTGATCTTTGTTGGGGAACGTCGTAGCCAACACCCATCCACCAGCTCGCAACTCTGGAGAGGATCGGGAGATGAAGTCATATACGTCATTGACCGTATGCGACGTGTTAAATCGAGCCGGCAATCGCGTACCGTCAGGCATCTGGATTCGGATCATGATCGTGGGCTGAGAGTCGTCTACAGCCGTACTCGGCGCCGTCGACTGTGCTGCTGCCGGCGTGCTTAAAGTCGACAAGGTTGGTAGAGTTGCGGCGGCCGTGGAGGCGGTAGCAGATTCTCCCGGAACTGGGCTTCCTAGGCGGCGACCCTCGCCGCTGAACGGCTTGTACACTTTAGGGAGTTGTCGGTAGTTCTCGTCGTGCTGCTGAAGCTTGACATCGAGAGGCTCGTCAAGCCTCACGTTCATCAAGTGGATAGGAGCACGGCCCTGCTGTATCATACGCAAAGCCTCGGTGTTCTCGGGATCGTCAAAGCGGCGTAGCTCTCCGTCGTCGACGCTGAAACCATCACGCCATAGATGTAATGTTCGTTCTTGAACCTTGCCCGTAGGACGCGGACGACTAGCGGAACCGGCAGCCCCGAGAGGGTCTGGAATCGTGCGGCTAGGGGCGCCCTCGCCACCGAGAGTTTGTCCGGCGCCGCGGAAAGAAGTCGCGCTGGAAGGGCCAGCATGGGAAGAAGCCTCGGGACGCTGCGAATTACTGAAAAGTCTGGAGTTAGCCTATCGCTAAGCGAATCGAGAAATGAACATAATTACCCCGCAGCAGCATCCGCAAGAAGATCGTTCACGAGTTGTCTACCGTCGCGTTGACTCGGGTCTTGAATAGCAAGCCCGCTCTTCTCACCGCCAGCGTATGTGTCCCTATGCGAGTCATCATCTTCGTCGTCGTCGTCGTCATCATGATCGTGTCCGTGGCCGCCACCGAGCGAGCTTAGTGTGGCAAGTCCTTTCTTCTTGGGTGCTCTCTTGGAGGAGCTGGACGTGGTAGGAATAGACTGCGGGGCGGGACGTCCATCGAGAGTACGAGGGCCAGTATAGTTACTATAGTCTGCAGAGGCGGATGCGGAGGCGGAGGCAGAGGCAGAAGTATTCAGAGGAGCACCTGCGTCATCTTCTTCCTCGTCGGCGAAGTACGCTTGGGCTGCGGCGGGGAGATCCCAATTGTTGGCAGAAAGGTATTGGGTGGCCTAGATGAAAAGGTAATGTGTTAGCTAAAGTGAGACGATGAAGGATGAAGCTAGCTATTAGCTGCTTAGAATCGGGTCATGTACCTGTTCGGTAGAAATTCCGGCCATGGCCATGAGCTCGCTTGTAAGAGCATCGTGATCTACGCTGCTCGACATTGTGCTCAGAAAGGGTGGGGGAACGAAAGGGAAATAATGAAAGGTCAGAAAATTTGTTGTAGATGATAAGAGCCTCAGCTTCAGTAGCCTTGAGGAATAAAGAATAAGGAACTAAATCTTTAATGTGACGTTTGCTGCTAGAAGGTACGTCCCCTAAGTTAGATTCTTAGGCAACTTCAGCAACGACGTCAAGCTCTCCACAGTAGCCTAATCGAGTCGAGTCGAATTGATTACTTCAGTGTTTGATTATGTACTTACGTGGGGAGTTGCGGGGTGTGCGCCTCCTGTTGTTACTATGTATGTCTGATTAGCTAAAGCCCCTCCATTAACGAAAATGACGAACAGCTGCCCTGGTTCGGTACCTACAGCTGTGTCAGTTTCCGACGTACATTAGGTATTGTACATAATGTAGGTGGATCCCTACTGTGACGTAACTAGCCTATCTAGGTAGAATCTGTGCTAGTTCTTTACTCTGATAGGTTTAAATCTGTAACAACATTTCTAGCTGCCGATATTAACATAACATTAATGTTAATGCCGGATCTCAATGTTGAGCCCTCCAACCATTTCAACTTTGAAGTATTCAGGTGGCCAAGATATCTGAGATCCGCCAGCTCTCATTAACCAACACAACAACTAGCGACATGGTACCTTAGAGTTAACGTGGATTATTATATCGGCATCATCTTCTCTCTAACATTACAGCCATGTCTTCCGAAGAACCCCTCTCAGGGTCAGGCGTCACGATGCGCTCCGACAGCGAGCAATATTCGGCCGGCGAAGACCTACTATCCTCGCCACCTTTGTCTTCCTCTCCACCCGTAGTCCTCTATAAGCCTCCCACCGTCTGGTCTATGCTCCGAGGCGTAGCTATTAACCTACTATTACCATTCATCAACGGCATGATGCTGGGGTTTGGCGAGCTGTTTGCGCATGAGGCTGCTTTCAGGTTAGGATGGGGAGGTACAAGGGTAAGTAATGCCACAGGATTAGGAGCTACGTGTGACTGTTTACAGAAAATATTAACTCTGTTGCATAGGTCTTCCCTCTCTCCCGGCGGAGAGCACATCCTATCGGTCCAGGTATCGAAATCCGCAACCGACCTAAACCGGGACCTGAGCTACAAGACCTGACGAGCCTCGAATAACGGACGAGACGGTCTGCTATCTATACACGGGTAGAGATAAAATGAGGGAATATGCCACTCAGGCTTATGTATTGTCTCAGATACCGATAGGAAACATTAGAAGGGATGGATGAATGACGAAAGGGAAAAACGAAAGGTATCGTGTTAAGATATTACTCATGTATAAACCCCCTTTTCGTAAGAAATTATAATTGCACAAAGCTCTAAATAGAATAATCTAAAACCCAGTGTTTCGAGACTATGCTAGTGCTAATGCCTATATGAATATTCAATAACAAATTTGGTATCTGATGAACAATAAGAAATAAATACCTCTTGCTATGTAAAGATTGCACCTTCATAAGCACTACATAGCTAGGTACCTAACCTATCTATGTAGAGGTATCAACACCAAGAAACCACAGCATATATCACGGCCGATGGTAAAAGCTGAGATACGTAATCAAATCGGAGTTGGAGTCGGCGGGAAAAGTCGATATGGCGGGATAGTACGTACTTAAGCTCCGGGAATCCCACTATATCCGTATCGATAAGAAAACTAACCCCAGCAAGCCCCAGTATCCAAGTGCCAGCAGAGGTAAAAAATTCCAATGGAATTTATATCCTACATGTAAGTGGTCGGCTTCAGCTTCTACAGCGCTCACAATTATCGTCATGCTGCCGAGCAGAGGACTTCCAAGGTCAATCCCAGCCTCAGCGCTGCGGAACACCTGGTCTACTCGGACACAGGTATGACAGCATTTAACAAGTCAATATCTCATATCTCATGAATTACTAACACAACATTCTTCGTCGCCTTATAGCCGATTCGACCTTTGCAAGTTCCCATACGATACTTCTCCCAGGTACAGTCTCGGTCTACGCGATTGAATAGTGTTCGAAATATTTCGTGTGCGCCAACATCACTATTCGGCTCCCGAACAATTGTCGCTGCTACCGCATCCAGCGTATTCGCTCAGCGCTCCGGAGCTTCGCGAAATCTTTCGTTATGGCCCTTCTCTTCTAAGAAGCAGTCTCCAGTCGAAACGGAGCCCGCTTCTACCCCAGAGCCTCTATACACAGAGCCCCCGGCGCCTGTCGAGAATTACGAACGCTTCCCCGAGGAACCCTTAGCAAGTACAACGTCGACTTCTGCTCCGACAGATCACACACAGAGCGCCTTTAGCGACTTGGACCTGACTTCTGTCCTCGATATCCCCGAGCAGATAGGATACCTCAAGAATCTCGGATTAGATTTCGGATGGGGTCCGACATCTTGCTGCGAATGGATCCTCGAACATCTGTACATATACACGGGTATGCCCTGGTGGGCTGCGATCGCCGCGGTGGCTGCCGTATGGCGTCTCATCATGTTCTGGCCTACTTTAACAGCTAGCAAGCACAGCGCGCTGATCCAACAACTCGAAAGGAATCCGGCCTACGCCAAAGCCAAGGAGGAATTTAACGAGGCCGCGTGGAAAACTCGCGACCGCATGGCTCAGATGCGAGCTTCGGAAAAGATGATGAGGTTAAAAAAAGAGACGGGTGCTAGCACATTTCGCATGCTCGCTACGTTCTGGACCGTTCCATTTAGTTTTGGCATGTTTCGACTGCTCCGAGGCATGGCCGCCCTGCCCGTACCCAGCCTTGAGACTGGAGGCTTGGCCTGGTTCACCGATCTGACTGTTCACGATCCTTACTACATTCTACCCATTACTTCTATAGCACTCACGGCTGTTATGTTCAAGGTAAACTTATTGCCAACTCCCTTCGCTAGGACTCCTAGCTAATAGATCATTAGCAAACAAGGGCTGCCAGCTTGTCAAAGGATCCAAAAACCGAAGGTATTACCAAGCTAATGATGTACGGTCTGCCTCCCGTCGTATTCCTCGGCACGGCTTGGCTCCCGGCGGGTGTCCAGTGGTTCTTCCTAATGCTCACCACCGGTTCCATCGTACAGACGTCGGCGACTCTTAACCCAACCATCCGCCGCTTAGCCGGCCTCCCTCCTCTGCCAATGCCAAACCAGGGTGGAGGACTAATCCAGACCGCCGCCGTGGCTACCCCGACGTGGCAAGCACCAACATCTTTTGCCCAGAGATCCGCAAGTGAGGCTACTCAGGGAATCACCGAATCGGCCAAAGGCCTATTAGGCGTTGACAAGCAGAAGGAGGAGTGGAAGAAGGCTCAGGCGTACGAAGAGCGCAGGGCCGCGGAAGAAAAGGAAAAGGCGTACCGGAGGATGGAAGAACTACGCCGGAAACAAGCCGAAAAGGGAGGGTTATGAGAGCACAGTCACCAACTGACGAACGCGATGCGACGGTAGGGGTTGTATCATAGCATAGACGAAGCATCGATCTTGAACCAGATAGAGGCATCTGCTACTGGAAAGATACTGGGCTACGTACACGTGTAGGGTGAGGAATACCCGCAATTGTAATTGCATTGTATATATAAACGTACATTCATGTGCAATACAAAACTCCAAATAGTTCAAGTTGAGACTTTAAGAGAGTCGAATCGCGTATTACTAGGTAGCTATCTATTAGTATCCTATTGGCGAACATGACGAACACTTCTTGTAGAAAACTTCACGAGTCTTAATGATGTTTACTTCTAGGTCTCAGGAATAGTCTTATATTTTGTACAGGTGATTAATTAGCTTTCTCCAGCAATACTATCCTATCCTAATCAAAAAAAGGTTGACCATCTTTTTGTGATCGTGCCGCGACAAAAAAAAAAACCAAAACGCGTGGAGAATTACCAATAATCGCACCAGCAAAGTTGTGTTGCTGCTGCAGTACCGTTTGTATCCGTAGAACGAATATAATATGTTTCTTCCCTCAGCCGCCTACTTCCGTCACTCAGGATGGTCCAAATAGCCTAAGATAGGCAGTATGTTTTCCACCGACCCTCGGAATGGGCGCTCTCTTGCATCGAATGCTAACAAAGGGGGTATGATCCTCAATCTATCAAAACTAGCGACTTTCGCTTTGTGCCGTAATGAACTATAAGACAAGATGATCGAAACGAACAACAGAAGAGTAAACAAGACACGAGATTAAAAATCCCTGGTTAAAATACAGTTCCATCCGAATCGATGAGGATAGGCGGCTCTTTCGTGTTGGGTCGGCTGACCTCTGCGATTTCACGACCACCCTACGTATTGCATTAGCTCTTGTTCAATAATTGTAGGATATAGGCATCATGAAAGCCATATGGGCCATAGCTTACCTTCCAGCTTCCCGCCTCGAGCAGTTGTGCTAGCGTCAGCTCGCCACCGTTGAGATCCTTCTTGAGGGCTTTGTTGACTTCGACTAAGAGCAAATCGAGGAAGCCCACCGTAACACCTCGCCACTCGACAATCACATCGTCGCTCGGTTCGAACATGGGCGCTACCTCGACGCCCTTAGAGCCCGTCCGTCGACAGTAATCGCTATAGTTCTGCAGGCCACGTTCGAGGTCGTCTTGCTTAAGTGTCAATACGCCGAGGTCGATGAACAAGCCTCCGTTTCTGTACTCGGGCAGCCCCGTTAGAAGCTCCGTGCCGGCGAACTGGATCCTAAGGATGTTCTGCATAGGTTGCATTAGAGAGTACGTGAGCCACTGCGTCAACTTGTGGAAAGGCAGTATGGATTCCCACGGAGCGGCGCCCGAGCTTGACTGAGAATTAGGGAACGGAGAGAAACCCGGGGAGCTGGGCGGTGGTGTGTGCTGCGGCATCGAGGAGCACGGCCAAGCGTCACCAAGAGAGACGCCGTCGATAGCCGTCCGCGAAGGAGGCCAGATAGAAGCGAGCCCGGACATGAGCACGTTCCAAAGTACCGGGAGGACAACGATTGGGGACGAAGAAGCCTGTGTTGTCGGATGCGCCAGGAGATAGTCTGCATTCATAACCAGTTAGCCAATGCTAGCGAGAAGATAAAAAGAAAATACAAAAAACGAAACGCGTAGGATATGGAGACAATCACATACCGACCATATTACCTGGCCGTCCATCAGCACCGAAGAAATCCGTCTTCTCGGATAGCGCATCGCTAAGTCGTATCAAGAGCTGTGCTCTACCCTCTAAACCAGCAATTTCGTTGCCCGGGCGTGATTGCATGCCCTTAGCTAACTGCTCGACGGTCAACGTTCGAAGACCCTCCTTATCCACCTGGAACTTGTTGTTCGGATTTCCAGAGAACAGCCCCTATTCGAGATACGATGTTAGCAAAAATCCCTATTCTAAACACCCACCGGTGCAGATTCATGGCGCATTAGCGCATACGTACAGCTTTGAACATCTCCAAGCTCGCAATGGCTAGACCCTCAGATCTCCTGTAGATGCGGCCGTTCTCGGCGCTCTTAAAGCTCCATACGGTACCGGCGCCGGCGTCGAGCAGCACGCTGACGAGGAACAAATCGATTAGGCGACGACACTTCTCGGTACTATCGACGTCCTCGGGAAAAGTCGCCAGCAGGTTGGCGACCCGATCCCGGCCGCCGGCGCAGAAGTGCTGGTACCGACCATGGGGCGGGATCGACGAAAACGGGGCGTCGTAATCTCGCTGTTCTTCCTAGTCAGCAGCAAATTCGTCATACAAAAAAAAAAAAAATAGTAGCTGCACGTCAGCAAAACTGGACGTAGAGTCAGTCTGACCTTGATGATGCCGCACACGAAGGTGGCGACGTCGGGAAACTTGGCCATATCTACGTCGAAATGGTTAAGATTGTTGCGCAAGGCCTTGTCGGTCACGATCTTGGACCGCTCGCGGACGGAGCCCAAACTTCTCAGGTAACCGGCGGCATCGAGGACTGGATCCGGAGGCTTAGGTAGGTTGATTCTAGGCATGAGATGCGGTGTCATCGGAGTCATCGGGGTCATAGGAGTCGGAGGTACGCTGCCAGCTGATGCGCGATGATTGCTGTAAGATTGCGACTGTACTCTGGAATTGCTGGCTGATGAACCTTTGATGTTGGAGCTTTCCGAGTTCAAGCTGGCCGTGTCGTTTGCCCCGTTGGAAGCGGAAGCGTTGACTGGCTTAGGCGTCTTAGGTTTTCTCGAGAAGAGACCCATACTGCCCGTTATAGGTCGTGTAATGGATGTACACGTTACGTATGTATGAGGTATGTATGTATGTATGCCCAATTGCTTTTGTTTTGTTTCTTATCTCTGCTGTGTCCCTCCACTCGTCTCGGTCTTTTCATGCGTGACGAACGCCCTTTTTTCCCCTTCTTGTACGTTTCTTATTTTTTTTATTTAATTTTTTTCCCTTCTGTCTTAGGTTGGAAGTACGTGGTTGGCTAGTTAGCAAGTTTGGGTGTAAGTATAGCCGGGAAAGTCAACCAGATTAAGCAATCAGATCGACCGGATCAGCACCACGAACGGGGGGGAGGACTGGGAAAGACAGGAGGGGTAGGTACCCGTAACTATGAAAGCTAAGGTACTGGCTAAGGTGGGCTAAAGGTTGTCCAAGGGCCAAGGGCTAAGGTATTATAAAGGGGGAGGGGCCATTTATTCGATTTTGGGCAGGTCTACTTTACATAGGTACCCTAGCCAAGACAGTTAAAATAGTTATGTAGGTACATAAGCTCACTATTCCTTGTAGTTTCTAATGGTACCTTATTTCGACAGGGCAATCGGGACAGCTTCCAGCCAAAGAGGGTGGAGAAAAAAGGGCGGTTGTGGGGGAGAGGTTAGAAGAGAAGAAAAAATTAGATAAAAAAAGGTCCAGGGGGGAATCTGCCTGAATAAGAGAATAAAATGAGCGATGCTGCCGATGTTTGTTTGTTATTTGGTCGTTTGTTTTCAAATATCAACTTGAAGCTGAACAGAAAGAAGAGTTGAGGAATTCGACACAAGCAAAAAGGAGAATAACCTTGGGTGCATGATGCATTGCTACCTAGGGACATATGCGCATGTACGTCGCATGTAAGTACGGCTCGTATGGTGATAGGTTGACATTGTATAGTGTTGTAGTATAATACGTAGACCGATAGCTCGGATAGGCAATAAGCAAAAGCCGTAACTAGGGATCTAGAACGAAGGAATGTGATAGATAGCGGCCCGGTCGTCTATGCATTTTCTTTTTTATCGACGGCTTCGATATAAAAACATCCGGCTAACAGACGTCGTATGATCGCCTACAGGCCTACTAAATATGCAGATACGTAGTAAAATACCCCAAGAAGCTTCCAGGAACGTATGCTTAAGATTGAACTCTTAAGATTGAAGCCTACCTATATCACAGTGTTTAAACTTTCATACCCTCAGGAGATCGATCCAGCAGTGGAGCTTCTCGCCGGGATTCATCAGGGATTCATCAGGATCAACAGGAACCGCCGAACTGGCAGACTGGGGACGGGGAAGACCAGGGATGTCAGGGGCCAACCATATAAACTCTCAAGGGGGACCCGGTCTAGCTAATCTTCTGATTTGTTTCCCGTCCTTCGGACGCCTCGCACATACATACCTACTGAAATGTCAGCAAGGGTTGATAGCTCCGTTAGGGGTTTGGCCAAGTAAATCTTCTCTCTCTGCTCGCGTTAAGGACCTTGGTATTTTGACCAAGATGAAACGAGAATATGCCTCCTCGATGTTAACTGGTGTATATACGTAGCAGCCAGATGATGATATTTCTACCCGACGTAATTTCACATGTTTGGTCGTCGATATCCATCTTCATCTCTTTCCCGGCCCGAACAACTACGGTTCCCGTATAATCATATGAGATAATCATATTAGAGTGAGACTCTTCGATATTGTTCAATAGCGCTCTTTTCATACCTAACTTAGCTCAACTTTGGGTAGTATTTTACCAGAGGAGCGGGATGACATGCAGATATGTGACCCTGCCGTAGTAGAATCCAAGCTTTGTCGTCGGAAGTTGTGTATGAAATATCTGCTAGTCGTTGCTTATTATCTCTAGCATTGCTTTTGTTAGTTAATGAATATTCATCACACTTAGCTCATCGTCAAGTCATCACTCCTCCCTGTAAATATGCTGGGATTGATGTCTGTTCCCTTTTGTCTGTTCTCTCTTGCGCACAAGCGCTTTTTCTACCCGCGCCATGGACGCAATCATTATGGCGCCATTTGATCGTCCAATCAAAATATCCTCCCTGCGCCTCATCTTTGCTTAATTAAGGCTTCGGCACGCATCAACGGAGACATATCCGGCAACGTCATTGGGGTAAGATACTCCTAATACGATTGTTTACATTCGGTCTGGAAGCAAATCCTTACGATTACTTCAAGTTGCCGTTTGTATCACAGCGATACTTCGGAGTCTCTTCTGCTTCGCGCTGCCCTAAGATCAAAATTTTACAGTCGAGCCGCAAGCTTCCAGAATCGTATGACTACTTCGGTTGGCCCCTAGCTAGTAGAATAGACCATCGCTAGCATGACAGCCATGGCGCGACCGGATCAAGCATCCGCCGGTCCCAATAGGATCGAAAGTCGAAGCAAGACATTATAACTTGCGGGGAAGGATGGTAAATGCAGACCTCGGGTCCATCCTCCTCGGGCAATTATATACATGGCAGATCCAGGCGGTCGGTTCTTCCACCAAGACAGCTTCGACTAAAGACTTAGTCTCCAGTGTAGCTCGACGCGAACACCTCTTTGAGGACGACGGCTCCGAGGTAGCGGCCACACTGGTTCGGTACTAGAGGTTGCCTGTGCAAGGAACAGACGCTCTATCCATGTTTTGCCATGCTCTCGAGCGCATAGAATACCCATGCCTCGCATACTTCTGCAGGAACGAACCAGAGACCGGCTTTTAGATCTACATATCGTCGGCTAGATCCATATAAAGCGATTGCCCGTTCGTACGGCAATATTCGTATAAGACATGAACTCTACAGTTACGTCCAGTGCTTGCTCTATCTACAAACTGTAGAGAGAAGATAGACAGCAGACTCGAATTAACATCCGTCAAGACCTAGATATAGGAAAGACGTACGCCTCAATAATAGCGTCTTGTCAAGCAGTGCAAGACTTGACGGTGATTAGAATACGCTAAGAACCCGAAGCCTTTACCTACATCCACCTAGCTACAGTGCGCAACAGAATAGTATACTGGTTCCGGTTCCATACTATCGAATCATGGGGCTTTAGGACTTGATCTAATCACTAAGAGGCTGAGGCCTTAAGAAGGAATAGGATCGCAGGATTTTTGTCTTTGTCTAGAGTACCTATGTAGGCGATCACTCTTGTGGCGTTGACTGTCTTAGCTCTCCGGCTAAGAAGCAGTTCATGAGAGACAGAAACGGGCACAGCCGCCTCGCTCCTGACTCTGCAATGATTGCCTAAATAGGCTACGGACTACCTAAGCCAAAGCCTACTCGAGATATCAATCTCATCTCTTCAGCCGGACTCCTCAACTCTAGAACTATTCTCATGCTACCGCGTGGGTACCAGATCGCGCCGTGAACGCATCCAGGTCCTTTAGACCAGTCTCGAGAACATCTAGCTTCTTCGCAAGCTCGGCGCGCTCCTTGACAGTTCCGTCGTCCTCAGATCCCAGCTTCTCGACGTCTTCGTCGGAGAGATCCCACACAACGTCCGGAGAGAATCTAAGCATTGACAGTCAGTACGTTATTGGCATCTAGGTATTTTAATGGTATACTTACACGTTTGGTAGGCATTGAATTAGGCAAGTCTCTATGGCATTGACGCTGACATCGTCAATGAACTTTTTCAGCGCAACCTATAGATTATTAGCACCAGCCCTAAACGTCGACGGCTCATAGAATAGGCATACCTGGTAATACGCCGCGGCAACATCAGCCGCGAGTGAGGCGGAGTATTCCTTAACATTAGGCCGCGTCCCATGTTGCAAGTGGAGGAGAAGGCAATGCAAATTCACATTAGCTGAGGGCGGTGCAGTCTTCGTTGTATATTTGCAGGCTTCATTCGATAGGTCATCAAACTTCCGGTCATGACGCTTGGTCTGGATATCTTGCACCGTTTCCGTCAGGTAGTCGTTATAAGTGATGGGATGAATTGATAGGTGAGGTTCTAGTAGTTCATCAACCTTGTCCTTCAGATCACCCCGGAGGCGATGCAGCGCCGGTTGGATATGATGCTTCATGAGGCGCGTCTTGGTGTTGCTATCGCAGATCTCCGTGGTAATCCTGTTGAAAGTGCTAGCTGCGGCCTCATGAATCTGCTCGACAAGATTCTGCGTGATTGACTCCCAAGGCTTGCACTGCCTGCTGAAAAGGTCACCGACTACAAGGGGATTGAACGTGCCAGGAAGCTCGCGGCCTCGGCATTCTATCATTAGCTCCTTTACCACTTCGAGGTAATCTAGTCTCATCATATATCTTCTCAGCGATGTTCTGGTCGGCTGCAGGTCATCTTCGACGATTTCTAGGGCGTGACCGTCAATGCGCATCTTTTCGGCATAGTCACTGAGAATCTTCTGCACATGCGCCCGCAAACGTCTTTCGAAAGCGTCCCGCTGACCGGGGAAAGACTCGAAAAACTGATCGGCGTATACCCCGTCGATGGCTGCCTGGACCAGTTTGGACAAGACGCTGCTGATCCGCTGGAGATAAGTATGCTTCTCTCTCATGGTGCTGCGGGCTTTTCCAAGCAGCGCTAGCTTATTCTTGCAGTCCTTGATCCCGGCCTGTACCTCGGTCTTGACGCCTGGAAGCTCGGTCTGGATCTGCTTCCACAGGATATCACGTAGCCGAGACCTCAGAGATTTCACGCCAAGGTTTGACCCGTCGAGGGTGTTCCAAATAGAGTCGGCAAAGAACTCCTCCTCTCTCTTGTCTCTCTCTTCAATCGTGTCGTTGGCAGTGGCGTGGCTCCTGTTGCGTAGAACATGCCAACCGAGATGTAGCTTCACGTTCTGATTCTGTGCCAGCTCTACATAATACCGCTCACTATCGGAGTCTCTGTCAATTTTGTCGGGCTTCGTGATGAGACCTAGCGTCCTCAAGCCAGACGGGTCGATCTCCCGAGCGAATTTGGTTACCGGCTGGTTAGCAAACGGGTTATCGGCCGCAACAACGGCGAGTATAATGCTACGGCGCTGTCGCATATAAGACACTACAAGGTCTTGGACTAAAGCAGCGTCGTCGTCTGACTGGTTCTTGTCAGAGGCGCCAAATAGGCCTGGCAAGTCAACCAGCGTCAAGTTGGGCGCTGTCGGGGACGTGCTCTCTATCCGCAGGATATCCGTGCTGAAGATCTTGGACCCCTCCCCAACTAAGCCCATGGCCGCCTTGGCGGCTTCGATAATCTTCGGGAAGTCATTTTGGTCCTTCGTCTTCCCGGTGAATGATAACAAGCGAGCTCTCTCGTTCTTGTTTCTGTTAGCGCTGGGCTGAATGTGTACCTTGATCTCCGGTTTATCGCCGCGGCGGAGAATCAATTCCGTTGCGAAACGGGTGCACAAGCCTTCCGCAGTCGGGAAGGCGATTCCGGAAATTGATTCAAGCGTGGAGCTTTTTCCGGATGACTGACTACCGCACACGATGATCTGAGGTAGGTCCACATAGTGACTGACGCCGTGGGACCTAAGAGAGTCAACAATGTCGAGGAGATCTCGGTGGTTACTAGATTGTATCAAACCGGAAGTCTTCTGGGAGATGTCTTGGGCAAGGTCGATGGCCATCTTGGAGTGTTTGCTCTTCTGTTTCCGTGTCATCGAGCCTGGAAGAAGAAGTAGTGGAGAAGAACACGGAATAAGTTAATCTCAAGATTTTATCCTGGGAGGCGCGAGCTTAAAGATTGCATCCACAGATAAACGACTAATCTCAGGCGCGCATATCTCGGATGCAAGAAAAAGATGTCAGATTAGATCTATCCTTGTTGACGGGACAACGATCTCACCCATGCACAATGCAAGATAAATAAGCTTTGAATAAGGTAACTGAGTGGATACAAAAACCGTTCTATTGGGGCCTGGGCAAAGAGGAAAGTCCAACTAGTAGTTTGATAGCTCCTACAAAGGTATCCAATGTTTTTATGGTGTTTATATGTACCTATAAAACTTGACCCAAACTTGAAAGCTACATGTAGTGACCATCGTCTTTATCCCAGCGTTGCACTCATATCCCTTAGACGTACCTAAGTATATTATTCAGGACATACCATTACTCCTACCTTCTATCCGAGAAAAAGAAGTGACATATCGCTTAAAGAGCGTTTGTGTGATGTAAAATAAGATCGATGTACATTAATCAATGCCTGACCGCTAGGCAACTAAATAATCAGGGTTTCCCTTACGATGATCTATGCCACTTAATATTTTAAAGGTTACATACAACATCATGAGTATTAAGGAGATGCTGGCTAAGCTTGCTGATTCAATGGTGGCTAATATGTATAAATATGTGCATATCTAATATAAGTAATCTAAAGTTGATGGTGATACTGCTTATGAGCGCCTATCAAGTGCCTCGGGACGTTCAAAAGTTATAGATTTTCGATTATCCAGTCTGGGAAATTTATCAAACTACAACGTCTGAGCCCCAACCTTCACATATATTTGTGGTAGCATAAGAGAGGTAGTTAGTTTTAAGTCAGCACTGTTATCAAAAGGGGTTCCCTTTTGATTTTTTATTGGCTGTGATTCAACGCCCTGGAATTTCTTTATGTCTTCTGTATTGGTCACATATAATAAGTTGAAGTTGGGCAGGAGGAGAAAGGCACCTAAGATATAAAAGCTATATGATATAAAAGCTGTGAAATATACCCTTACACCCTTGTTAAATGCTAGAACCTCCAGTAACTCCCTAGGTACCTACACCAGGTAGGCTCTAAGCTTACATACATCGCCTAATAACTGTGAATTTGAAAAGGAGCTCATATCTCAAGAGTAACTGCATCTGGAACTGGTCTGGGATTACGAAAGGGAGTTGATTCTCAAGGACTGCGGGACTGCCTGCAGCTGTCTTTTACCCTAACGGCGTGGATCATCTGACAAAAAATATCTAAACGTTTCTCTGTGTGCCTAATACATGGTTGCTATGATTTGGGTAGGTACCTGTTACATGTATCTTGTCACGGCGGCCCGGCCCCGGCCCCAGGACCTGTCGTTCTTTCCTCCAAGGTACATATAACGTTTGGCACCTGCCACTAAGTTGTAGTTTTGTATTGCTCAGCTGCTGCACTTAACATGTAGGCACCCCGCTTTACCTTTCGTTCCTGCAGCAGCTGAACGCCGTAGGGCTGCTAAAACGTCACGCTTAGCACTTGCCGGTTCGTCAACCCCTACGGACGTAGTTGCCATTGATGCCTGTAAACAATAGTTTAATTCGGATTTCTTCTAGACTCTCATCGCCGATTTTAATTTTCTACCTTGCACAATTAAACTCGACGAATTCTTTTTGAACATAAATTCACCAATATTTGTCCAAGGGGGACCTTTTGGTGGCTGACGCGGGAAGCGATCAATCAAGATGTCTTTCGGCAATCTCCCTTTCGAGCTGGCCAAGGAGGTGGGAAATTATCTCGACGATAAAGACTTGTCTTCCCTCTCTCGGACCTGTAGAGACCTCCATAATCTATTCACAGACGCCTTGTACAGTCGACACCAACTCGACCACGAACTCATGTATTACTCTGTCGAAGGCGGGAACATAGGCGCCGTGAGATACTTACTCGAAGCTCACGCCAGTCCCAACATTGCCATGTCCTCGGTACAAAACAGACAGTCATTGGGTGCATTTCCCCTAAATACTCTCGGCCCACGAACCAGTATAGATCTGCTCAAACCTGGGCAACCTAATCCAAGCCGCCGTGGTGGACCTCGTGTTCGACTCCTACCAAACTACTGGACTCCCTTGCACGTCGCTGCGAGCATGGGAAGAGATGACATGGTTGACCTTTTACTTCAGCATAAGGCCAAGATTAGCGTATTCTCCAAAGGATTTTGCGGTTGTTCCCTGCCAAACGAGGATCTGGAATTCAATGCAGAGAACCATGTTACCCCTCTATGGACGCCTCTTCATACCGCAATCTGTCACGGGCATGAATCGACGGCGAGACTCCTACTATCTCACGGAGCCTCAACCAACGTCTCTCGGAATTCTCTTCGCGTCACTGCTCTCCATACGGCCTGCTGGTCTAACAATGCTCCTATAATCCGATTCCTTCTGAACGAAGGCCATCAGACAAATATCAATGTCCGAGACCAAAAGGGTTACACGCCTATGGCGTACGCGTACTATGCTGATAGTTGGCGCTCTATTTATTTCCTAGCGCATGCTGGGGCTTCGCTGAACATCACCCTGGGACCCTACAACCTTGTCGAACATGCCTGCCTTCGTAGTCGGTTTTACGACGCCCTTCGATTTATCAACTTAGGCATGGACTTGGATAAATCTTCCGTTGTGAACCTCGAGGTTATGGATACGGCTTCAGCATTGCTGTTCCGTTGCTGCAAATTTGAGGTCCCGCAGAGCAGGAGTCTATGGAAAGGTTTCCGTATCAGCCACGAGGGAGAGTCGGATCAGGAGGAGTTCAGAACCGACGTCATTCAAGCCCTTATCTTCGCAGGTGCTGACGCAGGGGTTCGATGCCAAGAAACCATGCCCGATCGCAGCACCAGGATCACGACCCCGCTCATAGTTGCTTCTCAGTATGGCCTCGATGAGGTTGTCAAAACCTTGCTCGACGCGGGTGCCGATATCGAAGCGGTGGATGACGGTGGTAATACTGCCTTGATGATGTTTTGTAGATACGAAGGAAGGTTTCATCAGAGGTCCGAGGAGGCGAAGCTAAGCACTATGACAACACTACTAACCCATAAGCCGCAAAGTTTTGATAATATCCGCCGGGCTCTGAAGACGGCCTTGAGATGCTCTCTCAACACGCAGATGGTGGAACTGCTTATCAAACACGCGAGTCCTGGCATCTTGGATGACGAGGGCAGCTCTGAACTACTCATGGAGGCGTTGAGTCATGTAAACTATGCCATTGCCGATTTTCTTATGGAGAGCGGACTCAGAAAGCCCACTTCGGTAGAGATCGACTCCATCATAGCCAAGTCAGCGAGATCTGAAAAGACCACGGTTATGGCTTATCTTTCAAGGTTTCCGCAATCATACGATCTGCTAAGGGACCCGAACCGTCTTCTCGACTACATCAGGAAGGGACATACCGAATGCGCCCGGTTTATGATCAAGCTCGAAATGCCGGCTAGCTGCGAGATCTTTCTAGTAGAAGCCTGCGGGACCGGTAATTCCGAGATTGTTGGTCTGCTTCTGAAGAAGGGAGCCGATCCGAACCGATCCTCTGGCACTGATCTTCCTCTAGTCAAAGCTATTTTAGGAAATCATCCACTTGTTGTTCGTCTGCTTTTAGATCACGGCGCTATCACTAGCCGCCGGGACTTTGATGCCTTGAACCTCGCAATCGTACGCGGTAAGAAAGATGCCGTCAGCGCGATTCTCGCCCACCCCAGCTACCGAGCGACCGAATCGGAGCGCACTGCCTATCTGGAAGCTGCTTGTTGCGCGAGCCCAGCTGCGTTCGGCCGAGGCGAGATATTGGGTTTGATACTAGAATCCGCAAGCCCTAACGTGGTACTACCGATGGCCGCTGCAACGCCTTTGCACATGTGTATAGCGCGAGGTCAGGATGATTCGATCCGCGTCTTGCTCAACGCCGGCGCGAATATACACATGCAACTCGGTCCGGACGACTGCTCATCGGCAGCTGCTATGAATCGCTTTTGGGGAACGACGCCGCTAGAATGGGCGATCAAAAATTCGCCCATCTATGTGATCGCTAACGTGCTGCGTACCGGTAGTTTTCTGGACCTCCAGGTTCGTTTCACTCTACGCGAGTTTTGCCACCCGCGACAAGAGGCGGCGCAACTGCGCTATATCCGAGCCGCTTGTCGGAGATACGACCCGGAGGTAATTGGACTCCTACTTCGACACGAGATCCCCCTCCAACTACGCGACAACGAGGGAAATTCTTTCTTGATGATATTCTGCCAAACTATCGTGAGCATCTGGCAGTCCGAAGATCCGGACCGGCGGGCAGATTCGACCGGTGAGAAGTCAGCTAGATGCATCATCGCCCTGCTCAAGGGCGGCGGCGATCCGCAGAATATAAGCAACCCGCAGCAGAAAAACAACGAAGGCGTCTCCGCCTTAGATTATATACGTCGCATCATGACTTACGAAGGACCTAGCCACTTTCACCAGGTGGTTGCAAAGGCGTGGAATAGGGAACTGATCCTCGACGACGAAGGCGTCCGCGAGAGAGGTTAGCAATGTAGCCGAAGTTGCTTCAAGTACGTCCGGAATCGAACCCTCGTCGAGTATCTAAGCAACCGCGCTCGTTCAGACTTTGCATCAGACGAATAGTATGTGGTACGATCCTAACTCGTAGCCGACCTTGCGAACGTTTTGCATGTATTAATAGCTTCCTGTTTATTTGCTCATCGGTTAGTCTATTTTATGTAGCCTTTAGGTACGAGTTTGGCCGAACCGCCCCCGAACGGACTCTCCCGAACCTAGGTAGCTAGCTAGGTAGATAATTCGACGAACGCGCTGACTTACAATACGACACCGGACATCGCTAAGTTCTACCCAACTCCTTAAAAGGCGTGCCTAGTACTAGATGAACTAACATACCTAAGCTAATAACTTTGAGCTTGACTAACTTGTAGAAAACGGCGATGCTTCCAGCAATAACCGCCCACATGTTAAGTAGGTATATTTAAGTAACGATTGAACCTCTGGTTCGTATAATGTAGCGTATAAACTCCCGTCTCCCTCAATCGGACAGCCCAGACTTACTTAATATTTACCTAGATAACTAGCTCGAAAAATTTTCGTTGTTCTGGTCGACTTTGTAAGATGGATCAGAGGTTTATCAGCATGTCAACCACGAACGAAATCGGGTCGCGTTGCTAATAACAGCGCATCGTAATATCAGCCTCGATAAATTGTCAACTCAACTTTCGCATCTGTTCCTCCATGTATTCTGAGTGGAGTGTAGTTACGGGATTTGATATCTCGCCCATTACCGTCTGAACCCGGTCGAGTAGGAACGGTCCTGGATTGCACTCGTTATGGTCGACCCGGGAATTATCGGCTGCACCAATATCGTGGATGATGATGTTGGTCATCTTCGAGTAAACGGCCATCACACTCTCCTCTACTTCATCCGCGTCGGGGAGCGGCCAGAGACCCGCCCTTATCAAGCAGAAGGTTATAGAACCGAGAATCATGGACTCGCACCTGTGAGGGCCCATCCAAACGGCGTGGCGGCACCACCTTGGCTTCTCGTCGACCACAGCAAGGTTTTCAATCATCTCCCCAAATATACCCAGCAAAGCTCGCAGCGTCTGGATACGAATCGTCGAGATACGTTCTATGGCACTATTAGTCCAACGTCAAGAGCTAACCCTTCTCCGGAACGAGTCTTACCGATGATATCGGGCGGATATTGAATTTCGTCCGCTCCGGTAGAAAATATTGACGCCTCACACTCTAGCACCATCCTCCTGGATAAAGCCGTGAAGGTATTTTTCCAGCCCAGCTCCCACGATATCCATAATATCTTGGGCATCAGCTCTTTCGATTCTCTCTCCAACTTTTCTACCGCCGCCATCCACTTATTTGACCAGGGACCTAGGGTGCGCGTAGCATCGTAAAAGTGCGACAACACGGTCAAATCATACAGCTCGTCGACGGAAAGCATCTTTGGTATCTGCTCAAAGTGCCCGTGCGCAATGGAAAGAAGCACTGCCATCGCTGCAGGCTTGTCTTCGGGGAGGTTCACGATCCAATCATCCGCATCCTTGGCTTGATTGGATCGCCCTTCTGAGAAATCACCGTACAACATACGGTCAAAGACTGGCGATGCACGCGCGAGAGACCTAGAACAGGCAGTGAAGATGATGGCCGAGGAATCGCGATCCTGTCCGATTCTAAGTTTGACGTCACCACGACGATCGAATTCTGTAAGCTGAGCTGACATGTCTACCTAGGAATTGGTCCCGACGGCTTAGGTAGGGTCTCGAATTAGGATCGGCAGACGCATCCTAATATACGTCGACCTGGGATTGCTTAAGCAGAATATTCAACACTGCCTACGACGGACGGTCTCGTATCGGAGTTTAGTCGTAGGCTGAGCCCATCGCCAAGAAAAGTCTAGGCTATCCGCCGAGATAGCGAGCAGTAAGTGCTGGTCTAAATAAGCAACTAAGGAGCCCCCTAAAGCATAAAACACAGCCCTATTATAACAGGCCTCGGGGTGGCGCAGGAACCAGGCACACAGTATCCCCGGCCTGCTTGCGTATCATTCACTTGACGCATTTCGAGGCTAGGCGTAGTGATGCTAAGTTAAATTCTCGTGCGCTACTTTCCTCCCTCTGCAATGCTGATAGTTTTAATACGGCGAGCATAGCATTTTAACGGGCATGCAACCTGAGTTAGGTAGGGTGCTTATAGCCTTTGAGGCTTGGTCGCTGCTACCGGGATAATGGACAGCGCATAGTTCAACGCAGCCAAGATACGTGAGAAATCGCGTATCGTGTTAGCTACCTAAATAGGGGCCATCCCTTTTAACGATGCTAGCAAAGTTTGTCTCCTACCATATCGTCGCTTCTATTTCCATATCGAAACAAATTGGACCTGAACCAGAAGCATCTACCGAAGATACCTAAACTTCGTTCTTTCAAGCAGGAGGCATCCGTGGTCGAATTGATAACGCCTTGTAGCTGAGCTAATGGCTTCGGCATGGATAATACAGGACTGCCTCTGTATAGATTCGTGTTATTGTCCTCGAATGCCCGACGAGTGCTTGAAATGCAGCCCATGATATAATGCTGGTCGAGACTTATAGCAGCCACTGGAGCTGACTGTACGTGTATACGCTGAGACAGGCGAATGCCATTCAGTTGAAAAGACGAAGGGCGAAAGGTGCTGGATTTATCTCGAGTATTACATATGATACGTAGTAAAGACCAAAGTTAACCAGATTGGTACAGTATTGGTACAGTATCTCTTGTGATTTCTATTAATTCCAGGCTGTCGCAACTTGGCGGTAGCATTTAAAGTTATGCTGCTTTAGACCAGGACGACAGCCTTCAACTTAGTGGCCTATCACAAGAGTCCAGGTATCTATCCACCTGGTTTATATGTATACCGAGTAATAATTCAGTTCGTTATATGCCTGCGTGACCACAAAGGCTGCTTTCCGGGGCATGTTATGAGGGCTTAATACCACTATGTAGTATGTCTTTACTCATTAGTCGAATAGGCTATCTTTCTTGCATCTTTAACTATGTAATGGCGTCATACTTGGCTGTCGAATCCTAGGTATAGCCCGCTGAAGTGATACCAACCTGTCCCCGTAAAGAAGCTGGTGGGGATTTGATGCTTTTAAATTATGGTACCTACTTCGTACATATACCGAGTGGCAGGTCCCGAGCCGCCGTCGTTTGGGGAAGTGGAGAAGAGACGAAGAATTGGATGTCATTGAGTCGGTCCTAGTGGTAATCCGTACTACTGGCGGAAATAATGCTTAGTTACGTGGTGTTTGTAGGTGTTTGCAGGAATTCCTCTGCTACGCTAGACCTCCTCTTATTTGGCACCATGTTAGTGAAGATGACATCGTTAGCGGGTGTCTTAAGTTGCTAGTATCATAGGGTTAACCCTTGGATACCGACAGGTTAAGAACAAACGGCATATAAATATCAGTGACACAGTCTCGGATGTATTATAGGTCATCATGTAATATTAAATTATTTTCGCATCGCATGCGCCTGTCATGAGACTACGTTGTTAAGGTTGATGGTGTGATTACTGGAAATGTTTTGGTGGTGATGCGTTCTTAGATGGCGACCGAAACCAATAGAAGAGAATACTCTAGATTCGGTGTCTCAAGATGGTGGATGTGGTGGATGTGGTGGATGTGGTGGATGTAATGGATGTGGTGGAGGAAGTAATATTTAATTACTAGCGTCGGGGCGTTGGATCTATGTATTGTACATTAAAGGTACCTAGGTACCTTCGTAGTTAAGGAGTTACGTGCTTACATACTTCATGACTTCATGTACGTCACGCTAAAATTCTGGGTCTTACAGCTGGCAGATCTTGGCTTCAATATTTGTACCTCTAAACCTGCAAGGAGAATTGAAAATTGAATAAAAACAACTAACGTTAATTACCCAAGACATCTTAAAAACCGTTATACTCTATTGTTTCAATAAGTATCACTCGGGTAAGGCTAGATTTATAGACACAAGCTTAACGTGAGAATCTTCCGGAACTGTGGAACGACAGACTTATTATTAGTACCCGGATCGCGATCTTCGGGATTCTCGGGTGCCAAGACGGACGGACGCATAAATGGTCCCGCTTTTTGGATCTCGTATAAGTCACAGCCACCATAGGCTTTGACCAATCGACCCGGCCGCCGATAATTCGAAACCCGGTACTCAGCCTCCAACGATCAACTGCTCGTATAGGTAAAATAATCATGATTGGGCTGTCTTCCAAAGTGACAAACATATGTATATATTACGTATATTACATATATTCAAATATTTTGATTCGCTAGTATAAATGGAGCATATACTCAGATCAGGGATGCATTAGAACCTAGGATTCTTTTAACAATACTTTTATGGTGCCATATGTCACGTTTCGACTTGGTCTTTCACGTTTCCTTCTCTTATTACTCGTCCTTTCGCTCTTTGACTGTTCTAAAGTAGTTTCTTAGTTCGTCCGCTCTGCTTTTTGTCGTAGATATTTGCCATAAGAAACTTCACGCACTCGCTATTCTAACTACTCGGTATACCAATCTGCAACTTCAACTTGTCTACGTAGTCTAATTCCGTTAGCTTGACAAGACCACTTACATCGATCTTTAACGACTGTAATGAGAACATAAGATGGATCCGACAGATAACCAACCCTATTCTAGAGGGTACGAGCTGCGGGATATTCCCGGAGACTCAACTGTAAGTTATACCCCCATTCCGTAGTTCTAACAACAAAGAGCTTCTGTAAACTAAATTGCAAAGGATAACCTCCACTACACCGAGCATGATTCCTACGGCGACCGACCCTACTCGCTGCACGGCTACGATTCGGATAGACTTAACCGCCCAGTTTCCCCCACATCCATATATAGCGGGGATACTGCTACCCGAGGAATCTATCATCTGCCTCCTGCGGCGACCGTGACCCACGCCGCGGACGACTTCGAGCAGAATAACTTCGGCAACGGCTTCGGCTACGGTAGGCCCCCGTCGACTTATAACGAGCAGGAAACATGGGCGGAGCGACAACAGGCTCCTATAGAGAGCTTAAGCGGAGGAGGGATTCGACGTCGCAATACTCGCAAGATCAAGTTGGCGCAAGGTCTTCAGGGTTCCGTCTTGAGCACCGAATATCCGGTCCCGACACCCATCCGCAACGCTACAGAACCCCAGTATCGAGATCTGGAAGAATTCAAAATGATGCGGTACACGGCGGCCACGTGCGACCCGGATGATTTCACCCTCATGAACGGATACGACCTCCGCGCGCGCATGTACAACCGGCACACCGAGCTAGTCATAGCTATCACTTATTATAACGAAGATAAGATCCTCTTCGCTAGAACGATGCATAGCGTGATGCAAAATGTACGCGATATAGTGAAGCTTAAAAAGTCGACCTTCTGGACAAAGAGCGGACCGGCATGGCAGAAGATAGTGGTCTGCCTAATATTTGACGGTATAGAGAAAGCCGATAAGAGCGTGCTCGACGTGCTAGGAACGATGGGAGTTTACCAGGACGGCGTTCTCAAGAAGGACATCGACGGTAAAGAAACGGTCTCTCACATATTCGAGTTTACGAGCCAAATCTCCATCACCCCCGATCAGCAACTCATCCTGCCGAAAGAAAACGACCCCAGCAACCTACCTCCCGTGCAGCTGCTGTTCTGCCTAAAACAAAAGAATAGCAAGAAGATCAACTCGCACCGCTGGCTGTTCAACGCTTTCGGTCGTATCCTGAATCCCGAGGTCGTGATCCTCATCGACGCCGGAACTAAGCCCAGTCCAAAATCCCTACTCGCCTTGTGGGAGGGATTCTACAATGACAAAGACCTCGGCGGCGCCTGCGGCGAGATCCACGCCATGTTGGGCAGGCGAGGTAAAAAACTACTCAATCCGATAGTAGCCATCCAAAACTTCGAATATAAAATCTCAAACGTCTTGGATAAACCCCTGGAGAGTGCGTTTGGTTATGTTACCGTCTTACCGGGCGCCTTTTCCGCTTACCGATTTCGGGCTATTATGGGTCGGCCCCTGGAGCAGTATTTCCACGGCGATCACACGCTGTCGAAGATCTTGGGTAAGAAGGGCATAGATAATATGAACATTTTCAAGAAGAATATGTTTCTTGCCGAGGATCGAATTCTGTGCTTTGAACTTGTTGCTAAGGCCGGCCAGAAGTGGCACTTGAGCTACATCAAAGCTGCTAAAGGAGAAACTGATGTACCCGAAGGTTAGCATCCCCTTTTTTTTCTCCCTGTTATTATTTCTGCTCGGCGGGAATTGCTCCGACTGATATTGCGAGTACTAACACATTAACGATGAATAGGTCCCGCCGAATTTCTAAGTCAGCGACGGCGTTGGCTAAACGGCTCCTTCGCCGCGTCGCTGTATTCTCTCATACACTTTAATCGACTCTACAGGTCCGGGCACAGCATCATACGGATGTTCTTCCTGCATATCCAGTTTCTGTATAATATCGCCCAGATCACATTCAGTTGGTTCTCTCTCGCTTCCTACTGGCTCACTACTATCGTCATCATGGACCTCGTCGGCACTCCCGTTCCCGAGACGAATTACCACGGCTGGCCGTTTGGTGACGTCGCTACGCCGATCGTTAACGTGGTGCTCCGATATCTCTACCTAGTTTTTATCCTCGTCCAGTTCATCCTCGCTCTAGGCAATCGCCCCAAGGGTTCGAGGCACTCCTACATCGCCTCGTACGCTGTCTTCGGCGTAATACAGGCCTATATTATCGTCTTATCCTTCTATTTAGTATACCGCGCCTTGCAAACGCCCCTCGGCGATCAGATAGACACCTCTAGCGCCGGAGCGTTCTTCGCGAGCATGTTCGGCGGCAGCAGCGTCGCAGGCGTTATCCTGCTCGCCCTCATCACCATCTACGGTCTCAACTACGTGGCTTCGTTCATCTACCTGGACCCTTGGCACATGTTCCACTCTTTCCCTCAGTATCTCGTGCTGGCGTCTACCTATATTAATATCGTCATGGTATACGCTTTCAACAACTGGCATGACGTTTCCTGGGGTACTAAGGGCTCCGACCAGACGGCAGCTCTACCGTCCGTGCACGTTATCAAGGATGAAAAGACCGACGCTCCCGTGATCGAAGAGCTCGAGAGGGAGCAGGAAGACATCGACAGCCTATTCGCGAAGACCGTATACAGAGCCCTCGCTCCAGTCGAGGAAGAGGAGGTCGTAGAAAAGAAAGACACGGAAGACTCGTACAAATCCTTTAGGACCGGTCTAGTTATCACGTGGATATTATCGAATTTGCTGCTCATCGTTCTCGTCACGAGCGACGAATTCGAGTCTTTGGGCGTAGGGGTAAGTGTCCAATCCTGATTTTAATAAACAATTCTCTGCTAACATGATCATACAGAAAGCGTCTACGACCCGAACTCCTGGATATTTCCGGTTTCTCTTGTATGCTACGGCCGTCCTCTCCATGATTCGTTTCATCGGCTTCTTATGGTTTATAAGTAAGACCAGCATCATGTGCTGCTTCGCCAAGAAATAAACTTGGTTGAGCATCGGGCGTTTATGAGGGGTTGCATACCTATGGATTTAGAAATGGCGTCCGGCGAGACGTTGGGAACTTTGATATTAATAAGTGTACCGAGACCAGCAGAATAACAGCCGTCGCCGACGTGCTGTTCACGATGAAGGCGAGATTTTAGAAGATACGGAAATCTGATTTAACATCAGGTAAAGTCATATTTTATCAGCGTACTGCATAATGGGATGGGGCGTGTATTGGGTTGGCGTCATTGCACAAAAGTTTTGAAGAGTCATACACAGAAGTAGACTCACCGCCGGTCGACGATAGTGAGTCTGCCATGGGCTCAAGGGCATTATGGACCGGCAATAAGAGCTGCTAGTATGCTCGAGGCGGCTAGGCTTCGGGGCCCTTTTAATATTGATACCGATAAATAAGAATGAGCTAATATATGGCAAATATTTAATTAATTATTATAAGGCGACTTGACTCTTTTAGCTACCATGATCATATTAAACACACGGCGAGACATATCGCTACGTAGCTACTGTCGTAAAAACTCAGTAATAACGGCGATAAACTGACCGTATCCGTCGATATACGAAACGTGCCCGGCATCTTTGATGATCTCAAACCTAATGGAAGCCTGCGAATCCTTTTTTTGTAGTCCCCGCTGTACGCCGTCCCTTAACCGGAGCATATGCTCAGGTGAATCTATATCGTTTTCCCCCGCTACGAATAGAGCACCGTCGATTCCTTGGCCCGCCTTCTCGGCTAACGGGAGTAGATCAAAAGTGTCACTACGGAGAGCCGCGCAGCAAGTATCAAAGCCGTCGATGCTTGTCGTGAGCATTATCTGTCGCACGCGGCGCGTCTCATCCGGGTTAGCACTCATCCACGCAAGGCCGAACCAATGTTCGAGAATGGATTGGACAGTCCCGTCCATAGAGCCCGTTTCCCTAGCTTCCCTAATCATCGGGTCAAATATATCGGCACCTCCGGCTCTGAGAGGAGAGCAGGAAATAGTATTGCAAACCACCAGCTTCCCGATGAGGCCGGGGTATTTCGCGGCGAATACTACCCCGGTCGCTGCACCCATGCTTACGCCGATCCAGGCGTGCACCTGTGAAATCGAAAGGTAGCTTAGAAGTTCTCGAACGTCGTCAGCCAAAACCTCCAATGTAGTTGAGGATAGATCTGCCGGAACGGAGGAAGCTCCGTGGCCGGGCTGATCATAACGCAACACGGCGAAGCCCTCGGAAGTAAGCTTCGGAACTACATGATCCCAAGTAGCAAACGGCCCGGCTAAGGGGTTAGAGAGGATGACGACGGGCGCATCCGATTTAGAAGGTACCGGCGTTAAGGCGTAGGAGAGCGTGCGTGAAGATGGTAGAGTTAGCGAAGAAACTGATGTTGCCATGTTGCCATGTATGCGGACTTGGATTTGATAGCGAAGCAGGGCGATATCATGCTGGTAGTTAACCAAGAGCCTACAATTTATCTTGATTCAGATATGTCGGCCCCTCGAATTATTAACATACATAGGATCGCGGGGCTAACAGTTTAGTTCCGCTATGCCCGGGGCCGGTTTATTATATATGTCTCGGTATGTCCGTGTTATCACCAGATCTTACTCTGAGAAGGATCTGTATCGAAAACGGTATTATGTATAGCTTCAGCCCGGAGCAGCTGAGAGTAGAGCTACTCCACATATCCCATAGTACGGGTAACCCGGTTGCCAAGCTATTAATCTATCGTATGGCAGTCAACAGTTTAGAACACACTTGAATATTATTCTGATTCCCTCATTACATATAACCACCCTACTGCTGTGTCGTAGCCCCCCGCGCTACGAAGTAAAATGCATACTAACCTTGAGCCCCTTATGCCCAGCAATCTTGCCCGTTGCATCGCTCATTATTTTGTTGACATATGGAGTCGAGCCGTTTTTCGCAACTAGGTAAGCATCTAAATAGTATACGTGTCTACAAGTAATGTTTATTACCGAAAGAGTTGAAGTATCCATATTTCGAAATTGGCCGAGGTTGATCTATCCATCTTCCATCTCTCTTTGTACATTATGTATTAGATCGATTAGGTACCTAACTATCTTATCTTTTATACACCCCTATGAACTGCATACACGTGCATGTGACTAGTAGTAATAAGTTGTGCCGTAATCCGTGCAAAACCTTGATATGCGCTTGAAACTCGAGCGATAAGACAGATTGGAGATTCGAGACAGCATGTACCAAAGATCTCAATTGACCTATGAGTACGCCCCTCTTATCAATTTATGGCTTTTGCCTTTCTTTTGTATGCGAGACAAATTCGTATACGACGGTAGAACAAAATACCATTGACAAATTAACGATTCCCCATTATAAATAACCTCAACGGACAGGCTTCATTTTAATAAACATATTGGCATATGCAGGTACAAACATTCAGACACCTGAGATATAATGGGGAAAGTCGAAGTACCTTCTATGTATATGAATTAGCATTGGGGATGGTATGAACGCTAAATAGGCGGGTGTATGAGAAGCACGCGCTAGTCTGTGGTACAATATGTACTTGCACAGTACAATGGACAGCCTTATCCTTAGACGGTCTCCGAGGATCCCGCCAATTCCGATCGGTAAATCCTTGAGGAACCGGTCTAATCATGCAATTAGCCAATCAAATTCTGAACCTGTCGCGTCTCCTTTTGTTGGCGTGGAGTTTTTATCAAGAACCGAAATCCCGTCTTTCCCAACTTTTTTTTCCATCTTCACGAGATCCGTAAATCGTGGGTTCTTTTTTTCACAGATCCCAATCTTCCCTTTTTCCTTTTCACCTCTTCTTTTTTTTTCTTACTTAGCCGGCGAGACCATCGCTGGTCTGTAATACTTCAAGTCACTCCTTTCAAACGGCCGTTTCTTACTACTTGAGCTTCTCGTCGCGGATAGCCTTGCTAGTTCCTACCTCCCTTGAAACATAGAGCGCAAGTCACTACGCGACTTCGAGCACGCTTCAATTGTGTCTGATACAGACTATTCTACATCATGGCTTCCCCGGCCCCCGCCGCTCTCTGGGAAGCTCTTCCTGTTCCGACACTCGACCGACCTTTTGGTATACAATTATGGCCTTACTTCAGCAAGGCTTTTGAAGTAGTAGCGGGTTATCCTGCTGACGACTTTCGATTCGTAGCCGGCAAGACGCCAATGTCTACTCTGAAGGAGACATTGTCATTTATTGTCATATACTACCTAATCATCTTCGGCGGTCGCGAGTATATGCGCAACAGAGAGCCCTTTAAGTTGAAGGCTCTCTTCTTGATCCACAACTTCTATCTTACCGCTATTAGTGGTATACTTCTAGCACTATTTATCGAGCAATTGCTACCAACCATCGCTCGCCATGGAATCTTCTTTACGATCTGCGATACCGACGGCGGTTGGACGCAGCCTCTGGTGGTTCTTTACTACGTAAGTTCTCGTTTGACAGCCCCTATTCGCAACCAAGGGATAAAGCTAACCCGAGTCAGCTGAACTACCTCACCAAGTACCTGGAACTTTTGGACACCGTATTCCTGTTCTTGAAGAAGAAGCCTCTAAGTAAGCCTAAATCCTGACTTGATACCGAGGGTCGGTGTTTCTAACGCATAATATAGCCTTCCTACACTGCTACCACCACGGCGCTACCGCATTCCTCTGCTACACCCAGCTCCTCGGTTCGACCGCCGTGTCGTGGGTCGTTATTACCTTGAACCTGACCGTCCACGTCGTTATGTACTGGTACTACTTCCAGAGTGCTCGCGGAATCCGTATCTGGTGGAAGGAATGGATCACCCGCCTACAGATCATTCAGTTCATCATTGACCTTGGTACGTTGGAATATTTGGTTGTGACATTTTCCAGACGGGGCGCAAAACTAATTTGTATGCAGGATTTGTCTACTTCGCTTCGTACACGTACTTCACGTCTACTTACTTCCCGAGCATGCCGAGCGCAGGCAAGTGTGCCGGAGAGGAGTTTGCCGCTTTCGCTGGTATTGGTACTCTGACCTCTTACCTGGTTCTCTTCATCTCTTTCTACTTCGCTACATACAAGAAGGACCAAAGGGCACCAAGCACGCGTAAGACTCTTCGCCGCATGTCGCAGGCTCCTCTTCCGGACCATCACACCGTTGCACACGCGGCACAAATACCGCAAGCCAAGGCCACCGGAATTAAGACTAACGGAGTCACAACTCGATCCCGAAAGGCTTAAAGCATAAGTTGGTGTTGCTAGTCCAGATACATGGCCCGTAGTTGACGATATTTGGATCACCATTTCAAGTTAAAACATTTTTGTATTCCGATATGAATAACGGACTCGGGTGCTAGGAGCTACGTAGAGGCCGCCCCTTCTTTGGCCGTTGGAGTATTGTATTAATGGCTTTGTCATTGACGACGACATATCATAAAAAGAGGCTACGACGGGACACTGGGCAGGGGAGATGATAGTAATACGGTGTACACTTATAGGAGTTTCGTTAATTGGAGTTTACGGACGGTTGGGTGATGATGACAAAATCATCTGAGGATCTTAGGACAGCATGGAGGGACGTCGGCCATGTCACCTCAACATTGTACCCTTTCGTGTCGCATAATCCGGGTCGACGCTTCGAGTCGAAAGAGAAACGAACAATATGCATAATAGCAGTAATATGATTGATAATAAACCAAAATCGCTACGAGGCTAGTTTGCTGTGAGAATGAGAATACTTGGAACCCTCAGGGAGCTTAGGTACGGGAGCATGCTATTACGCCTTCTATTGCTTTTGGTATACCTATGCTAACAGCTCGGTAATAGATTACTATACTACATATCTAAGACAGCATAGCAAAATTAGCTAATTTTGGGGGTGCTAGGTACGTTACGTACGTGAAGGCCTACAAATAGACATCTGCTGAGTGGCGTTTGGATTCTACATCTATCCTATTATACGTCGTTCCCGCCACCACCGGTGAGTCGGTTGTCCGGAGGGCTTAAGTCTTAACTCAAGTCATTTTCAATCGAGCTTTATGATCTTATGTGCCTAGAGTCCTTGGGGGGGGTGCCTTGCCAAGGACGCCTCCGGCCTCTATCACAGGCTCGGCAGGATTTAGGTGACACGAATGGCGATACTATGTAAATGTATTCACATAGAGATCTATGATTGGCCCGATACTTTTGTCCTAGAGACAAGAACTTGGGGTTTGGCCCGGTAGAAATAAGACATTCACACTGCGCTATGGCGCTTTCATCCCTACCTTATTAGATAGGCGTTGCGGAATAACAGTTTAATAGGTAGTAATGATCGATTGGGGCCGTAGCGATGATTTCACTCTCATCTCTACTTCCCGTATGGAGTCCCTGTGCCGTATTAGTTGAGGTTCTGGATGAACCCTATCATCATGCCGCCTTACAGCACGCTAGAAGTTCATATGGTTGAAAGCTATGGACCATACGACTACGAGACTACGAACAAAGAGGCTGTTAGATACTCCAATCATGTATATCCCCAGCCTGCCCCCTTTGAAACTGAAGGCTCAGACGCCTACTTCCCGGAGGTTGTTAATTATGAGGGAGAAGGACTTCCGAGCGATACAGCAACACTTGACAAACCACCAGCAAGCCGAATTTGTGGTCTGTCAAAGCGTATATTCTACATTGTTTTGTCGGTCGGGTTGGTGGTGGTGATTGGCGCTATTGTTGGGGGAGTAGTAGGCGGCATCTTGGGTGGACAGCATCATACTCTCAAACATGCAAACGATTCGCAGGAGGATCCGTCCGGTATTCCGAACGCAAATAGCACCTCGTCGTCGCCCCCTAATGAGAACGTACTCAGTATATCGAAGTTAGCATCCTCAAACATAACGGACGACAATGGCTACGTGCATCGATTTGTGTTTTTTCAAGACACGTACAATGCTATTATTGAGCGAAGATGGGATTCGCAGAATAGAACTTGGATTACGAGCAACATCACGGAAACTATGAAAGGTTCCGCAACGCCGGTGAATCCTCTGCCCGGAGCGCCCCTGGCCGTCGCGTCATGCAGCTATAATACCGTATTTGAGACTCATCTCTGGTTCACCGTCCCGGATAACTATGTGAGCGCGGTTTGTCTGTATCATGCGGACAAGGAACCGGACGGATGGGAATACGATACTCGATACACGGGCGCTCTACAGACATATCCAGGGTCGCAACTAGCAGCGACGTGGCAACGCTGCTGGAGCGAGTATTGTATAGGTAACTGGGTCCTTGCTTACCAGACGCCTGAGAGAGATATAAACGTCGCCAATGCTTCTTACTGGGACAATCCGAGTAAGGTAGTAGGGGGGAGAGACGTAGCAGCCAATTCTAGCTTGGGCATCATACCTCAGCTAAACGGACTCGGGACTGATCGACTAGTTCTTATCTCGGAGACTCCCGATTCACAGACGAGTAGCTCCATGCAGAAGACTACGTACTTGAACGAGTGGGAACCTGGTAGGTCTCTTACCGTCTAACGTTACCCTGCTGTTCGCCTTATATATCCACGTATAGCGTCTAGGTACCTAAGCCACTAACGCAGAAACAGACGGGCTCCTAATCGAAGGCTTACCCCCTCCCTCGCCAAACCTACAGTTCGCCGTCATGCTCATGGAGAACTTCACGCAGACGATGTTTCTAACCCTGCGCCCAAACGGCACGGTTAGCGCTCTGTGGTGGGGAGGTCACTTTACGTCTATACCGAGCGTCGACTTCCGCGGAGGGCCGTCGGTCAACTTTACCGCTATCTCGGCGGGCGAAGATTCCGTGTTTTACGGCATATCTGGCGACGAGGTCCTGCAGTACGAACCGGACCCTTTGGATCTTTTCAGCTTCACGTACGTTAGTCGGGTTTATCCGTGAGTATCGCACCTATTGCGGAATCCAGGGAAGGCTGTTTGTTTTGTGTCGATTATACCGGGTCGTATGGAATTGCGCCAGGATAAGGCGCTGGTGGGATCTTGTCGATTCCCTTCTATCGGTAATTTCATCTCTATCCCTTCACCTTACTTAAATTTTCAAGTAAGGGAGGATGGTCTACTGATATGAAGACGGTATAAGGGGAGAAATCTATGCTACCTTGAAGGCTATTATCTGATGCTCTTCATTGCCATTGGGATAAAGTAGATTTTAAGAGAGGTCAAAGTTCAAACTGCGGTTACAATTGAAATATTTGTATTTTCATGTCTCTATAGGGGGCAGCGACTGAAATATAGTTACGGTACTTAACTCCCTAGGTACCTATAATGATTTAGCACTTCCATTATTGTAGAAATATGAATGAGCGATCCCTGGATAGCCTGGTGTTGACCATTCACGGCCCTTGTCACGAGAGGGGGGACCTATGTAATAATTGAATTTCTTACCAGTCAAAACCTGCAGATCGCACTCCACGCTGTTGGTTAAGCATGTGCCCAGCGTTCGCCGTGAGGCGCAGTAGACGTAGGGATGACGCCGATTTGAGTCATCCGGTATTACTGTTACGAGGTATTTAGTTAATTATTTTAAGTCTGGTGGCCTTGCAAGCCTTACTTATATAGCACACATTCACACATTACAGCCCTTATCGTTCCTTAGCGTACTAGGTGACGTGGATTACACCTTGAGTTCCTTCCAACAAATAGATACTAAAACACACGAACTAAAGCATATGTGCGCTGAAGTATCTAAATACATATACCTAGATTATCATAGATTGTCATAATCACCACTTTTCATATTCGCGATTTAATATGGCGGAGAAAAACAAAAAACCAGAAGAGGCATGGCTAGAGACAGAGGAAGAGGACGCTCTCTTTCCCTCGCCAGGAGAAAGTCCTCTCTTCGACGGCCCCGAAACCCTCAAGCCGTGGGAAATCCACGAATTGAAAGTGGCAGAGAAGGTAGAGGCGATCGTGCAAGACGACTCGCTCGACGAGCCAGCCAAAATCGACGCCATCGCCGAGGTGCGGAATTGGTTCAACGGCCCTACGGAGATCATTGATGCTTTCCTTACCGGCGACATCGATATCGGGACGGCTGTTGATAGGCTAGCTGCGCCAATCGAGAAGGCGTATTCGACTGCCGATTATGGTAGGGCGTACTACTATGCGGAGATGACGGCGCGGAGTCAAAGGCAGAATAAAAGCCCGGAGAAGGCGCTTGAGTCGGTAAGCCGGTCTGAGTGCTTCCTTGCGTTACCTTGCGTTACCTCGGGTGTCTGGTAGTTGAAGTAGGAACTTGGGAGGAGAGACTACATTTACCACATCGAGACTATAAAGGAGAAACAGTCAAGGAAATATACATACCTAACCTACATACATACTAACCTCACCTCTCACAGTGGGGCCCCGAGGAAGACTGGCCCAAACCCTCCCCCCCCGCCGACGAGACCTACGAGACCGACGAGGATAACACAGAAGGACACCTCTGGTCCCTCTGGTACGGCATCCTCCACGCAGCAAAGCGCATCCCCTGGACCGACACCATCGGACAAGAGCGCCTCCTCGCCCTCGTCGAGGCCCTCAAGCTGCGTCCCGACCCTCCCCTACCCTCCCCCATGACCATCCCCCTAAAACGGGACTGGATCTGGGCAGACGGCACCGTCTGGAGCACGCTCAGCATGCTGCGCCCCAGCGCGCGCGAGGTCTGGAACAACTCCCCCGGCTACGGCGCGGGCTGGTCCCTCCCCGAGCAGCACGCGTGGATCAGCGTAAACGCCTTCATGGCGCGCCTAGTCGCCAGCGGCACGGGCGGCGGGTTCGCGGTATACGGAGACTGGGCGGTCTCCGAGGCGTTGGAGAGAGTGCCGCGGAGCGAGGGGCTGCACGTCAAAGCACCGGCGGTCACGCAGGCGACTCTCAGGATCACGGCCGCCTGCGTGTGGCTGCAGATCGCGGGGCGGTACATGTGGAATCTGCGCACGGACGAGGGCGTGCCGCCGGACTTGAGGGTCGCGGATCTGGGGGCGCGGGAGAACAAGTTGCCGTGGTACGGGCAGAAGAAGGGCGCGGAGGAGGCGAAGAGGTGTACGGTACGGTGGGATTTCTGGCGGAGACGGTTGGAGCAGGAGGGGGAGAATGAGGAGTTGCCGGGGGAGGTGAGGGAGTTGGCGAGGGGGTCGGCGGAGATGATTGGGAAGTTCTTGGAGGGATATTGAGGTCGAGGTCGATGTTGGGTTTGGACGGATTGCTTGAGAGCTAATGAATGAGATACCCTCTTTTCTCGCCGTGTTTAGGGCGTTGGTTTCGGTTTCTTACCTAGCTAGTTCTATGATAAGATACTTTAAAGAATTACATGTTATTTGAGTTCTGTTTTAATGATGTTATTGAGATATGCTATAGTTAAGAGTACGTATATAAGGCTATCGAAATTATATAAGTGAAATACTGATGGTGGTCTAATAGTGGGATCGGTCTTACGAGGTAGACAGGTTCTCAGAAACTCAGGAGTAAACATTAAGAAGCCCCGAGGCTTATAGAGATTAAAAGTCCAAAACCTTTATTGAATTACCCGAATGAATAGTCAGAGACAATCGATTATCTGTTTTTTATATTGAGTTACTCACAACCAACAGAGACGGGGGAACTTTACCTTCTAAACCCGTGTACTGGATGTGGCTGCTACCGAACTGTTCGAAGAGACTCATACTGCGGATAATACGCTGTCGGGTCCAAAGGTTGGGGGTGCACTAACACGCAAACTACCTAACTTAATGTGGGAAGAGAAGCTATCATGTTCCTATCTATCCACTATGGTAATGATGTTAGTTATTTAGTCGATATAATTAGCATCATTGAGAGACCAAGGGGTGTCATCTTTCTATGTTACTACCTACATACCTCTAACTACCTACACATAGGTATAACCTAGGTAGGTAAATAAATAAACCAGCTATTCAAGCAGCGTCGATCACTGCTGTAAATGTTAATTAGATCATAGTAAAGACGCTACACCCCGCCAAGCCAATGGCAGCAAATTTATTTTTCCTTGCCTGAATCAACAAGCTGATGAAATGGAACAATGGAACAAACGCGAAGGCGTCACTCTGTTATATGAATGTCTTATCAGCCCGCTAGGTCGTGCGTAGTGTCCGCTCGCTCCCACTACTTTGGTCAGTTTTCAGATCTCGGTTCGATTCCCGGATGAATAGTGTATACCCTCCCGCCTCAAAAAGATTTCCGGACCTACCTCACACCCCACCTTACCATCTAGTCTCCGCTGGGCTTTCGATATTAGATATAACGTAACGCTAGATCTTGCTAGTTATAGTACAGAGCCGCTTTCTTGGCATATGCATCCTATTCGGGAATTAGTTCCGTCGTTATGCCAAGGAAGCTGTCACTTTCTTCTTGCTTGGTGTGCCGGCATTATACCTTAGGTGGTTAGGTACGTTACCCGGGTATCTGATCCGCCGTGGGATTTGTAGCTAGTAGCAAGGAGAGGGGGGGCGATTTCTCGGGTTCCCAACCTACCGGGACGCACCAAGTAACATGGCGCTATTATATTTATCACATCGTATATTTATAAACGTCCGTTACGAGTCCCCTATTGTACTACCAACCTGTCTCAATATTTACCTACCTTAGCGTTCCTAGCTTTACGGATGTTCACCTCGCTAAGCCGGAGCATTCAAGTCACGTTTCGCCTCTTGACTCGTAGGCAAGACCATTCTATCGTCATGTTGAATATGATGTACCGCTATGTTAACTCTCATCGCTGTGGGCTCTCTCAAGTCCCATCAGAAGAGGTGACGATAAGCCTTTTTCAGCTCCCCACACAAAGTAGACCTCTGGATCTGCCAACGTGGAGGCTGGAGGCTGGAGGCTTGGAACAAATCCCTTTCCTCGGCTCGTCAGAATTCCGCCGATTAGTTTATCATTTTAGCGTAGCCAAAGCGTAAGCCAAATCGGCAGACGGGCCTGTTGATCTGAATGCATGAGCCGCTAGTCTCAGAACGCCATCGTTGCAATTGGTCGGCTTTGTTCTCTCATGCATGTCTTGATCAGGTTTTGTTTTGCTCTTGTTTACTGCAGTCCTGCAAGGTCTAGCCCATATCACGGATATACCTGGTCATGATATCATCAAGCGAAATTTCGATGTACGACATAACACCCGCTGGGAAATTTCGTGGCGTTCCTTGCGAATGCGCTATTGGAGGTCGCCGATACGACCCTACCAGTAGGATATGCAGTACAATATAAACAGCCCGTCTGTCCCGGTTAGGACTGATTACAAAGAGAATCCCGAGAATCTCGAGAATCTGGCAAAGTCGTTTCTTCATTCCTCAAGACTTCTCACCAGTCGACTTTCACCATGGCGATCCGATCTCTTCTCCAGCTGTGCCTCTTGAGCCCTCTCGTTTCTGTTGCTACTGCGAAACCTATCATAGGGAAGAGGGGTTCCTTTGCCGATACTCAGAAGCTCTCCGACCCGTCCTTTGGTCCAGTTCCTGGTGAGAGCCCGATCTTCAGCACGTACTATGGCGTCGAGGCACCTTTCCCTGGAAACTTGAGAGATGCCGTCCTGCCGACCAAGGCCGGTCCGCCTGGTGAGGATGATGTAGTCTGGCAGAACTTGCTCTCTGCCGAATGGGTCATCTTCGACTTTTACCAGCAAGCTGTTGAGGCCTTCAACGAGACGGCGTTCATTAAGGCTGGCATGCCCAACACTACATACAAACGCATCCAAGAGATCCGGAATAACGAAGCCGGCCATCTACGCATCTTCCAGAACCAGATCTCCCCTACGTCCGTCAAGCCCGGCGCGTGCGAGCATCAGTTCCCCTTCTACGATCCCATTTCATTCCTAGCTCTCGTCACCGTCCTCGAGGTCTCCAGCATGGCTTTCTTGACCGGACTGGTACGGGACGCTAAGCTCCCCTCCTCGCAGGCTGCTATGCTTTCTATCGCCGAAACCGAGGCGCGCCACGAAGTCTGGAGTTTGATCGAAATCTGGAAGACTAACCCCTTCGGCGGCCCGTCTGACACCGTATTCCCTTACGCCAACCAGATCCTCGACACTACCAACGCCTTCATCGTGCCCGGTAGCTGCCCCCCGGAGAACCCCGAGTACCCCTCGCCGCGCCAGGGGCTGCCCGCTCTTAGCGCTGCCAAAGACACCAAGTCGCTGACGCCCGGCTCCAACATCGGGCTCAGCTTCACCGACCCGACCAACCAGCCCAAGTTCGACAGCGACAAGGAGTACTACGCCGTCTTCTTCCACGGCCTTTCTAACATCAGCGTGCCTATCGAAACGTCGTGCTGGCCCGAGAAAGAGATCCGCGTCACCATCCCCGAGCAATTCGAGACCAAGGGCGTCATCGCTGCCGTCGTCGCCGACGCCCCCGGTGCTCCGACTAAGGAGAACGTCGTTGCTGGACCGGGTATCATCCTAGAACAGCCTACCGCGCTTGCTACGAAGCTTTTGTAAATGAGATATATTAGGTACGATACGATATGGTTGTAGGAGTATATAACGGTATATGTATGAATTGGATAGTCGGCTTTGCCAATATATACAGGCCGATGGTTTAAATAATGGTTTAAAGCTATATTTTAATAATGTCAATGTTTAATCATCTTGTCCAAATCTTATAAACACCTCTTATACAATCGCTACATAAAGTTTCAATCACAGGCACAACATACTAGGCAGCCCAATAATTAATATGAACCCGAGGGCTTTTTTATTCGTCGGACGTTGCGGTAGCCGATCATATCTTCCTCCCCATGATCCTTTTATCTACTTATTTTTCCGTAGACAAGTAACCCCCTCTAACGTGACCGTATCCGTCTCTAAGTCTAAAACCGATACCCATCTCAGGTCTCTATGTATCGATTACTTTCATAGCACTTAAGACTCGGTGACATTGCAGCCGGCATCTTGTCCTTCGAAGTCGAATTATGTTAGTTTATGTATCTCCCAAGGGACGAAGGAGCGAGTATAGGTAGGTATATATAAGTAAATGGATAGGGGTCGAGGGTCACGGAGAAGTGGAGAATACGGAAGAGAAAAAAACCAAATCTTACCGCACCAGATCTGCCACAGCTGATCGCAGATCTTCTTGTCAGGACCAGGCTTGTCGCCGCAGTTCTGGGGAGCGTTGTCATTGTAGCACTTGTTGTAGGCGTGCAGGGCTGCGTTGTTGGGGCAGCTGACGTGGATCTCGTCGAACATGACGCCAGGGGTAGGCGAGGCTCCAACAGGAGGCGTGGAGATGGGGGTCGCTGTGATGGCGAGGGGGAGGAGGGCCAACAGGGAAAGTTGAGGGAGCATCTTGGATGTATTGAGAGGTCGTCAGTTGGTAGAGTGGTAACTGGTAGTTGGTAAACCGACACGAGCAGTCCGTGATGGTAGAGTAGAGTAGTCTGAAAAGGCACTAGATAACTGTGATCTATGTGAACTTCAGAAGTAAACTCCAGGGGGATGCATGTTTATATAGATATTCGGGTGTCTATCCCATCCCATATGGTTGGCCCGTGCTATCATCGTAGCTACCGCATGATCCATTGCTTCCTCAAGTGAATCATGAAAAAAAATTTCAAGGAGGAAAACTCTAAGGCATCTGTCCTACAGATGGCAGCTCGTAGTTTGGGGGGAAGTCGCGCTAGTTAGGTTCTTCCATATTCACCCCAGCGATGATAGTCGCAAGAGAGTAGCCGTCCCATGTGTACGATGACAACTCCTACGACCACGATCGGTTAGGACAGGCTCATGACAGCTGTCGCCAGGTAGCTGCCATCCTGTCTTGGGTTTTAGCGGCGACGAATACATATAAAAGGGAAAAAAGCTAAGATAGATGCTACAAGTGAATGAATGTACAGGTCATGGTCTCACTTATGTACAGTTTTAGTCCTATAGGCGGGTGCAATTTAGAAGATATCGCAATGTCGTACTCGTATGGCTTGTCCCGTAGGCTCGCACAACTAGATTTCAAATGGCTTCGCTTATAATCATATGCCAATATAGTAGCACGGGTAGGCAGCTCTTCGCTTGTCAAACCTTGTGATCCTAATGCATACAGCGGACATACTCGCCTTAATATCCTTATGGATGTCCGCAAAGATAACGATACCTTAGATAACTTATAAGATATTCCATGAATTCAGTATTTTATTATTTCTTTTTTATAGAATTATACGCATTCTTTTATTCCATGTCCAATTCCAGCAGATTTTTGCCCCGACGAGCGTAGCCCCTATTCTAAAACAGAGTGCCGTCTCTATTTCGCCAACGACATCGGTGAAGCACCACGACCTCATCACGCATATACCGTCGGTTAGTCCAATAAACGAAGGAAATCTACTTTGTCTGCTTTTAGATATACCAAGAAATAAAAATGACCCATACCTTCTGCGGAAAGGTAAACAAGCTGGCTTGATAATACAGTAACATCATATCCCTTTAATGCGTTTTTAAAAAAAAAAAAAAAAAAAAAGTTGATGCAGCCACCTAAGGAATCGAACCCCAGGGCCTAGCGACTTTTCCAGGGTATTTGTAGGGTATTTGTAGGGTAGTTGTAGGGTAATTGTAGGGTATTTTCATTAGGGTAGTTGTAGGGTAATTGTAGGGTATTTTCATTAGGGTAGTTGTAGGGTAGTTGTAGGGTAAGGCGGAATTTTATCGCTAGACCGTACCAACCTGGCCATTGTCCATTTGTTAAAGACCTCCTCTGAAATTATTACTTATAAGGTCTTATTCTGGGCGGGAAAAGGCCGGGAGCAAAGTGTGGCCTGGTAAGAAGCTTTCGTAATCGTCGCCGTTAAACTTTGTTGAGGACACGTGTTACCTATTGTTGGCTCTCGGACTGATAGGAAGTTAAAAGGTTATGATAGTATAGAAAAAGGCCGTGCTGGTGGAGTAGTTTCTCTGAATCGTGTATATATCTTGTCATTCGCCCAGTGTCCACCAGATAGTATAATAAAGCATAGTATAGTATCGTATCAGGGGCGTGATGGGACTTTAGAAAGGGGAGTTGGTGTAGAGGTGAGTATACCTATAATATAGATAGACTGTTACATATGTCACCACGTATCACTCTAAAGTTGACGTAATTTAGGTATATAAAACCATCGTTTGGACGGAATGTTCTGTATCAATGCCTATAAATGACAAGGACTAGACACACGATAGGGATAAGGGAGGTAGCAATTATGATCACTCAAGTCTTAACTTATGACCTGCAATGATCGACAATAGGAGGTTGAAATATAGCTTAGTAGCTTCTTTCTAAAGGCTCGTATACTTCTATCATACCATTGGGAAAAGAGGCTGGTAGTCTCTCATAGATTCGACGTCGGGAGCGGTAAGTTATGGCTGCCTATTTTTATATCAACAGCGCACCTGTAATTTCCAAATACATTTGTAATTATTTTGAGAGCGTACTCGCATCGATATCTCATAGGATTCACTTGTATCTCTCGTCTCAACATTGGAATTAAAATAGCCAGTATGTTTGTTAGGCGAAAAGGACTATATGTACAAGTGGATCGAATTAGTAGGGTATTTAATCCGATAAAATAAAGTACGTATATATCTATATCGAAGAAGCAGGATCGACAACGGGAAGTTTTTAAGGATTCCGTACGAAGACAAGCCGCCACAACGGTAACGGCAACAGCCCGGGCCCGCAAACACAATAAGCGAGCCCGACAAACGGCCCGCTTCCACATCGCGTAACCCGGACACCTCCCAAACCACATCTCTACCCACACAATAGCGTACAATCAGATCGATCCTGCAATCTCGTCCCCATAACCACGTGCCCGAAATCTCCAGCAGATCGCTTTTCCTCCGGTAGAAGCTAAGGCCGGCGCGACGAGGGCATCTGAAACACGGCAGGGGAGAGGCGAAACGGTAGGGTTCACGATATCCACCGTCTGTGCGGGGTGGTAACGACGACATCTCTTCGTCTCGAGTTTCAGATCTTACCTTGCATCCTCGTGCTCGGAGGGTCTATTACGTCTCTTCTCTTTCTTTTTCTTGTTCGTGATGACGTGATGAGATGTGACCCGACAGGACGGAACGGGACAACGGCCTTCCTTTGCTTCGGTGTTGCATGAGTTACGATAGCTCTGACACCGGGATCCACGCGGGGCGTGGGGATCGCCGTCTATGCGGGCATATCGGAAGACGCGGCCTCTACGCGGCCTCCCTCACTTCCCAGCTTAACCTCCTTAATGAATGATCGAACACCACGTTAAAGTGTCAAGTTAGTTATGGGGGCCAAACACCACGGGCGACCAACCTGTTGGCTTGAACCGTATACGCACTCACTATATCTAAGCGCCTCAATCATCCGATTCCTCGTACAAATCAGCAGCGGCACTTAGATAGACAGATAGATAGATAGAGGGCGGCGCGAAGTTGGAACAGAGCTGCGTTTCGATGGGCGACACTGCAGAACCCCTCCCCCTCTATTGCGACTTTGCTCAAAGCTCGATCTCGACTCGCGGGAGGGGGAGGGGGAGGGGCGTTTTTCAGGTATGCCGTTACCAAGAATTAAGCTTCTGGGCTGCTCGTTTGATATGCCTCGGGACCTGTTTCATCCAGGGGCAAGCCACGCGCCCGTCCAGCTGCTCGGGGCGTGATGCTTGGTCAACTTTGACATGCATATACATACCTCATACATATCTACAGTTAAAGCTTAGTTGACCATCCAATTAAACACCGATATCGATGTCTTTTGTCTTCAACATCGGACGGTTTCCTCCATAACTTGATGCGCCTTACACTATATATCGTCTATGCTATTATACACGTGCCGTGTTATAATATAAGTGAGATCGATACATATACGATGCGCGGCACGCAATTGGTCCGGGTGTTTAAGATCTTAAGTTTTTAGAGCGTTCTGGTTTTTGGGCGAACAAATGGTTGGCGGTTGATCGCCTAGCCGGGTTTAGTTAGGGTCTTGCATATCTGCTATGCTACATATGCTCTGTTAGTGGTACGTGAATAAGAGGCCGGCGAACTACCCAGACCCCAAATCTTTCAAGTCTTTATGCAGGTGCTGTGGGCGTCTATGTTTTTTGGGAGTCGTGATTCGCTTGTGCGAGATGGGGGCAACCGCTGCGTTGGGGTTGGGTTGGGTTGCATGATACTAAAACCTACGATGTATTCCGTACCTTATATGGTATATGCAGTGTATATACTGCTTAAGTCGCAATAGGAGAATTCTATCCTGCCCCTTGCTTTTTTTCGTCGGGCGTGCCGTCGTGTCATGTTCATGCATACATGTATATAAAGCATGAAGTACGGCAGTAGTGGCATAACTAACTATATCAGGTATTTAACCTAAGGTTATACGTGCATCTGGTAGCGTTGTGCGACTTGAAAGTTTGCTACGAGGTACCTACCTAAGGTATTGACAGCTATCCTAAAGTACCCGTTAGTTCCCTGCGCCATCTGGCCGGTCAACCAAGCCCATCATCTTCTGGATTACATACATCAAGTGTCTAAGGTAGTAAACTGCGAGTAAAATATAAACGCAATTAGGTATGTATATGCATATCCTGAACGCCTTAACGTTCTAGTTCTGCGGCGATTCATTCATACGCCTCGATTATATCCGTACCCGAGAATAACGTACATAGAATGAACCCCCTCCTCTTACATACAAAAAGTTCGTGATGCGCGCATTCGTCGAATTAGCGGTGACCTTTTTTCTCATAGCCCCCCACTCGCTCCGCCATACCATACCATACCACGTATAAGGTATACATAGCGAACGTCAAGGTGGGCATTGGCGGTCGCCGGTTCTAGATTGGCGGGATGGGGTCACGCAGCATTAATTATAATATAGTTTGGGCGAGCTTTTCCTCAAAACTCTCGGTGACCACATTCCGAAGGTGGCGCATTTGCCCATCGGGGCGGTAAAAACTTATCGCTTACACGGATCTTAAGTATTTTTTTTTTCTTTTTCCCTGGAGGAAAAGGAGAAATAGAGATGCATACACGCACAGAGTTAAAGTTAGGTTATGTATTACTACATACACGGCAGCTTGCAGCTTGCAGGTCTGTCTGGGCGTTGATGATATGGTAGTGACGGTTAGCGAGCTGTGATACTTCTCTCGTATCCGTTAGTTAGTCCTAATCCGTACTAAATAAAGTCTTCGATGTCAATACCTCGTATGCGCCTTTCTCGAGATTTCTAAAGGAGGTTGGTGAACTACTAGTACGGTGAGCGATATGCTGGATACCAAGTTCAAACTTCTGAGTTGGCTGGGGTGTGTGGTGGAGGAGGGTTATGATTGGTTTGCAGCATTGTCTTAGTCTCGTTCCTTGCAGGTATAAGCCAGTCCATACGTGTAAGTCTTGCTCGTAATAACGATGGTGTCAACTCCTTAGACCGCCCGCTATCGGTAGGAAAGAAGAAAAAAAAAATCTTGGAGGGGTCAAGAAGCGATGCGCTCTACAATACGACAATTGCGATTGGAGATGCGGTAAGGCCGAGTGTGAAACTTGGTGTGTTGAAAAACCAAGATATCGTTGTATCGTCAAAGTTTCGTTTCGCCAATCACAGGCCAGGGACTCCTGTTATACTGAAACATTTATCAGGCTTAGGTCAACTTCGGACGAAAAGGATAGAAACTAGCGATAGAATCCCCCATGTTACAAGATAAGCTATATGCCACAAGCCATAAGCCATATCGCTTTAGCACACATTACATTGAACCCATGAAAAATAATAGATTCAATAGTGAATTCAAAATGAGTTGTGACGTAATGGTATCATTCATCCAAGAGCCACGGTAAGCGCTATGGCAGAGTCAACAATAGACTCATGTAATCCTCCCATTAGCTTATTGCTACTATTTTCCCCCTTATACTGTGGCCGTTGCTCATTCACAGGCATATCCCAAGGTATCAGTTAACACTCTCCCATGAACGATGTCAAACTCAATGCACCTATAACTTGCAGCAATAATAATGCGCCTCCAAACCTAACTCCATGTTGCCTCTGTAACGCCTCCTAGCCGTATGCCCCAAGATTAACCAAATTAATAAGAAATTATGACGGTAAAGACTGTAAGTTTTTCACGGCTTGCTAAGCCGTAAACTCCGTCGCCGATTCATAGAGAGACCGCTTAATATGCCCCTCTTTAATGTTGTTGGGCTTGGGCTCGTAGGTTGTGTCGACGGAGGTAGTTTAGTAAGTAATCGTGGGTGTGATTCCCTCCGCGCCGACATCATGATATCGTTGTAAGTCACGGGGGTCTGAGGCCGTGCGGGGGCAGCAGATGCTGGCTCGTGTCTCCTAGCTTGCTGCTGTTCCTCACCGGCTGTGCGTAACGTATTTAATGTAAGTTGAAGATCCGTAGTTGAGCTTGATATGGACCTCAAACTAAAGATACTGTCTCTGGAGGCGGCGTCCTTAAGATTTGGACGGCTGCGCTTCCTAACTAAATTCATCGTTCTTTGGAGACGATGGAATGGAGTCTTAGATCGAGGGATAACGTCAGTTGGCACCGGTACCTTCGATGCTGACTCGAGCTTGTAGTTGCTAGTAGCAAAGGGGTCTTGACTGAGAAAAGGAGGGCTTTCCCTGGGTATATCCGTGGTGGATGCGAAGCTAGTCTTCCGCAACGGACCTGGTCGACTTTCAAACGAGTTTGTACGGATAGAAGGAGACGAGGATCTTGTTCGAGGTCTTCGAATAGGTGATACCGATCTTCGACCGCTCGCCAGGTCCACTACGAAAGGCTTTCCGACATATATTACCGAGACGGCCCTAGCGGTGTCCTCCTGACTCCTGCGTCGCGCTGGAGACTTCTCGGATTGGTCACTGTTAGAGTCGCACTCGTAGTCGGAGAAGTCGTCCGCGGATGAAGAGGCATCCTCCTCGGAGGAGAGGTAGGCGTCGTGCGGGTCGGTGATCGGTTCGGTCGAGATACGCTGCAGAGTACTCAAAAGTCTTGAAGTCCTGAGTGCACTCTTCTCCGGTAGCTTAGGAGTCGCAATAGTAACTTCACGAGCATCTAAAACCGTAGCCTCTTCGATTATACACGCATCGTCCATATCGTTGAAAACGTCGGCAAGGTCTTCTTCGCAGGTCGAATATGATGCGAAGCTATTTCTCGACTGCTCACGGGATTCCTTGGATATTCTGGAAGACACCGACTTCTGAACCTCATCCAGCCCATTCGGTGGGTGTGGCTGTTCTACAGACATAATGGTGGTCATATTGTTAAGATATAGGATATGAGATATGGGTCCGCCGGCGGTGAAGCGCTCGGGCGTTGATATAGTATAGCAGTGTAATATGGGTGAGTAAAAGGTGGAACTGAACCTGTCGATCCCTAAAGAATGTAAGCTGAGGCCAGCTCTTTTCTTAAAAGGCAGTTATGTAAAGTGCATCGTGGGATTCGAGTGAGCTGTGGGCATGAAGATATTTCATAAGGAAAAGAAGTTGGGCAGTGGGTGGCATACATATTCTTCCTCTTCAACTGCGTTTTCCGTGTGTACATGGATATAAGTGAAGGGTGGGGGGAACGTAGCTACGTACCTTGGTGACAGGGGGGCATGGGACAGGGGGCTACAATAAGGTATATGTTCCCCTGAACCTGGAAACCTGGAACGCTGGAACGTAAGTCTTTAGCGGGTGTTGTAACTCTCAGGACTTCAGACCCTGGCTAGGGTTGAGGGGGGTCACGAATGGGTAGGTGCGTAACTAGGACTGGCTAGTCCATCCTTCTCTCATCAAGAAGAAACCGTTCGAAGTGAAAATATGCAGAGGATGTAACTAATACAGTAATATCAAGAAGAATACGATAGACAATGGGGGACAGTCCTAAATGGGAACATTAAAGGGCTCGATTCGAGAAGAGATGTTGCTTGGCGGACCATCCCGACCCTTTATATCTCAGTAGTCCAATATGTGTTGTTTCAAAGTGAATATGGGAATTAAGGTAGCGGCGTGTGCTTCGAATAAGGTATTGGCGGCCGTTGAGCACTTACATGACTTGATGAACACTGTAGATGTGAGTTGCACAAGTCGACGATGTTAGGTCTTGTTCGTTTCGTACAGACGATAGTTAGGAGAGAACTGTATGCAATATATAAAATTGAACGAAAAGATAAACTTGGGGGGAGAGCTGGTTATGAAATAATAATCGGAGGGCTGGGCCGAAAAGCAATCGGACGACCGATGCCATAGCCACCGTACGCTTTCTTCAATGGATGTAGGTATGCTATTTTGTTCGTGCATCTACCAACAATTTAGGTACCTATGTAGGTAGTTAACTTATGATATGATCAGCTTCGCTCGCTCTTAAAACCATGATGCCATAATGCCATAATGTCATCCTATTTCCAGATACCAAACATATTTATGCCTTTTGCTCGGTGTGAAGACTTGAATAAACATTCGAGAGGATACTTTTGAATAGCGGACAGACCAGCATTGTGGAGTTCTGCCAACGGAATCTGTAAAAATACTTCCATTCAAGGACATGATCGCCCAAGGGTCCAATGGTTAGGATCAGGTTGGTCGGGTTATTCGAGGTAAAAATCTCCATTATTTCGCATGCACCAAGTAGAGTCGGTGATAGATAGGATTGGGGTCTACGGATCCGTACGGGAGATCCGTTCATCGATAATCCTTCATGACGATAGACTACAAGCCCGTAAGCCAAACTTTTTGATGTGATTGTCACTCGAGGTTCCGTGGCGCAAAGATGCATTGTAGACGAGGCTCACACGCGTAACACTGGGCTGACCTGTGCTAACTACGGAATACATACATAGCATATTGGATCGAGACCCTTGAAGCTGATCACCGATTCGACAGAGTTAATACCTATTCGCGACATTTTTAAATAGTACAAACTTGGTATGTAAAATCTTGCAGTTACTACCTACATATGTACATGTATTACATCGTGCGATATAATTCCAAAATTCAGGCTTTCAATGCATTAGTTAGGTAGAATAGCGGTACAGTATGTAGTGGCCTATTCAACTAATTTTGACTAACTTGGTGCCGTTAGACCCCTAAACCCCACCGGTACTAGCCACTGCAGCCGGTTACGTGCGACGTGTACTGCGTGTATAACATGTCTAAGTCGTGGGCTGTCATACATAGCCCGCCGGGACTCGGGAGACCCGTTCTTTTATTATCCGTACCACTTCTTCCTTACTTTAGGTATCTAATAAGATAATTAGCACCAGAGATAGATCAATATCAATCAAGAACGCCTCAATTCGAATAGTAGCGCAGTCGTGGCTGTTTGCATACAACATCACTCATCGCGAGTGGATAGCTGTCTTCAAAATTATCTGTTCACCGAGCACCAAAACCTACAGTATTGTATTGTGCAGCAGTGATCTACATTACCGCCGACTATCGCCGAGACTTTTACGACGATTCATCCTCCAATACGGCAGGTACATAGCGGAACACTTCTCCAAACCACACTCTACTGTCTTCTTTCACGATAGGGTTAGCAAGGGAGAAATGTTTTTATTCGTGTTTTTTTTTTCGTAGTTGACCTTCCCGCTCAGCAAACCGACTCAACTAGTTTGATATGTATGTCTTCAGGAGAAGGGAGATCGAAATGTTTGAACCGTCATGTGAGAAGCGGAAGAGAGGATACGCGGACTGCGAATCTGCCAACCATACCTTAAGGATGCAACCCGCATCAGACAGGTTCCAACGCTGATGGTCGTCGTACTTGAGTGATTGGTCTATCGTCAAGCTCGGCCGCTTGGGTACCATCGAGGTTATACAGGGCCTGGCCACTTATAATGCTAGCCTTTTCGACGGGTTCACAACATCCTTTCACGTCGTCTTTAGCGTCAGGCTTTATTCGCAAATCATACTTACGCATCTCGTCGGTCGTCCATTAGATAGGCTCTACCATATAAGCCAGGCAAACATTCGGATGTTTTGCACTCCCCCCTAATCTATTGCGAGAGTTATGATTATCCTATCGTTGAGTGCGGGGAGATGATTTCAACCACTTTTACAGGAGCACTCGTCGTCAGCCATCATCCGTCATGTATTATGCATCCTTCTATATAATGCGATCGAATCCTTTACCCCGGACCTACTCGAACCTACCAGATCGAGTTGACAGACTATGATCTGAGTTCGAAATATTCAATCGTACTGACAGAAGGACTTCTAGTTTACTATATCGAATAATGGACCGAATAGTATATTACCCCTTAAATTCATGAAACGGTGTAACCCGAATTCACTACGAGTAGAGGCAATGACGCGCTTCGTTCCGACACGTTTCCAAGTACGGATGGTTAGTGACAAAACACCTCTTGACATCTAAACTGCTTCATGAGTACCTGCGTATAATTCATCAAACATCCAATGCATTAAAGGCCCTATGACATATTGCTCGCACTGCCGAGGGCCCGGTTCCAAAAATTCTCTCTTCGCCAAATAATAGCCTGAATCTTGCATCTGCTTGAGTGCATATGTGTGTCTCGCTCGCGCATCATCTTCCGTTTGAGCGGGAGACGTTATCGGAACCTGCTTTCGACTATTTCGCCACAATATCCTCCCTTCGGGCATATGCATTCCCCGTACCCAAATTTACTGGTTTCTAAGAATACATCCCATGAGATTCGAGTCTTATTGTAATGTAATTCTAGTACATCGAAGTACGTACCTCCACATGCGATCGTTTCGACGGGTTATGGCGTCACACCCGCTAATCCTCATCTGAAACAGCCAATAACGTCAAGAAGAAACGTCGCTCTCTTGCCTAGTTTAGTTAAGCTAGATTTAGGCTAGCATTGATCCCCACAACCTTAATCCTGATCGCGTTTCTAAAAATGCATCCCACGAATTCTGACGTGACAAGCTTCCATAGCACTTTTACTCTTTCTCATCAACTACCTATACCGTAGACGTCGGTTGATTTTCAACCAACCATCATAGATGAAATAATCCAAGATGATGATCGAATAAGGCGAATCCTCCACAGCTCTACTTCCTCGATTCAAGCTCTGTAGATCTTGCGGATCTAGCTTAAGCTTACTATCCAAAGTGCATTAGCATCTTTAAGACACACCTCCAGCCACCTAATCAATAGGAAATGACATCGACGTTTGTCACGACGCCTCAAAACCCTGGCTCGGATTGTTTGCAAGACACCTTTTTCTTGTCGACTTACCGGGTGCTCCGAATGCCTGCATAAGGAGCCTTGTCCCGGTCAACTTGCGAACTGAATGCTGAATGAGGTTAGGCACTGGCAGTTGATTATGAACTAGAAACCCCCCTGCGCGTGTCCCGGCAGCCTGATAGACGATTTCGGCCGAGCCTGGGATGCAACTATCGTCTTAAAATATCACCTCAGAGTAGCACATGGCATTCGTTCCCTTGCATACCGAAAGTCTGACTTCTATTTGCTATGATAGAGTTATAAGTCCGCTGCCAAGCTGAGCTACTTGGCTTTGTCAGCTTCCTCCCAGAAAACTCACGTTTTGATTCGAGGCGCAACTTCACTATCAAAGATCCAAGGTCCAAGCGAATAGTCTGTATTCAGTCATATTCGTGGCCCACGAGCCGCTTACTACGGTGTACGAATGGGGCCAGCATCTGCCGTGTCAGAATAGGGTACCCTAAATCGTCATGGAGGCCGTATATGTGCCCTAATCGGGATGTGCCATGGCCAGGAGGCGTCTGCTTAATCCCCGAGTTCGTCTAGCTCTCAGCCGCAGTCGACCCCTAGAGTTGAGACGGAGCCTAACGGTGATTGGCGAGTAGACGCCCCCAGGTTCCTAGATAGGACTCATTGCGGGCCAACTACTAGATCAGATACGTCTCCAGAAAGACAGCAATTTCACATTGTTACAGTGAGATAGGTAAGTTCGGACTCGTTTAGGCGCTGATCATGTACCTAGGTAAGGGCAACTCTGTAAGGTCGGAATGAGAAGCCGAGAGGCGCATTTTACATGAGGATAGGCCAACTAGCCAGGTTGTGTTACTCACAAGACGACGGCCAATTTCATGACAACTATTGAGCTTCCGATGACTTCCGTCTACTTACGTTTATTGCTCTAGCCCGCCAAATGGGTCGTTGAACTACCGGCAAACGGCATCTCAGGCTTGTCGGTTTGGGGCGCATCGAACTTCTCCCTGTCGCTTCTAGAAATAGAGTCACTAGCATGCTTTCTACTCCTTACCGATTGTTGTTTCTACGCTAGGAGTAGAAGTTTTGATTTCCATGTGCATCTTGCCATCGCAAGTGAAAGTTTGGTTAAAACACCCTTCTCAGAGTTAGGCGTTCGCAGTAACACACAGCTACGCCTCATCCTTCCGGTGCTTTATTTGCGGAGGCCAAGGGCAATTCATTCTAGACGAAAAGTTTAAAGTTCTTTAAGTATAATTGCAAGCGATCCCATTCGGGTATCTTTGAAACATCGCGAACCCCGTATCTTGGTTCTGGGGAATCCTCTTAGTTGTTTCGCAGCTACCGACCTGCCGTAACGGTCAACAGCCACTATATACCTGAATCGCAAGCCACGCAAGGGGGACAAATATTTAATATCTACGAAGCCCACGGGAAATTATTCAGGACCTCGACTTACGTTCTTTCCCCTTCTCTGCCTATGTCCAGCTCCATGGCGGTTGAGCCTCAGATTCTACAATTAGAACACACCTTTTCTCTAGCTGCCCAAATGCCAAGTTCGACCCCTTACCCAGGGCTAGCGGCTTGTCGCACGTCTCCTAAGCTAATTCCGCGCATCCCTAGAAGCTTTTGTCTTCCGAAATAGGCACTACGTAGATCTCATCGTCTAGATTGTTCGTCCAAAGACGAAGCCTATTTAGGCAGCCTACCGCAGAAGAACTAAAGTTGGGTCGCTGGAGACGGGTCGGTAAGAAGCTAATAGTGATTAAAAATAGCTCCCACGAGGAGTATCTGTTTAGCGATCCGAAACTTCGTTTATAACTAGCTTCATGACGGGGGAAACATATCATCGTAATGGAGCTTGCGCTAGCAATTGAAGACGCTAACAAGCGACTCCATAACGCATTTTCATAGGCCAGACGATAATTGATATATAATTCTCAATTTGCAACTAAACTTCAACATCCGCCAATAGGAGGATAGATCCGGAGTATCAACTCCCCCTAGATAAGCCAAATTCGGCGAGTCTAGTAGTCAGGTCGGCAACGACCGGCTTACACGACGGGGCGTGTAACTCAGTGGTAGAGTGCTCGCTTTGCATGCGAGAAGCCCAGGGTTCGACTCCCTGCTCGTCCATCTTTTTGATTTTTTCGGGTAGTGAACCTGGTATACATGGCTTCAATGAATTCATTTCCTTCTTTTTATTTTTAGTGTATTTAGTTGACCTGGCCCTTTATGGAGTGGTCTTTGGTTCTAGAAGGCAAGTAAGGTAGGTAGTGTTGATCGCTATCACCTTCAGTCTTTGTCACAAAGACTGTTATTGTTGGCTCTTCGATACGAGGAACACCGCTGTTTCTTTGGTAGAGATGATTCAGCTATAGTACTGTTGATGCATCGGTTCGTTTTATCCTGAAGCTTGTAAGGGGTGTTAAGCCTGAGACATGGTAAGCATAGCCACTATTCTCGAGTCTGAGAGCTAAGCTCTTGGTATTGCGGTGCGCAAATCTACTCTAGGTAGACTGGAATTCATCCTTACAGAATGCCCAATGTTCCCGCCCTCATTTTTTTCTTACGTCATGTTAGTATTCTCATGGGACAAGACTTCTGGAAGAAAGGATATTTTCAGTACCTAATGTATAACCATGGGCTCCGATGGCTTGATTAGAGTTCCTTATGGCATAATCAAGTTGTTTTTATGCCTTCTAGTTTCATGTTATGATAGATACACTAAGCATCTTTACATGCTGCGGTATTTCCTAATACCAAGGCCTATATCGAAGCTCTCCCCTTTATCACCTTTCGTCTTCGGGCTGCTCGTATTTACCGAACAAGTCTCCTTATCTCAAGCCTATGTATTAGAAAGGTTCTTATGGTGCTCCTAATAATAATAGATGATATAGGAACTTGGTTTAATCTAAATTCATAAAGGCCAAGTTACTAAACCTACTTTCTATATGCTCGCAGAGGCTACAGTCCTAGAGCCCCTATCTTCGCTCCAAATCCAAGTTTCCTACGACCACCCCCTTTTTGGAAAAGCCCAACATCAACACTGTTAAATTACAATATACCATGGGAATCAATTCATCACAACTCGATCTTTGACATTCGTCAACACCAAACACAACGTAACAATCTTATCATCAATAAACATACTCTTTCAACCACAAACAACTATTGTATCAAGCATAGTTATAAATGCCTATAAATTCCACTATACTTATCGTTCATATGAAACCTCACTTAACATCATCGACCATTAGTCGGCCTTGTTTAGCTCAAATACTCAATCTGACCTGTTCTCGTGACACTCGCCAAAATGGAAGACATCAAGTTTGCAGATAGCGTGATGCTGGCTCTGTTAACATTTCTAGCTCTGCCAATATTGGTATCTCTAGCGATATATCTAACATGGCTGCTTTGGGGGGTCATGGTCGCTGTGCTGATATATGGCTTCTGTTGCAGAAACGACGTCGCAGTCGCATATCAGCAGTTACGCCTTAAATTTCGGCAGCTTCTAGGTAATACGACCGTAAGCAGTGCTGCTACCATTATTTAGTATTACAAGGCGGAAATTTCGCCCTGGTGCTTTCTTATGCCGGTATGACTACCTAGTTACGTTAGTTAATGAACAATATTAGTATTGATAGGACTACGTCTAAGATGATTGAAAATTTTATTTGCTACAATATACGTATGCTAGTATCAAATTATTAATATTTCTCTATGAAATAATAGTAGCCATAGAATCCTCTAGCTTAGGTAGGCTATAATTGAAGACTTATATTTGATACTATATCATCTACACATATGCCTATCACGCAAACAGCTGATTTTCCGCGCGTATAAACTTTTGTAATAAGACACATGATATAAAGTGGATGTACTACGTTGAAGATATAGGTAGTATATTATCTGTCTTCTTTCTTAGATTATACCTTTCTCCCATTAAAAAGAATTAGAGTTGTTCCAATAACCTTGTTTTTATTACGCATAGAAAGGTCAGACCGCCTGTCTCATTTCTACCTCATTATACAGGTTCGGAAGAACGTATTTTGGCTACCTCACATATCATCAAGGGAGTGATGCGCTGTATCAAGGTCACCGTATAAGTGAGGGTATTGTATAGGCATGGTAGTAGTATATTGTATAACTAGGAGAGTAAGTGATAACTATCTATCTAGTGAGTGTATAATAGGGTAGCTTAGCTAGCCCCGTGGGGTTAGTTGATAGCCTTGCAGTTATCCTCAACAAAATAGCCTTATCTACACTGTAATGAGGAGTCTTCTTCGTCCAGATAAAGCCAAGAACTTCCGTCTCTGTGGGCCAATATAGCTGTTCGGCTGCTAACAATGTTCTCGACAAGAATGCAATCGGTTGTATGGCTCTTCGTGGGAAAATTGGGTTGCCGTCCGAATCCAAGGGTTCCATACGAGTTGGGCTATACATGTCCTTGAGGACGCCGGCAGGGGTAGATGGGGCCATTGCTACTGAAGTTATAGAGGCCGTTTGGAATATAGGTTGAATATAAATTGAATAGTGTGTAGTAATTTGTTGGTTGCGTATGGTGCCGGGTGTGTACGTTACGGAGGTGGATATCTACCTTTCTCGTCCTTTAGACTACGTTTGCTGTGGCTGAATAGATTATCGTGGTAGTTCGGGTTGCCGAATTGAGCTAATACGCTTGGAGTATCTGGCGGAGTCTTGAGGTCGATCAATGCTGATGCGTCGCAGTTCGCTGCGGTCCAGTCTGGTTGAACATACGGCTGACAATCCAATAAGAGAGTTAGTAACCGTGTACCTTGGTTAAATCTTATACCAGCAAGAGTTACTTACGGTTGTCAATATCTTTCGTAATACATCGCATAATATCCCTTTGGAATTCCGTAGCTCCCATTTTTTCACCAAAAAGCCAAGACTTCATCAAGGTTTTATACTGCTTACGACGGCATAACTTTTGTAGACCGTTGTTGAAATGATAGGAGCCGAGGGTTCTTCCATAAATCCATTGAACGAAAAAAAAATAGTCTGCTCGGTGGCACATGGACAGTGATCCGCGTAAAAATATTCCCGGTTGCCTAAGCTTCGCTCCCGGCGGAAATACACGAAATGGTTGGCAAATAAGTGTGTGTGGACCCCAGCTTTCTTTAAACCACCCAGCATAATACCGAGGGCGGAAGAGCAGCATAGACTGGTAGGCGACCCAGTTACACTTTGATGATGTAGTTTTTCCTGGATAATCCTAACGGAGGAGCGCGACGGGAGCAACTGTAGAGTGACAAGCCTGCAGCTGTTCCACGGACATGGATTTGTCAAGTTGTGATTATAAGTTGAGGTATACAAATAACTGAAATAGCTTGTTCTTGGGCTGGTTATATACCTTTGGAAGCCATTTTTGCGTAGTCAAGGAAATGATTGAAACTACTGGTAGAAGTGAAAATTGTTGTAGGTAGTTGAAGTTAAAGAAAGTTCTGATATATTGTCTTTTATTTTAGGTATTGCGAATTGAATACGATGGTTTGTCAATATTATTATTGAAGTTGTTATTGATCGTCGAGAGTTGAAAAAGTTCAACCTGAGGCTTGAATCTAAATTATGAAATCTGCTCGTTTTGAGTTGTAGCCTAGTCGCTTGCGCCTGCCTTCAATTGGCAGCTGTTGAATAACAGATGCTGTTCGGTATCTGGCACTTGCCTCTCTGATATGCGGTTGATGGGTAACCGAGGAAAGAGGTGGCTGCTATAGAGGAAAGAGGTGGTTCCTATAGAGGCAAAACATTAGGTACCTACCCGAATCCCCTTAGTTGATCAGGAGCTCATTGAAAGAGGCACGTCTCGAGTACAACTTCCCGATCTGAGAATTCATTAACTTTAATAGGAGTATTTACATCTAGGCAGGGACCCCCTTTATATGACGTTTCTATAAACTTAAAATATACATACATACATCTACATCTTATAAAGGCGGCAACTCCTCCCTACATATTGGACACTGCAGCCTAAATCGCATCCAACCCTCAAGGCAAGCGCTGTGAAAGACGTGCCGACATGGTGTGACCATATACGCGCGGCGGGCAAACACACCCGCCACGCCTCCTGCCGTTGGATCGTCGTCTCCTGCTCTTACAACTGGCACTTCTAGCACTTCTCTACAGATAGCGCAGTCGATGACATGTATATTCGGGCGTTTCTTATCCTTGCTTGTCCCCTCCTCGCCTGTCCTTACCCGTTCTAGCGGGCTGTTGGGCGCAGCCACTAGACCGATTGGCAGCCCGCCCGCTTCGATATTATCCTCTCGAAGCACAGGGTGGTACTCCCAAGCCTCTGGCATCCAGCCCTTGGGTACGCCGAAGCGAGGTCCGAGTACAAACTGCGCCGCTAATATCCATATCTGGATCCAGAGCCAGCCGGCGAGCGCGATAAAAGCAGTCCAGTCGGGCTCCGCGAAAGCGAAGTTATTCGGTACGATGTAGAAATACGCGATGGGCAATAGGCGTAGGATCGACTGGCCGACAACAAAGCGCCACGATAGCGCTCTACGGCAGTTGCGGTACACGTTACGATATATCTGTGGGATCCATAGGGAGAGGTAGATGAAAAGCACGATGTTGAAGTATGCGGCGCGGATGCTGGGCCGCCAGCTTGCCGCGGCGAGACTTAGGAAAAGGATAGTAATCCCAATGAGTAGGAGGCGGCCGAATATATTGCTTAACTGTGTCCGAAGATTCTGGGCGGTTGGTGTGGTAGGCCCTGCAGTTACCGGAGCCGGAAGGGTGGCATTGTTGGTATCGTTGGCTGTGACTTCGGCAATTTCGGCGTCAATATCTTGATCCGAAGGGATAATAATCGGTGGAGATGCTGGTCGACGAGTGATGTTTGTAGCAGTAGCAGCAGTAGCAGCAGTAGTAGTAGTAGTGGTAGTAGTCTCACGAGCGTTGTTAGATGGATTGGGCGAATTTACCACGTTTGCTGCATTTGCAGGCGTATTTTGTCGCTCCCTCTCCCGTTCTTGTCGTCGCCATTCAGGTTCTTGGACCTTGTGGATCTCGGCTAGGAAAAACGTCCCAACAGTCATAGATAGAAATGAGACACAAGTAATAGCAAGCGAAGGTAATAACGTAGTCGACGCCGAGAAACTCCACGCGGCTGCCCCGGTGAAGAGCATGCCGTCAGCAAGTAACATCATACAGCCAGTGTAGAAGCTGACACGACCCAACGTTGAAGGCGTAGAGGTCTCCCTCATTTGCATCTTTAGGAGTTGAAGTTGACCAAACACGATTAACGCAAGACTTAGAAGGAATGTGCTGACGCTATGGAGAAAGATTTCTTGTTTCACGCCGACCATGTGGTTTCCGTCGGCCGGCGCGTATGCCGGAGGGCCTTTGGTTTCGAGAAAAAAGGCACAATCAGGGGAATACACAACAGCCGACATTTGAAGCCGTGGTATTCGCCGGTGCCCCGTGCCCTGAGGAAAACGAAGCTCATTTTCGATATCTTGAATAGCTTTAGCTACATTTTCTGGACCTGTGAGACTTGGCTGTACTTGTAATATGTTCTGATCTAGAGGGTGGATTTGAATATAAATTAGGTATTCGCAATGCGGAGATGGATTCCAAGTTTCACCCGGCTCTAAATTAGACGTCCAGGGATCGAGTTGCTCAGTAAATGTATGCTGCTCCTTTCTCCTGAGGGCGGCATCAAGGGTTCTGTTCAGGAGCGCTTTGCTAGATTCGAAGAAATCGGGTCGGGTTGTAAGATGAGGCAATCCGAAAATACCGGCGAACTTTTCGCTTGTCGTAGTAAGAAGCATGGTACCCTGACGTGGCCAGTGAACACCATGGAGTCGCATTTCCCAGCTACTCCCGGTACCTTCAACGTCGTCGATATTAGCCGTTGCCGAGACTTCCCGGGCTTTGACTTCTGCTTTCTCAAGTCTTGTCTTGTCTATTTCCGCTGGTTCCGTCGCATCATCTTCGTTGTCTTCGATACGCACCATTATTTTCCCTTCTGCACCGGTTGCATTTCTGCTCCAGTCAGAGTTTGATGCGGCCCATGTAACATCTGGGCTGATCTGGCTGAGGTTATAACTCGAATGATATCTCGGCGAAGATGTGTTCGCCCTCTGCCACCAGCCGTGTACCACTCCCGTCGCATTTTGCCATACTGGCTGTGCTACCTCCGGGATTCCCACGGCATTCGTACTCCACTCTTCGCACCGATTCTTGAAACGCTGGAGGTCTTCCCACGCATAGCCGTCCTCCTCTCGAAACCCCGTTAGGTTCAAGTACTTGGTTTCGGTCTCGGGCGGGTCGTCGGTAAGCCGCGGTGAGAAGTCACCCCATTGCGTACTATTTAATACTCCGAGAGCGTGTCTCTGGCGCAAGAGGCGGTTTTTAATAACCGATGGGCCGGCGATGAGCCCTGGACTCGAGTCTGGACTAGTGGCAAGCCAGAATATCAAGATGATGAGGAAGACGGCGCGTGCGTTATCTTGCGGCTGAGGCATCGCAATGTATTGTTTCCATCGTGCTTAAAGCAACTATATATTCTCTAATCTCCTCAGTAGAGAATCTCTAAAAGAGAGTAGACTAGGTTCTTGCTTTATGAAGTCTGGTGGATGGTAGCTGAATATCTTGAAAGAATGATGGCTGACGGTTAGGATGACCGATTTGATTAGCTAACCTAAATGTTAGGTTAGGGAGCTTCAGTAGAGGCTTGGCTTAGTGCTTAAGCCGTTAAATGACATACATAATCGATAATCGATAAGCCCCACTACCCTGTATGTACATGTACATATAATCTATGTGTGTTAGGAGGTGCTGTTTAATATGTACATAGCCAAGTAGCCTACGCGCCGCGCAACTGACTTTCTACCAAAGTAACTGAAACAAACAGAACTCCGCTGCGTGCAGAAAGGCAAACGCCAAATAACTGCCTAATCTAAACAGATCTACGCCTATAAGCAAGTTCTATTCCTCGAGATGTCGTCTAAGAAGCCAGAGGATACTAAGAAAGAGACGGGCAACGTAAGGATATCTACCTGTAATACTCCACCAAAGGCTTTAAGCTAACGCGACTCAGAGCTCGGATGAACTGACCACAGTCGTCGAGGACCTATTAAACTCCCTATCAAGCAAGTTCGACGGTGTCTCGAGTGAAATATTCGCTAAAAGTAAGCAAGCATATCCTCTAGTTATTTGACGCTTTAGGTTATCGCGTAGCCGTCTAGAGCTTCGTCATTGACGCGGATATAGTGGACGACATGGCGCGCCGATTGGACCACCTCGAAGCTTCACTCCAAGCTAACGACGAGAACGGCGCAAATTCATCACCTAGGGCATGATAAGGGCAAAGGACAATTGGAGATTACTAGGGGCATTGCATGGCGTTTTGGGGGGAAGGGGGGCAGTTTGGTTCATCATGGTTTGTATAGGACAGACGGTACGACAATTAGACTATACAATAATGCGCCTTTCAGATTACGCACTTCCTTTCGTTATTCGTTACAAACGTTACAACACGCCCGCTCGACTTGCTTTATCTATGACGAGTCATACTATAGCTCTTCCTTCTCATCGTCGCCTGTGACCTTCTCCTCAACCTTCTTAATGAATTGCTTCAAAATGTTGGTCTTACTTTGGAGCTCATCTAGCTTAGAGGGAGCTAGGCCGCCCTTCTTGATAATACCATCTAGGCGAGCCGACTCCTTCGCAACATAGCCCTCGTTCTGAGACAGCTTGTCGAACACTCTGATATAGTATTGCGCATACTTGTACTGCGCATCTTCAGCCAGATCAGCGGCAACCTTCTTAGCCTCTGCGACTAGGTCGGCCAACTTGTCGCCGCCAGCAGCATACTTCAATGCGATGTGGTTCAGGGCGTCGATGGTACCTCCGGTCGCATCGAGGCCACCGCCGGGGACACGGTGGGTACCGGTCTTCTCGTTAAGGAAGCTAACGAGGTCCTTCTCGCTTCGGCCGCCGGAGTAGGGTTCGCCTTCGGTGGAGCCCTTGGGGAAGAACTTGATGGTCGGGTAGGAAGTAACACCCTGTTCGCTAGCAGTTGCCTTGCTATTGTCGGCTTCAGCATCAACTTTAGCGATCACAACGTTGGGCTCGTTGATGAAGTCCTCGGCTAGGGTCTCCCAGGTAGGAGCTAAAGCCTTACAGTCTGCTATATGTCAGCATATTTAGAAATCGTATTGGATAATTGGGTAATACGTACGACCGCACCAAGGAGCAGTGAAAGCAACAAGTATGTTCTTATCGCTTCCAACGATCTCTTTGAAAGTGGTGTCTGTCAACATGTTCACCTGGCTGGGCATCTCCAACTTCTTCTTAGCCTTGACGCCAGTCTTGTCGGTGATGAACTTGGTTAAACTTTCGAGATCTCGACCGCCCTGGTAGTCTATTGGCTTGTCACTCTTGCCGTCGAACCACTTGAGAGTAGGGAACCCTTGGACACCGTATTTTTGGCCTAAGGACCTCTCGGCATCGGCGTCTACCTTGGCAATCTGAACATCCTTAGAGGTAGCGAAAGCCTGGGCTAATTCTTCGTAGACGGGAGCAAGGTTCTTGCAGTGGCCGCACCAGGGGGCAAAGAACTCGACAAGAGTAGGCTTCCCAGACTTGAGCACGACGTTGTCAAAGTTGGATGGGATGAGATCAAGGACAGCCGATTTAGCTGCTACGGCGGCAGCTAGCCCGGCGAGCACGAAGCTCTTTACTAGAACCATTGTTGCTTTGTTTCGCAATCTTCTATTATATAGGTAGGTATAAAAGAAAATATGGTTATGGGAATAGTATGAGGAAGAGTGGTATAAGGTTGGCTAGGAGGTAGTGCTATTCTACCTTAATTATGAGAGTGGTAGGTCATCAATTAATGCTTTGAAATACAAAGCAGAAGATGCCACTTTGCAACGGGCAGAACGGGGTGTGGGTGAATACCGGCTGCATCATAGCTTAATGCAGAACCTGGTAAAAGTCGAGCGGGATTATCGATAAGATACTTATGTACCTGGGAGGTACCTAAGATAAGACACGTGCGTGGCAATAGTGAAGTGACTGCCTCCGGTACGTACCTAATCCTACTAGTATTCTCAACCCCTGCAACCCTTACGCGAACCACACACAATTTTCCCACTCTCAATCCATAATCTTCCAAAAACTCGCGAAAGTTTTCCGAATCGTAGTTCGACATCCAGCAACATACCGCAACCCTACCATTCGTGATCACCGTTATCGCAACACCACATCCGACAATATGTCTCACGAATCCGTCTGGAACTCGCGACCGCGAACGTACGGCAAGGGCTCTCGTGGCTGGTATGTCTTGATATTCTCGAGGACTTCTATCTCGATGAAGTTCATTAGCTAATGTAGTGTAGCCGTGTCTGCACCCACAAGGCCGGTTTGATCCGCAAGTACGGCCTCAACATCTGCCGTCAGTGCTTCCGTGAGAAGTCCTCCGATATTGGCTTTGTCAAGGTACGAATAAAATCAGCAACGATACGATGTCGGCAACGAGACTAACTCTCCACGTAGCACCGATAAACGCCCTTCAAAATGTGACTTTCTTTCCTACCACGATATCTCTCGTCAGGCATCGTCAATGCGACTGCGGAAATGGAGTTGTTGGTTTTTATTAGGAACAGGGTTGAGCATTTCCCTTGAGGCATTGGTATAGGCTTGCGTGGAAGGAAAATGAGCAAATGGCTCTTCGGTTCGACTAGACAACTAAACCACCACGACAATGCTTACGAGAATTCGATGATATTATCCGTTCTTGCACCGTATAAAATGTGACGATTTTCTTTCAGGCCCTCCGATTCAATTCGAACGAAGATCTCGTTTATTTCTCAAGGGGGTAGATACCCACTAGTCCATTCCTCAACCAGGGTGATGCGAGAGAAATAATTTCATTCGCTTGATACTAGAGAGTTTGCTGTAGCCTGCTAACTAAAATTTCTATAAAAAGTTGCCTGGCTCTGATGCTTCTTAAGACAGACATGGCCATAAGGAAACGAGGCAAAGACGTGGCTTCATATCGTGACCTATTTCGGCTTTACAGCACGACCCACGACCAGGCCCAGAAGCCTCAAATGGTATAATCATCTTAATCCCGAACTTCACATGTTCAACGCTCCGCCTCAAGAATGAGCCTGATTCAAATGTTGATACTTTATCGGGCAACATTTACCTAAATTCATCCGTCTCTCCAAGTCAATACACTCCTCGGCGGAGAGCGGCATACTCATTTAGGAGAGAATGGCCCATGGTCGTGATGCCAAGAACCGGGAATATCAACGGGGGTAATGTTTTTTTTTTCTTTTTGGACTATATGCGTATGTGTGATAATCTTTACATATATTGTTCGTGATGGGTCTTCATGCGACTGAGCAAGTTCCACTGCCTGCATACCATGGATCGTTACACAAAGCCGCAATGGTGTCGTTGAGATTGAGTTATATCCTGAATATTCCCATCTTTATTCCCGTTGACCTCGATCAAACATATAGATCCATCTCAGCTATCCGCATGTTATCCGGGGACTGATTGGTTTATTTGGACCGTCCCGTCGTAGTAAGTACTACTCTGATGCTGTTCGGCATTTGATTACCCTGGTCATCCAATACACCCATGGGTGAAAGTATCTGCAGTAGAGCCGCCACTGCCATATCTCGCTTATAACGCCTCCAAATGTACTATTGATACATGTGGGCGCCACCCACTTGGAAACTAGGGGGGGTGGTAGGTGTGCTCCTACCTTAGTATCCCCGGTACGTATCCGAGGGAACTATGCGCTTGCCTCAAAGCTGCGACGAGGTGAAAGAACGGCAGGCAGGGGCCTTGACAAAGGTCATTCACTGCACGCCTCGAGTTAAAAGGAGTGGAGCTTTTAGTTTTTTGTTGACTTGAGATGTAAGATATATTAAGATATATCTATAACAATGTCCCAGCTTTATAGAGGCAGGAAGAGACGGCTTCTCTTAGCAAAGCAGCCACAGACATCCTCTTACCTTTACTCTCTTGTATTTGGTTTACTTACTCTATGAACCATGGCAGGATTCCACGAGTTGATACCGAATGTCATCAAGAGGAGGATAAATCAAAAGCGTCCTCTTCTCAAGACTTGTCATCCGGATCGTGCTCCTATTGAAGTGACATTTGCTATACTCGACAATGCCGTCAATAGGGCTGCCTGGTTCCTAACCGAACACCTTCCTTCGGACGAATACTTCATATGGATGTCTCAGAGTGACGCTCGGTATATGATATGGATTATAGCCGCCATGAAGACTGGAAAAGTCGTGGTACTCCCGTCTCTAAGCAATCGAGTCTCCGCCAATATTCGCTTATTCGAAACAGTCGGAGCCAAGCATATGCTATATGGACCTGAGTCGTCAGGGGCACTCTCAGAACTCGTTAGTAAGGCCAGTCCAACTGTGACTGCTAGACCAGGCCTATCTCTCGAGGAAATGCTATCCCCAGAACCTGTTCCCGACTACCCTTTCGATAAGACCTATGATGAGATTAAAACTAAGCGGTTCATGGGCTTGCACACTTCTGGAACTTCAGGTTAGGCTCTTATTTCAAGTTTAATTGTTATTATTTTTTCATATCCTCTTATTTATTTTGTAGAATTCCGTCCTATTATTTCCCATATCAGCTTTGATATGCGACGGGTGAATTTCTTCGTTCAACTTGGTTATACTTATCAGCAATACTAACATATTCTCGAGTAAAACAGGCCATCCGAAGCCAATCTGGTGGACTCACTCCCACCTCGAATGCCTATTCTCTCCCCTAGAGAAGGGTGTCTTCCCTGAGGGTATCCACGTAGAGAGACCGACATGTAGCACGCTTGCTAACCACGATGTTCTCATCATCGGGTCACAATCTCATGTAAGTCATTTTCTCATATATATTCTTGAGAGTACAAACCCATATTCTAACTAAGACAGGCCGGCGCCATGTATATCACTATGGTCTCACTACATTCCGAAATGACAGCGATCCTCATGCATCCTGACGTTCCCATTAGCCCAGCCAGTATTACAGACGTCATTAACCAGTCCGGTGCTAATAGTCTGATTTGTCCGGCCGTGCCTATTGAGAATATGCTAGACTACCCACCCGGCCTCGAAGCCTTCTCACGCCTTAAACATATCGGCTACGTAGGCGGACCTATCAACCCTGTGCTCGGTGCCAGGGTTGCTGAGGTTACGCCACACCTGTATAGTCTAATTGGAAGCACGGAGGGCGCCTTGATGCATATGAATTATTCGCCCAATTCGGAGAACTGGGATGCAATACGCTTTGTCGAGGTCGGCCAGCGTATGGAGGAGGTCCTCCCTGGCTTGTATGAGCTTGTTTTCCCCCGTACTCCGACCATTGATCGCCTCTACGCATACTTCCGCTCCTACCCAGATCTCGAGCATGAATATCGTACGAAAGACCTCTTCTCCCCGGTCCCCGGCCAGCCCGGCTGGTGGCGTTTCCGCGGTCGCACTGATAATTGGGTCGTCATGGCCAATGGGTATAAGATGGATCCGACAGACTTTGAGGCTATCGTGACCGCACACCCGGATGTCCGCGGCGTTATTGTGGGAGGCTCTCACCGCTTTCGGCTATGCATGCTCGTCGAATTGTACGAACACCTCCTTCCGACAACCAACGATGAGGCTCAAGCCGCGCTTGAGGAACTCTGGCCTACAATCCAGGGGGCTAACAAGTCCTCTCCAAAATTCGGACAGATTCCTCGTGAGCTCGTTTTGTTCGTCCGCCCAGGCAAGCCGTTCTTACGTGCTGGCAAGGGCACTATTCAGCGGCAGCTCACATTGCAGGCGTATGAAGACGAGATCGATGCGCTATACGAGCGCGTTGAGAGCGGCATCCTGGTCAGCGATTTAGACCCCATTACTTCACTCACGCCGGAAGGGCTTATGCCCGTGCTCACGCAGCTGTTCCAGCAGGCACTTGACTCGCACGATGTCAATGTTGATACCGACGTCTTCGCATGTGGGCTTGACTCTAATGGTGTTACTCTTACTGTTTCGCGGCTGAAGGCTGCACTACGTAATTACGGCGTATCTGAAGACGTTCTGAATGGCATCCACATCAGTCTTTTATACAGCTCCACCAACGCGCGATCCCTCGCTCACACACTGTCCGCTTACCTTGGAGAAGGAAGTGGCAAGAGCAAAGCAGAGATCCCAGATGGTGGAGTTGCAGATATGCTAGCCAAGTACCTCCCAGCCTCTCGGCACCCACGCGCCCAAGCCATTATCTTAACAGGATCCACGGGATCTCTTGGGACATATCTACTCGCGGCGCTACAAGCACAGCCTGAGTCCCGCGTACGCCGTATATTCTGTCTAAACCGGGCCGCAGACGCAGCATCCAAGCAAGCCGCGGCGCTGAAGTCGCGTGGGCTTCCACCAGCTCAGGAGTCGAGCGGTCGCGTGGTATTTATATCAGGTAAGGACTTGGGGGCGCCGCGCTTGGGCTTAACACCTAAGGACTACGATTTACTCCTAACTGAAACTACGGCCATAATCCACAACGCCTGGCCTGTAAATTTCCTTCTCCCACTACAGTCCTTCGAACCATCGATTGCAGGATTAGTACACCTACTCGAACTCGCAAAGAATGGCGCACAGCGGCCGGCAGTGCTTTTTGTGTCGAGTATTTCGGCGGCAATGGGTACGGCCCGCGACGTACCGGAGGAAGTTCTATCCGAGCCAGCGGAACTTGTCCTGCGACAGGGTTACGCGCGTTCGAAGTACGTTGGGGAGCGATTGCTAGATGCGTGGGCGCTAGCAGGTGCAGCAAATAAGAGACGCGCCGCCGTCCTGCGCGTTGGTCAGGTCGCGGGCCCCGTGGCGGCAGGGGGTGCTTGGAACCCCTGGGAGTGGTTCCCGAGTCTAGTGCGCAGTTCCAAGTTCCTGGGCGTACTGCCGCGTAGTCTCGGCACAAGCAGCCGTGTTGAGTGGGTGCCAGTAGACGAGCTCAGTAAGATTATTCTAGAGGTCGTTGACGAAGTAACTGGTATCGACGACGAAGACAACACTTCCTCTGGGAAAGGCGAGCAAAGAGGCGCCAAAGTATACAACCTCGTCAACCCCCATGCCGTACCCTTCTCCGACCTCGTCCCCGCGCTGCAGGAAAAGGGCATCGCGGATAAAACCATACCCCTCGAGTCCTGGATCGAGGCTCTCGAGCGCAGTAGTTACGAGCGGAAGAAGAGTGCGCAGGATAACCCTGCGGTCAAGTTGTTGGATTTCTATAAGTCGATTGTACCGCACCACGGCGGCGACGGTGTGAAGAGGAATGTAAATGGAGAGGTTAAGAACGAAGGCGGGGGTAGTAAGGGAGGAGAAGACGATTATACCTGGCGTGTTTACAATACCCTGCGTGCGAGTCCGACGGCGAGAGCACTCAAGCCGGTGAATACGGAGTGGGTGAAGCTGTGGGTTGACCGTTGGGGATTCTGATTGTTAAGCGGAAAGGTTATATATACTTACCCGAGTGAGAATTGCGAAGTGCATGGAATATGAGATATAAATTTCTTAATATCCATATATAGATAGGGGCAAACTGCCCGGCCTCCAAATGTTATAACAGGGCCACCTTAGGTACTCAAAGTCGCCCTCAAGCAATGCATTTTTATGTCCTAATTCACAGAAAAAATATTCAAATCAGACGCTTTCAATTTTTATATCTCATTAGCTTATTATATACTACTATATACCCTGTAAGCGGCATTTAGTCGTATCAAATGCGATGCGTCTATCAAGTGGTATCTCAAATATTGACACCCTCTCCAAGGCCCAAGATCAAAATGCTCCTTTAAACCAGAGCGCCTTGCCTTGTCATGTACCCTCATAGTCTATATTAGAAGGGATATCTTGCGCAACGCCGGCAAAACGCCTTTATGCCCCATTATACCTGCTCTTAGGCCCGGCGTACTACAGGTATAGTAGGCCGGACGGAGCCCCTTACTTTTTCTTCCTCTTCTCCTTTTAAGTAGCCTATGCCGCTACTGTTAGCGGCTCGAATGGCTACTATTGATGCATCTTCTAGGTACCCTCTAAAGTGTTGGGCACCTAAGCCGAACCGAGATTCTATACCTTTAGTGTATGTTTAGTCTATTTCGTGGATCCGAATTCATTCAAGGGTTACTGACGTAGCTCCTCGCACGTCTTAAATCCTGATCTTCGGAATCGTCTTCTCGAACAACGGGGCCGATGCCCTCGCTCGCGCTGGCGACCTTCTCGTCGTCCTCGCCGGCGTAGGCGTACTTGCTCTTTTGCCGGATGCGCGGGCCGTAAGTCCAGAACAGGAACGGGATACCGCAGCATGCGAGACTGAGGAACGCGAGAAGTGTGCTGGCCCATTCGTAGCCTAGACGCGCGTACATCTGGTTTGTGAACAGAACCACGGCCGCACCCCAGAACGAACGGATACATGTCTTGGCTGCGAGGGCGGAGGCGGCTTGGTGCTGGTATGCGTCGACGAGGTAGTTGTTGGCGCTGTTGTAGAGGAAGATGAAGCCGAAACCGATGGGGAAGCCACCGAGAGCGGGGCCGACCCAGGTGAGGCGGGGGTACGATGTCCAGGCGAAGATGAACAGACCTATGGGGATGCACCAGCAGGAGCACATCATGGGGATAAGACGTAGCTCCGGCGGGGGAAGGCCGTTGTGCTTAGCGATGAGTTTTCGGTAGTGTGCGTTAACCAGGGGAGCACAGATGGCCGAGCATATGACACCGATAGCTAGGGGAATGCTATTGGATATGGGTTAGCTATCTACTGAACTGGAGGGACTAAATAGGGGTAAAGTGTTTACTTACAACATGAGACCGGTGATACCGGCAGAGTATCCCTTGCCTTCCTGGAAAATGATAGGGAAGGCAACGAAGAACATGTACAGCAGGCCGTATAGTACGGACATGTACAGGCTGATTAAAAAGACGATCAATTCTCCAAAGAGAAGTTGGAAAGGTCGAATCAAGAAAATCGCCAGCCGTTCACCGAGGGGTCGCTTGTCGATGTCTTCTTCTGTAACGTAGTCTGGTTGGCCAGTTTGCTCGCGCATCTTCCTTGCTCGCTTGGCTAGGATCGTGGGCGCGTACGTCTCGGGGACGGTGAATGTGATTAGGACCCAGACGATAAAGGCGAGGATTAAGTGAATCCAGTAAAGCCAACGCCAGCCGGCGGCATCAGATAGGAAACCACCGACGAGAGGACCGACTATAGGTTATGTGTTAGTGACCAGTGATACCAGGATGGGTCTTGGATTATAAGAGCACTTACCAGCAGGACCGATAAAAGGAGCGGCGGAGAAGGCAGCCATTGGAATACCTCTCTCCTCGGATCTCCAGAGATCGGCTAGGGTACCACCGACCAGCGTCATAGGCGCAGAGAAGGCGATACCATCAATAGCTCGAGCAACTAGGAGAGTTTCAATGTTCTTCGCAACAGCACCGGGGATGATGAAGACCACGGCGACTAGCAGTGTCGTCCCATAGATAATTCGTCTTCCATAGATTTCAGATAGCGGTGCGAATATCATAGGTCCTTTTTGATCGTTAGTCGCTTTTCATATTATCGATTGCTTCAGGGAGGGAGGCTTCACTTACCGACACCGAATCCCACGACGAACAATGTGATACTTAGCAGTGCAACCTCGTCACTAACATTGAATTCCTTGGCTACACCAGCAATATCGGGCGTGACGACACTGGACGAGAAGGCTACGACGAAACATGTCGCGGCCACGACCATGGTGCAGTACCACTTATATGCCTTCGACCAGTTCTTAGGGTTCTCGGGGTCGTTTGGCACGAATGTGACGAGTTTGTAGCGGTGCTCTCCATCTGGTTCTACCGGGCCGGGTATCTGACCACTGGGTACTTCTGTGGTATATTCCGAAAGGTTGGCGTCGCCGGAGAGTGTTCGGTAGGGTAAGTTGATATCCAAGTTCGGATCTCGAATTGTCTCCTTGGTAGAAGTTCGAGCTAATGGGTTTGTAGGCTTGCGAGCCAGCGAGCCAGGGATGATTGCCCCATACTCGACTCGGTCGGCCTGGTCGACTCGATCGGTTTGATTATTATTAGGTTGTATGGACGGGCCCTCCGTAGTGGGCACTTCGTAGGGGTCCATGTTGATTTATTATCCTTTTATCCTTGAGGAATGTAAAAGGAAAGGTATCTCAGGATATTACACGACGAGCGTGGGAATGTTTATGGATCTCTACCAGAAGCGCAAAGGGGGGCGGGATCCATCCTTTATATATGAGAAGGACATGACCCTTGAAATTCTAGGCCACAAGCCTTCGGGTAATGAATAGTCTATTCGAGGGATACCATTGGTCCATACGAGGCGGTAGGAAGTTTTTGAAGTAAGAGAAAGAACTGGATGCTGCCCGATGGCGGAGCCACCGAGATTTCCTATTAGAGTATATCCCCATTGTTATGCGAGAGAGGATAGGCCTGTGGGTTGTTGATAATGGCGAAGCTGTAAACCTGGTAAGGCTTAATTTGGAACACATTTAGCTTTTCAGACGCGAGAGCGCGAGTCAAGTCAGATATGGTAGAGGAAGGGAGATGGCTCGGCGAATTTCGGTGTTGCGAAGGATCCACAGGGCCGGGACCCACAAGGATCGGGGCCACACGGCTCGAATTCCACGGCCGGAACGTTGGCGATTGAGGAAGTTGAAAGCATTCTGAGGTCAATTAGGAGTCATAAGCAATTGATAATTGGAAAATGATCTACATAACGGCTTAATTCAATAGCCAAATAATCACCTGTAAAAAAAAACTCATCATAATGAGCAGACATTTAAAAGCAGGGGAAAAGTGGTGTCGTGTCGTAAGGGTTGAATCACATTCGACTGTGGGCGTTTTTCCTCCTCGAGCCGCAAATTCCAGGGGTCCCACTCTTTGCAGCTTGAAAGCTAAGGAAAAGCTAGGGACCCACAGGAACAGAAAACTCAGTACCGGGCTTACTCGATTAGGTAAGACCCAAGAGAACGGAAGCCAGTCAATCGATCGATAAAGTCTCGTTTACCGGTTTGAGGTTTCATTTTTCCCCTGTGCGACTTTGTAAGACTAACGTGAGATGGTATGCAACTATTAATATAAAGACGGACGGACGGACTGGCAGCTTCCCAAGAGTTATCGTCGTCGACTGTTTCTACTGTTGCTACTCATTTCTATCTTTTTGAAATATGTATATTCAAAGTGGAAAAAGTCCAAAACAAACAACGGTATCTTATCGACAAACGCAAAAACGGGCTGAACCGGTTGCCGCTAACGATCTCGTTGTGGGCCTCTGATAATAGGATGACGGGGATAAGCAATTGGATGCCCTAACCTACAGTAGGTGATCCTTCTTTTTTACATGTGCTCCTAACGTTTCTGCAGTAATATAAGAAGGCTTGGCGGTTTAAAATACCTCTCTTCTTCTTCTTCTCCAACAGCGACTTCGGGTGATAAACCGTTGAATAGAGAGGATCTCGAAGCTCATGATCTCATTCACGCTTATCATCTGCTTGAAGCTCATCATCATTACCAGCTATGTCTAGCGGATTCTCTTGATGAGCTAAGTTCAGTTACATCGTCTATGTACGAGCATACATACATACGATAGACCACTGTGTTGCTTTGGACATTCATACAAACCTCTGATAAAGAATACTACAGGGTTCACGACGCGTGTTTTTCGAGATCGATTAGGGCAGGGTAAGGCCGTGGAACGGAAAAAAGAGCCGGGACATAATGGGTCCAGTTAGCCAAGATGCAGTAGCCGATGGGAAGGGACCCTCTTGGTGGTCTCGGCGACGCTGCCTATTCGCCGCCGAAGCTTGTCAGAGAGCTTGTCTGGGCCCGAGCGGCGTCCAAGGCTTGAAACGGGCTTACCTAAGGGGAAAAGCTAACCCGGGAATAATATCCTCGGTAATAAAGAGAGAAGCTTGGCTATCTTCAGGAACAACTTTTAATATTTACTCGCTTCATCATAAAAGTTCGCCCGCCCGGCTAACAAAAAAAACCTCCTGGCTAACCACGGCGCTTCACGTACGAAAGAATACCCGACGAATCCTCCTTCTTAATTCATTTACGTATCAATAGTCTCGTCGATGTCATTATCACCTGCCTTGCTTTCTACGCTATGGTATACCGAAACCGGCTAATGGCTACCAGGGGATTATTATTATTTCAACGGAACTTGGCGATCAGAATTCAAAAGCAGGGCCTAATGCCAATACCGCCGTTAGTGAGGACGCTACGATATTTGACGATGTGGACTACCCAGGTATCGAAACCCTTGTCAGTTGGGCAGCAGCAGCAGCGACACTAGAGTAGAACACGAGTGCTATCATGTAAACAGTGACAGGTGGGTCGAAGTCTTTTTCAGATACAAGGCGTGATCGGCCATATTCCGCTACATACCTAGGGACAATGATCTCTAGTTTACATAAAGGACGAGGATTGGATACACACGTGTAGGGCTCCCCTGAATCCATGCGGGAGCTGTCAACGCTGTGTTAGGATACGCCAACGACAGCAGCTACGAAGTTGAAAAGTCACGCAAAATTCTGATAGAGTCCTTGGCGAGTATCTTATTATTGGGAATAATGGTGTGATTTATCTATAAATACACTATACGTCCTGCTTAAAGATGTTGAACTGCTCTGCAATATTTTACACACATCCTTCGAGGTGCCCCTTTCACGTGAACGGAAATAGGGGCTAGGGTTCCTTAAGGTCGTACATAGGAATGCATAGTCTAGCTAGAACCATTCGTCTCTTACAATGATTATGCAAAACACTTAGTTAGGCACATGTAAGTCATGAGATAGTTCAATGGACCAGTTTAACCCTTAGTCCCTCTACTGTATACCTATGGCTCCCAGTCTTGGCGATTCCAGCTTACAACCCGAGAATACCTAGGTAGCTGTCGGCAAAAAAATGTCTCGGCTAGTAGCTGAGAATTTTCAACAAGGCCTCCTAGGGCTGAAATACTATGTAAATTCCGTTTTATAACCTGTCTGGCGTGCCTATCAGTTAGACATTTGAAGCTAGGCTTGTAACTAATAGAGGTGGCCCTACGGCTCTCGTGGTAAAACCCAACAGCTTTCCTTTATCCAAGGGGATCTAATTCTAGTCTTGACTTGACAGTAAACAGGTTTAAGGTGGTAACCAGATATTAATCCCGCCAAACTAGCCCTTTAGTGTAGCTCTTCATATTAAAGGGGTACACTAGCACATTAGCATGAAGATTTCGTATTCCCGAATCTCTGGATTACATTATGCACCAAAAACTAACATCATGCGTGTACGTAACTCACAGTTTAAACGTTTACCATTTCATCATGCTCTAGAGTTACATTACGGGAAAGAGACGTTTCGTAAGCAGAGGGGAGATTCAACGAGCCACGGGGACTGGAAGTCAAGTGTACATGGGCTCCAAATATGATACAATCCGAAATCCCTTATACACAAGAGATCAACGCCAAGATTTTCCCCCCATGCCAGCTAAGATAAAGCAAAGCCGAAGATGCCCGTTCTATCCCTCTTGCACACATGGACCAGCCCCTCCCTAAAACAGTCCGTGGTCGGGTTTATTGAATGATTCGCGTAATAAGACCGGTTGCGACGGTACGGCCACCCTCGCGGACGTTGACTTGCTGACCGACCTCGACGGCGATGGGGTGGTGCAGGGTGGCAACCATCTCGACGTTGTCACCGGGCATGACGGCCCTGGACTTGTCCTCAGCATCCTCGGGGAAGTGAAGGGCCACAGCCTCGTCGGCAGTTCGCAGGTACATCTGGGGTCGGTAGTTCTCAACGAAGGGGGTGTGTCGGCCACCCTCTTCCTTGGTCAGGACGTATAGGGAAACCATGAACTTGGTGTGGGCCTTGACGGTGCCAGGCTTGACGATAACCATACCTCGCTTAATATCCTCTCGTCGGATACCTCGCAGGAGCAGACCGGAGTTGTCACCAGCTCGGGATTCCTCGCAGGACTTCTTAAAGGTCTCGATATCGGTGACCTTGGTCTTGATAATCTCGGAACCCTTGCCGATCAGCTCGACTTCGGCATCCCTCTTCAGGATACCTCGCTCAACACGGCCGGAGGCGACAGTTCCACGTCCGGCAATGGAGAAGACATCCTCAACGGACATCAGGAAGGGCTTGTCGAGGTCACGCTGGGGGGTAGGGATCCACTCGTCGACGGCCTTTAGGAGCTCATCGATCTTCTCAACACCGATTTCGGGTCGCTTGCCTTCCATGGCCATCAGGGCAGAACCCATAATGACGGGGGTCTCGTCACCTTCGAAGCCGTAGTGGGTGAGCAGCTCACGCATCTCCATCTCGACTAGTTCCAACATCTCGGGGTCCTCAATGGCATCGACCTTGTTGACAAAGACGACAATCTTCTGGACACCAACCTGACGGGCGAGAAGAAGATGTTCTCTCGTCTGGGGCATTTGACCATCGGAAGCAGCAACGACAATGATAGCACCGTCCATGTTGGCGGCACCAGTAATCATGTTCTTGATGTAATCGGCGTGACCAGGACAGTCGACGTGGGAGTAATGTCGGTTTTCCGTCGAGTATTCGATATGGGCAGTAGAGATGGTAATACCACGCTTCCTCTCCTCAGGCGCCTTGTCGATAGCGCCATATTCTAGGAAGTTGGCCAAACCCTTCTCGGCCTGTCTCTTCGTGATAGCAGCAGATAGGGTGGTCTAAATCGAGAGAATCAGTTAGAGTTGGCGGGGTATTCTAGAATATATAATTTGATATATGACTAGTATAGTTAATTTAAATCATCTTCTCAACATACCTTGCCGTGATCGACGTGACCAATGGTACCGACGTTTACGTGAGGTTTCGTCCTCTCGAATACGGCTGCGTATGAACGGGTGATATTGAGGGCCGCGGCTACATTTTGCTGTCGCACAGCAAATTGTAACGGGTTGGCGATGCTGCCGGATGTGAGGGAGTGGCGGGATGCGCGCAAGAATGGCGCAAGGGTGCGCGTAAACGCCGACATGTCGAATTGATTTTACCCTGCAGCCGAAAAGAAGAAAACCAATTCACACACGAAAGGAAAGGGACTGGTGATGAGGGTCGTGGAGGGGGGGGATAAAAGGGACCAAGCAGTATTGAAGATTAAAAAATCAAGCTCCCACCTGTTAGAAAAATTTCATTGGAAGTTGCTACGTCGCGTTCATTGGTCACTCGAGGCCACTCGAGTCCACAGTTCCTTATCGTGCCGTCTTTTATAAAGTTGATAAGCGGCTAGTTAGACCGATTAAAGTTATATTGACGCCCACATTCTCGGAATTTAGTCGCAGCGCTACCTCCTAGAGTATATAATTTATTGGATGGTGTAATTGAATGTGATTGATTGGTCAATCAGGTCGTCTATAATATTAGTATTCAAGGTTCAAGGTAACACAACATGAAGTGGTTTCAAAAATACCTAATGGCAGAAACTGCAAGTCTATAACTTGCTTAATAAATAACTTAGTTAGGTCTAATTATTTATGTCTTATATACGGATTAGTGTATACCTATCACATTGCTATATGACCTCAAACTCCTGCGCTTCTCCATACTTCTCTACTGCCCACGCCCTCTGGCCTTCTACAATAGCATTCATAAACTCGGCATCGAATTCCGTCATCTTTTCTATTTCTCGTTCAGGCACCGCCCTCCATTTAACCCAATTCGTTGCCTTTGCTCCCTCCGGCGCTCTCAAGAGACCTGCTGCAATACCAAGCACCTCGCTCTGTTCCGAGGGGTTCCTATCCTTACTCTGGAGGAACACCGTGGCACCACAGCGTCCGCAGAATCCCTTCGTGATTTTCTCTGACGCCTTATACGTCTTCATCGTCCCGATGAGCAGATTCGGCGGCACCTCCGGTTCTAGCGAGATCCGCGGGACTAAAGCCCAAGGCATGAAATAAGCGCTGGAGAGCCGCCGAGTCTCTTTATCGAAATCGAGATACGCTTTCCACTTCTGCGGGTCTCCCGGCGCGATGGATCGGCTCATAAACTTATCGTTCCTTACTACATCCGACGGCCTTCCAATCGTGAAAGAAACCCCGCCGCACTGACACTCCGCGCGCAGTCTCTCTTCGCCATCCTCACCCATTTCGAGCTTATTATCGGGCGCGATATCACGGTCCGCGGTGAGTAGCCTTAAGCCCTTACTAACGGGGCTCGAAATCCAGGTCATTAAGCCACCGTCCCCGGGGGACTTTGGAAACGCAAAGCCCTTCATCTCCCAGAAGCTCGGCTCGTCAAAAAGCGCGATGTCCGCGATCCACTGCATGGCCCAGGGCTCGTAGTGCCCATTATGTGTTCCGCAAGTAGGACAGAACCAACGCTGTCCGTGGCCGCCGGGACCGCTGTTCTGGCTCTTGTATACGGACAGGTTAATCGTACCGTTGGTCCACTCCGGCGCCACGCCCTGCGTCAGCGAGACGTGGAAGCTGCCGAACGTGCCGTGCGAGTAGCGGCATAATGTGCATGAACAGATGTATGCGTCCAATGGGAGACTCGAAGCTGGGAGGACGACCGAGTATTGTACGTTCCCGCAGTGACACCTCGCCGAGAATGTCTGTGACTCTTCTCCCGGCTCAGCTGTGGCGGCCTTGTCGCGGTTGAAGAAGGTGACGAGGAGGTCTAATGTTAACATCATTGCTTGCCGTAGTAAGTTGGGTAGATGATCGTATCAGAATTTGGTAATTGTGAACAGGTTAGATTCTAGGGATTTTAGGCATCTTAATAAGTCAATGGCGAAGTAAGTGTTGGGACCAGGGTTCGGTCCATCAATACCGACTTTATTCCCACATCTTCATGAACGTATACACGACCAACAACATGCAGTGTTGCGGCGGGGTAATACGTAGGCAGGCGATGTCGTCTGAGGGGTCTCTGTAAAGGCATATCGCTTTCATCATAAAAAATAAAGAGTCATGGATATTATGCTGAAGAATGCTCTTGTGCTCATCTAGTTACTAATATTTGACATATCTTATCCTCAGCTAGATGCGCAATAGTTGCTGAAGTCTAAGTCTTTTCTGTTTGAGAAAGTCGAAAATTAAAATAATATGTAGAGTAGCGCTAGATTTATATGTACCTCTAATGCAAGAACTAATGCACGATTATCATGGCACTAACATGTTGGCATTCGGCCCTGAATCTCAATTAATAGCCCTTATAGCTTGTTACAGCTAGCCTGCTCCTTGTTCATGAAAGCCAAGCTACCCAGATGCGCAGCCCGAAGCGGATTTCGGTGTCCGAATTGGTCCTGAGACATCGTGAATTCAATAAATCGGTTTCGTAGGTGTCGGTAAGACTCCATGGTCTGCAACTCCTCGGCCGTCTTTCCAACTAGTAATTCGCTTTCGTTGTCCCTTTCCGGCTTAGAGCCACCGTTCGAGTTACGCGTCACGGCTATATCGTTAAGCGACTTCCAAGGTTTTTCTTGGCACTCGCATGTTGTCCATTCGCCTTCATCATCCGAATCGTATTTTGGCACGGGCGGCACAACCCCTTGGTTGAGGTATGCTTGGATATGACCTATGGTGCAGAGTGTGATACACGCGAAGGTACAGTGGCCCTCTGCCTTTTGCTCTACAAGGCTCGCCTCCGAAAACTTGCGCGTCATTTTCAGGGCATGGTGTAGAGGAGTGACAGGGTCGAGATGATTTGATAGGAACAGGACGGGGAAACTGGTTTCAATGGGTTCTGGTTTATGAATCGGATGGTCGTCCCATCGCATTGGCGGATCTTTTGCCTCAATTTTCCATCCGCTACACCCCATATTGAGGTCGGCACCCATCCACTAAGATACACGTTAAAAGGTCTGTCTACCTAGGTAACTATCGAACTAGGTATTACTTACAACATCGGCAAATGAAGAATAAGAGGCCATCTTTTCAAAACGCCGTTGAAGCGCGTCGGAGTCTTCATCGAGCTGCTAGACGTTAGGGCAGTCCCTTATGAAGCCGCTTAAGGCTAAAAAGCTCTTACCTTATATCGCTTGTCACTACAGGCGATTACCTTCTGAGCGTCATCTGGCCATTGAGGTAACGTCAAGTTTTGACAAAGCATCTCTGGCGCCGGATTGCCTACTATCTTCTCAAGCTGGTTATCGATGAAGGTTTTAAGAAGTATAGCCACTGAGGGGAATATAACAACTGGGTAGTACAATGCTGTAAATATGATTCGCTTGAAGTCTTCAGCTGTTACCAAGACAGGCAAATTTGATTGCGAGGGTAAGACAATCGCGGGCTCTTTCTCTAGCCAGTTCATGATATAATCGAAGCGTTCCTTGATATCTCCGGGGCTGTCTCCGAGCCGGTAAAACTCACACTCTGGTCCTGCTTCAGCGCAATAAGTAAAGAATCGTTCCCATATCGCGTCAGCGTTAATGATGGCGTCCCCTAACATCGGATTAACGTAGTGGTCGGCGTCCACAACACCATCTAGAATAACCCGACCAACTTTGTCGGGAAACATAGACGCAAATGTGGCCCCGAGGAGTGTACCATAGGAGAAACCCCAATAAACGAGCTTCCCCTTGGTACTGTCCTTCGACTCTATTTTAAAGTTGGTCTGTGTCTCATCTACAGTCTCTGTTTCTTCCGTGGACTTGGCGTCGGAACCTGATCTCCATTCATCCCAAGCATGGATGATCGAGAGCATATCTCGCGCTACGTTTGCGGTGTTGGAATACCGGAAGATGCTATTATCTCCTTCGGCTTCATCCCTTCTCTTACAGAGCTTAGCAACTGCTCTTGACCTAACGTCAAGCTTGTTGAGTGCGACATTGCTTGAGTTAACGAGACCGATGATATGACCTGACGCAATCCAGCTTAGCCGGTTCATCAAAGCAACATTGCGTCCGTCAATTCCAAAGGAATCGTTGGAAGCCGCGAAACAATCCGCCTTAGGCGTAGTAGCACCGACTCCACGCGGATCAAAACCGATAACATCACGATCTCCGCCAATGATTGTTTGAAGCGCTTGCCCCGAAAACAAGGTGAAAATCGCTCCGCTACCTCCGGGACCGCCAGGATTAACGAGCAGTGGGGATTCCGAGTAAGATGATGGGTCCTCGGTACGGTAAATACCGGGCTTTAAGACCAGAGCTATGTGCACCTTCGGATTGTCCACTGACTGGTTTAGCGGTCGGTGATAATCCATAGGTACGGTCAGCCGAGCGCACTTGAAATTATCGCCGTATATCGCGAAGCATGGCTGCCAGGTGAGCTTCTCACTCGGTACGATCTATTTCACGTAGAGACGGCCGTGTCAATATTCACTCCATTATAGCAAAATCGCGGCGTCATTCAGGAGAGCTTACGCTGGACCATTCTGTCCATCCATCGGGAGGCCCTGGTGGCGCTTCATTTCCCGGGTCCGGATGACGGTAGCCATAGTGAATCGGGCCATGTCCGAAATGGCCAATGATTAAAATACCAGATATGACGGTTAACACTACCGCACTAAGACGGCGCCAGCCCCAGCTTGGTTCCTTTCGAGGTGATTGAACACACGCTCGAATGTCATCATCTTGCTTCTCCCCTAAGAAGGGCGACGTGGATGATTTTAAAGACGTCATGTTCTATTACGTGCGGCGATTACGCGCGAAGAAAAAGCTGATGGTTTTAATAGCACAGCTCACGAAATGGAGATGAATAGGTACTTTATAAAAATACTGAAAGCCGAGAAGCAATTGACGAAGTCGTAAGGCTTATCATCTATCATTGAACAGGCAGCCACCGACTGAAGTAGTACGCAAGCCAAAGAGGTTGGATTGGAGGCTTGCGCGAGCTCGCGTACCTATGGATCTTCAAATTATCCAAGGCAAATAGATGCATAGGTACGTCAGGTAGGATTATGATGCAGCCACTGTGCCTCTTTTGTTTAACTTGGTCTGTCCATTTCGGCCATTGGCCAATGGTCTCTGTCTCTCAGCTCGACTCTTAAATCAAGCACGTAAGTAAGGAATCGACCTCATGCTTAACAGAAATGTTAGAATTAACGAAGCTGGACCGCCCCTAAGACAAGATGATATTAAGCAGTTTAATACCGACTGAATAAATCCATTAGGTACATTAAATACGCCGAGGTAAGGTACCGTTTGCAACGCCACATCGAGGCTAACCAGTGGCTTGAAAAACGTGGGACAGATCTATCTTACTAATCTTGATTCCTCTTTTATTATTCAGTCAAAACACTTTTTAACACAGCATCAACTTTTAGAAATTATCTGAATATTCGAGACATAGCGTGATAGGGACTCTTCCTGATGTTATTTACTTTTTATTACCCAGAAGAGTACCTGGATTAAGCAGATAGTCGTTTTCATTGGTCGACTACTTCAACGCTATGTCTTGGCTTTGCTTCATCGTTGGTCTCGATGCGATAGTGGATAACCTTCCAGCCTGCTAGGTAGTCGATCCGACCTTGACTCACTTGGCGGTACTCCTTGGTATGAATCGAGCTTCATCCTACCGAAGATCTCTCTTGAGTTCCTACTTATAAGTTGATTTCTTCTTTTCGTCCAAACCCCGATTACTATTCATAGTAACTGAAGATGTCAAGTCTCATGTTTCCGTTAGGTTTTGGGACGATACTAATAATCATCGATAGGGGCTTCTCAATAGTTTGGATAACATATTAAAATAGACACGCCTTGTATGATCTACAATTGATAGTAGATGCTACTAATGCAACTCTTCGACTTGTCGATATTCATTCACTTCTAATCTTCAAAGGCGACTTATACTGGCGCTGATACTGCATAGGCTATTGAAGTTTACTTAAATTCCTGTGAAGACGTGATAACAGCTAATCTAGAGAAAGGTATTCCGATTTAATATTGCGTGTAGGTCCCATTTTCCCCAATTATTTGGGTCCTCAACTACCAGATCAAAATGTTACTCATTTCTCTAGGTCGCCATTCTGCATTCTTGGCAGTATTAGCCATCTTCAATATCAAGTCAAAGCGCCTGGAGACTTATCTCGATCATTGCTAGATTCCCCAAGACGAACGAATCAGCGGATTACGCGGCGGAGAAAGCTTGTTGGTCTTGGAACGCTCTGGGCGCGGGGGTTGATGGAACCCTGGTCGCTTGGCAGGTCTCAAGACCCAAGATTGATACTCATCTCACACATTCGTCTTTCGCCTCTTATACTATGCCGTACCCTTCTAGCCCGTCGCATTGATTGACTTACGGCACTTGGCGGGTTTAGCCAAGAGCCTCATTGTCACGCACTTAGAACGGCGATGATTGCTTCCGTGCTTTTGTTTCTTTCGATCCCTGTCAACTAGTTGCGTTTCGAGCGTTGACAGCACTGTTTGGTCTCCGCATCTAATGGCGAACAACTAGCGTTGTCTGCGAAGAGATCTCTTCACTCCGCTAACATGATACGCAAAACACCTTGCTAAAGATATTTTTAACATAGTTGTCGAAGAAGAAACACCTTGGCATCGGAGGAGAATGGGTATCCCCATGTCCTTTACCTGCTTCGGCCGCTTGGCTTTCGAGGTCCCGACTCGATAGCTAGGAATTGCCGATGATCTAGGATGCCCAGCTGTCGACATATATGAAGGCCTTAGTTGGCCCCGAGACGATGGTTTGGAGTTACTCAGCTGTGCTCAAGTCGTCGTCCGAACTTTCTCGTTTTCCGGTCTCTTCCTTAATTTCTATTTACAGATTAATTCTGTCTTTACTTCTTCCGCTGGTCGTCGCTGGTCGTTTTATACTACTCTAATAACTATTTCTACTATTTTATATCTGAGGCATACTAATCCAAGGCAACCCAATAACATCTTCCAAGACATATTAGTCAAGATGGTCAGCTATCGTATGATTGCCGTTGCCGGCTTCCTCGCCAGCGTCAGCGCTCTTCCTCTAAACATTAATCTTGGCGCCTATTCTCCTGCATTGTACGTACTAGCGTTCGCATATGTCAGCCTGGCTATCCCAGATATCTAATTGACATATAGGGTGGTTGGTGATGGTGAGATTTCGTTCGGTGGAGGTCAAGATGTTACGAACTTGATGAACGCCTTGGAGGGTGCAGCAGTTAACGCCGCCACCGGGACGGCTGGAGGCGCCACTAAAAATGTTGCTTCCGCACCTGTAGCTGCAACCAGTGCTGCTCCGATAGACGAAAGTGGCGTCGTGGCCGCTCAGAGCAATCCGAGCCCAATTGTCGAGACTCCCAAAGCCCCTAAAGCTTCCGAGACCCCCGAGACCCCCGAGGCTTCTGCCACGCCCGCTACTACTGTAGACCCCAACTTGGAACAACAAGGTAAGTTATTGACATTAAACCTTACTTGAAGGTAAATACTAATAAGATTTAAGCTGCTCAAATATCAGGTTTACAAGGCATGGGAAAAGAGATCGCTCCTCGGGACTCCGAGTCTCCTAAGGCCAAGCGTGATCTAGCTGGCTTTGACAGGGCTCTCAAATATGCCGAAGCGGCCTTGACCAAGGGACCCTTGATCCAGCTTGGCACTGGCGAAGGTGGTGCTGGCGTCGGTATCATTGTTGATAACAACGGCGGTGCTGCTAAAGCGGCTGCTAAGCGTGATGAATCTTCCTCGCAGCCGCGCCGACGAACCAAGGTCACCCGCATGTATGTCAAGCGCGGTGTCCCTGCTGGTGAGTGAACCCAAACTTCAGCATCCACTCTTGGTATTACATAGCATGCTAACTAGCACTCTGTTGAAAGGTATCCAGGCATCTAATAAATTCGAAACTCGCTCCGTGCAGTCTCTCCCTATTCAGAAGGTCCCAGCAGTGGCCAAGCGAGCAAGCTCTTCCGATACCATCGATGCCATCAACCTAAACGTGGATGACGATCAAGGATTCACGATGACGTTTGTCGAGACAACAGAAGACGAAGATGACGCCGCGATAGATGAAGCATAGGAGTAATATACGGTTATAATATAACAACTACTGTTTGCTCTCTGTCTATTATATTTGTACAATGGCATTTTTCATCGTTTTTGATACCATATATGGGAGTCTAGGGGCAAGGGATTACGCTTGGGACGATGTATCATATACGTGCGGCATATGTTTCTTATTTGGCTTTGGTTAAAGTGATCTCTCCATTACGAGAGATTGATTCGGCCTATAAAATATGTATTACTGGGTAGTATAGGAAATTATTCAAAACGACCGGCCTGTTTATTTGACAGGTCGAGACCGGAAGAGAAAGGAATACCCTCATGTCGCTTTAGCTACGCGGTATGGTGTTTTTAAACTTGTATGAAGTCGCCTATGAAAGGAGGAATTTTTAATATGTAAGAAGTGCTGAGGCTTCCTAACAACAAAGAGCCGATCCACTGCCTCTTCCCCCTATATCACCGCATTAAGGGCACGTCAAAATACGTTAAGTACCTAACGTATGCGCTTACAAGATACTCGACAATGACGCGATGCCCAAATTGCCACCCCCGGGGGAAATATACGCAATCCACTAAAGACCGGGTGTTTCAACACGCTGAGGGCTGCGACAGAGCCAAGATGTGATAAGAGATTGCCAAGAGCCTCACTAATTCCTTTACTGCACCGCGGCAACAGCAACTGCCGGGCTCCACATCGAATAATGCCTTACTTCTATCAGAAACCAGTGGAGTAGATTACCCAAGTATTCCTATTTACTTCATGTAATCCTTATTGTAACGGGCTACTGATAAATCGACATCATGAATACCTTATTAGAATCAGTTACGGACTTATGAATGCTTCGAATCATCGATCTTGGGGATTAGGACTACAGTAGTCCTACGCTTTACGCTACATATGATCCCATACATCTCATGCTTTTCATCACCTAGCTATGGGTATACACGCGCAAGTATAATCATCGACTTAGGCATTCCATACCGATACCACGGCCGACTTGAAACCCGATAGTTCGCACAATTAAGACACCCCTTTATTACCCCTAGTTAACTCAAAAAACTAAACTAGTCTAGAAGCCATTTTTAAAGATCAGCTAGTCCATTCTAAGCATCCACTCTGTGAACTCCAAGCCAACCTCTACCCCCATCTAATTCTGACTATCCCACCGTGCATACCCGTCATTTTTCTGTTTCTGCCTCGTGTTCCAGCCGAGCTTCGCGCTGATACTCTTAACCCAATCTTCGCTTCTTCGCCCTTGAGGCTGGACACTAGCGAAAGGGAATCGGCTGGCGCTAATAGTTACGTAGTCGCCGGTGAATAGTTCGACGCGTTCGCGACCGTCGAAGCTAGCCCAGCTGTTAGTGCGCGCATCGTACGGCACCCCAATACGCAGCACGATCGTATCTGGCAAGATTATAGGCCGGAACGATAACGTGTGCGCACATATCGAAGTTACGAGCATTACCGGGTTTTCTGGATGACAGAGTGAACCGCCCGCTGCGAGATTATAGGCTGTTGAGCCTGTAGGTGTTGAGACGCATACTCCGTCCGCGAGCACAGATGTGAAGTGTTCGTCGTCCCCGAATATTACGGTATTGGACATTGCTACTGATGATCAGCTTGCGTTGCCTTGGCTGATGGAGTTGTACGTGAAACTTACTTGGATTTGGGCCTCTATCTATCACGATCTCGTTGAGAATCTCGTAAGTGCCATCTGGTCTGTGAGTATGTTCATCGTCCCGCTCCTTACCGACAAGTTCCTCTACAAGATCTCGCTTGTGATGAACCCCCTTCTCATCCACATAGTTAATTTGGTCCAGCTGATCCGCCTTCTTTTGACTTCTCATTATTGTTCCCTCAAACCGCAGACGTAAGCTTACTGTCACGCCGTCTCTGAAGGCTGTGGAGAGTATGTCCTGGTAGTCGTTGAAATCGAACTTGGTAAGAAACCCGAGACTACCTAGCGAGAAACTGAGTACCGGTGGCACTATTCGTTGGAATAGACAGCTAGCATATAACACCGTTCCATCACCTCCCAGGGTAATAATGAAGTCAAAAGTGTGTGGTCGCACGCTGCACATCCTCGCGTTCCAGTAACGTAAGCGACCGTCCAACGTGCCCTTTGGAGTATTGCCGTCCATCTGACCGGCGTCCATATACTCTTGGTGAAGTTCCTGTAACAATCCGGGCGCATCGAATGAGTTGTTGCTTCGCAAGCTTTCTTCCACGTAGACAGTATACCGAACGTCTCTGTCTTTACTAAGAAGCCATTTCGCAACCTCTCTCGTCTTCGGTATTAATTCATGATCATATGCCTTTGTTAAAAGGAATATACTCCTGGCCTTAAACTTGAGCCTTATATTTCCCAGCCTTCTACTAAGCTCTCGGACTCCCCAGGCCATATCTGTCAGCTGTTTCTTTGTAAGTAGTCGACTGTTGAGGCTCTGATGGTAATCTAAGCCAGCTTTAGCTTTGCCTTGTTTGCCAGCTTTGCTTTGTTTGACAGCTTTCCTCCATGCTATCTCATCAACTTGTCCTATATCATTGCTGACATCACTGTCTGCTTCTGTCGCGGATGCATGCTCAGGTTGGCTAGCAGCAGTCTTCCCTTTTGGTTCGACATACTCATCAAGTTCAACCTCGCCAGTGGTCTCTTCGTGTTTATGCTTATCGTGATTTCGATTTACACTTTTGGGCTTATCATCATACCTATGGCCCTCAAGAAACTGATGTACTAAGCACTGGGTTGCCGATAGCCTTGACCTTGACGTCGCCATGGAGCTTTTCCTCCGGTAAGGATTACCCTCGTCAAAAGTAACCTTTCCAAGGAAATATTCAGAGTCATGTTCACGAGATTAAATTGAGAGGCGAAACGTACCTCAACTGCGTCATTATCATCGTCATCCGCGCTAGAAAACCTATCATCATCATATTGGTTTTCATTCGCGCCTTGCGAGTGATCGGCACCGTCGCCCATCATAGCTACCTAGGTAATGCTAAGTGGGGAAAAAGAGGAAGTAAGAGGTAATCAAGTAAAATATTACAAGAATAACCCACAGCCTTAGAAATCCCCGCCCCTTTGAATTTTATATAGAGAAACACCCAAGATTAAGCTTTATTTAAAAGGCACCAAATAATCCGTGAGAGAAAGCACCGCAAGAGGTCATTGCGTCAGTCCTAGTCTTAAGGTTCCACTTATACTTCAGGTTATGTATAAGGTTAGAAGCTTATCTACTATCTATAATCCGTATGGGGTCTTACTAATGCCCCGCGGTAATTCTTATCGATTGTCCTTTGATGAGATTAGATTAGATTAGATCACCTATGTACAAACATCCCTTAGTCCAATGCATTTCTGACTACTGATCCCAAAGTCCACCGTATGGGTCGTCCCTCGCGGGCGGTTCTCGGATATATTCCTGGAAGAACCTTCTTAATAACGCGTTGTCTTCCACTTTAGGAGGTCTTGTAACATCCACGGGCGGCCTCTGCCTAGTGGGATCCGCTGCTCTTTCTATTTGAAATATTCTTTCCGTCTCAAATGCTATCGCATCATCCCGCGCAATACTCGCCTGGACAGTGGTTAGAAGCTCGTTTAGCGTTGGCCGGTCTTCACGATCGTCCGCCATACACCGGGCTATCAGCGTGCGCAGATCGGCGCTATAGTATGTGAATTCCCCGTACACCTCATCGCCAACCAGGAACGGGGCCCATGTGTTAAGGTCTTTATATGTGCCATCTGGCATTGCTATATGACATATTCGTGGTTGCCAGTCCTCATCGTCGGTGTGGTACAGGGTCAATGCATTGAACATTAACTATTCCAAATGTCAATAAATCAACACGCGTATTATAAGAGCTGAATTCTCTGTCATTTCGATATACTTACTAGACCGATACCCCATATATTAGTGTGTGGTCCGAAGGCGCCCTCTTCTAACGGCCTTCTTCTGTCCCGTTGCTCCTAAATATGTGCTTAGCGTTTAGAATACACAAGTTGATATTCACTCCTCTTAGATCATAGATATATTATGTAACCTACTGGGGCTTGATATCCGGGTTTTCCAACATTGGCTACGGCAAACTTCCTGCAGTGAGGTGTAAGAAGCAATCTAGCGAGAATATAAATGATTGCATAACATACTCTGCGTCTTGCCACTAGTTTACAGTAAGTTAGCAAGCATTCTCTCGTAAGATCTTAGAGGCGATATAGAGGTTAATTATTCGAATGGCCATAGTATAAGGTCGGAGACAGGCGTAAGGTCAATGTAATAGGTAGGTACTTACTCCATTGTCCCACTCTTGCATCAGCCCAAAGTCGCCCAGCTACATCAAAGTTCAGAATAAAAATTCATAGATGAACTGAGGTTTCCGAAAACCAACCTTCCATCTTGGGGCCGGACCGTGCTCTTGTCCGTCGTCATCTGTGAGAAAGGGGTCGTCCATAAATACTAAAGATCGTTAATTTAAAGACTTCTCGGGATATGATTAAGATATTACCATTAAGGGGGTGCAAGTCGAAATGAATTATCAACGACGGGTCTTCTCCAGGTCTAATCACTTCACGATATACTTCTGGGCTGTTGTTGTCTAGTCTCGGAGGATAAGCCATTCCTATACATGCTCTCGTAACTGATACGGCGAGTAGAACTTATTAGCAACACGGCGGGTTTACGCGCTGGATCTAGTAACTTACGACATAGGAACAGCCTCCATAAGAATCGACTGGGTATAAACTCTAGTTTCTTTCTATGATTAGGAAGATTCCTGTTATTCGAAACTGTCTCGTTTACACGGGTTAATAGCTCGTATAGTTCACATCTCTCGAAATAATCCATTATCATTAAAGCTGGGGACCCGTTGTCACCAATGTAATCGTTATAAAGACTTTCGTCCATAACCCAATCTGGCAACCAAATAAGTTGGGTAAAATGTTCACAGGTCGCAAACGTTTCCTAATGCTCTTGTTAAGGCTGACTTAGTTGGGTATTGTGGGTGGGATAGATGCAGTAGTACTCACGGACATCCAATTTATTTCTTGACGGAAATATGGATCATCTTCATCCACAGGCGCCTTGATCGCTACATCTCGTACACGCTGTCGATATTGATTTATTTCGCTCCACCGAGTCACAACCCCTGAACTCCCGAATCCTAAAACTTTACGAAACTCTAGATATCTCGCATTTTGAGAGAAAAATTGTCGCTGACGCTGATATGCATATTTCGCAGCATCAAACACTTCATTGAGTTCGGCTTGCCTGACTCGCATGAACGGTCGAACTAGACACATGAATGAATGTTATTATGATCCATTGTTGGGCGGGTACGGCAAATTGACATACGGACTGGCGTAGCCATAGCCTTTACTTCTCCCCCGAGAATTGATCCCGAAATACCTTGATCCAATAGTAGATGCAGACCGCATAGCAAATGTTCTAAGAGCACCAAAACACGGCATGATGATGGCAACACATGGCCAAGTGCTAATACAAGCGCCATTGTTTACGAATTGGCATTGAAACTGAAACATTAAACAAGACCAAGAAAGAACTGCTTTCGGAAGAAACAAAGATAATACTTCACAAGTCATCTTTGAGCTAGGAGTACAAAACCGGTGACAAAGACGATTCAAGTCAGGGGCCAACACAAAGTGGTAAAGCTCAATCAAAAAATAATTATTGCGTAAAATATATGTTTAGCTGTCTACTTCTGTGTCTACATAGGTACCTGATAGTCGTTTCTTATGAGGTGAACTATCCCGTAGGTAGACAGACTCACAGGGGCAATACGCCGGCGAGATAGAACTGGGGATAACAGTATCAATTTATCGACGGTCTTTTTATCTGTAAAGTTCTACGGATTATAACTGGGTTGATTAAATTTTATATAATTTTCCATTTCTTTCAATTAGACAGCTACGAATACACTATATTTGGTAGACTGGATGGTCAATTCTCCTCGGACTTAGTCAGCGCCAAACCGGCTCACTCCGGGTGCCGTCCGACATATGAGGTAGTAATCAAAATCAACTTCACGGTGTTTGAATCTCAATCGGGAACACGGGAATACCGAGTCGGTGAATTTATTACGAGCGGGATCCTGTCCTGACTGAGACCCCGAAATCCCGGGTTATCCCCGTGCCGATCCGTCGGTAGCAAGACGGCGTCTAGATCTCGAGCTAAAGCTTGCGCGGGGTTGTTTGTAAGTGCGCAATCCATTACGTATCGGCCCTCATCTTTTGCGACTCCTCATCTTTTTATAAATAATCGATTTACCCTCGAACAGTTTCTTCTAGTCAAATAGCAGCACATCGTTCTCATTACCGTTCTAAGAAGTATATCAAAAGTATATCAAAGATCCACAGTAAAGATGAGCAACCACCAAAGAATCAGCGTCCTTGACGTAAGTTTTTAGTACCCCCTATTAACCCATAGTTACTAACTAGTTCTTAAAGGAGACACTCGCTGATGGTCTACCAAGTGTTTCGAAGACGCTCTTCCAAGCTAAAGCTAGACACGGATATACGTTCGAGGAGCTTGCACAGAAACTAGGCCGCAGCGAAGTCGCGGTTGCTGCTTTATTCTATGGCCAAGCCCAGGCATCCGATGAAGATATCGAGAAGTTGACTGAAGCCCTCGGCCTCCAACAGGGGGAATTACACTCGCTGTCACTTGGTTTCCCCAACCGAGGACGTGCGGGACCAATGCCTCCCGTAGAGCCGCTCATCTACAGATTGTACGAAATTGTACAAAACTATGGATATGCTTTTAAGGCTGTCATAAATGAGAAATTTGGAGACGGCATCATGAGTGCTATTGCGTTCTCTACTAAGGTTGAGAAGGAGGTCGATAGTGATGGAGTCGCGTGAGTGCCCCGTGCACTAAAGAAAATAATACACACGGAAAACTAACCTGAGATACAGCTGGGTCAATATTACGCTCCGAGGAAAATGGTAAGTGAACTTCAATTCAGCACCATACATGTCGTTTTGAGGAAGTTACTTACATTGCATAGGCTGCCGTTTACTCGGTTCTGATTTGATGGTGCATGCGGTGGCGGTTCCATTTTGCTATACATTAGGTACATTCAACCCTATTTGGAGTGCGGTCGCATCATATAATTGATTAATTATATTAAGACTAGATATTTCATTATCCCCATCCATACCCTCAACGAACGCTCTTGGGATAATCGAATATAAGAGCTTTGCGGTTTGGCCTTCGGAAGAAACCGTGATGGCGGGGTTAAGCTGGAAATAGACATTGTCGATGTTCGATATCCAAATAAGGGGTATATTGAAAATAATCTCGTGAACTGATAAACATCTCGCTGAATACATCATTCATATCTGGGAGCCAACATTAGACTTCCCGCTCGTTAGAGATGGTTGGATTCCTGCTCGTGAATGACGGTGTCTTCTCTTTCTTATACCCTTCTCTCCAGAAGGGCTCCACTCCCATCTCCTGGAACCTTTTCACTTCGTAGTCCTTCGTGACTATCCAATTGCTAATAAAAATAACTAGAACTAATAAAAAGATACCCATGCCTGCCGCCAACGGTGCGATGATCGAAAACACCGTGAATCCGTAGCTCGCGTTCTGGAACGCCTCATCTTCTTGTAATCTTTCTACTCCTAGACCGACTTGCATCGCCGTTAGCACAATGACGACGTACCCAAGAATAGTCGCTAGGGCGGCGAAGTTATCGCGGATTAAATCGCCGTAAACGCTATGAGCTGCGATCTTGGAGTAACCGCGTAAGATGAAGCCTTTCCGTATTCGGTAGACCTTGTTCAACCGGCTTAGTCGGAGCTCGCCGTACCAGTACCGTGGGTTGACAGACGCATAGTCGTGGCCTTGTAGGATCTCCTTAGCGAAATCCTTCCATGCTTCCCATTCGATATAATAAGGCAGCAACCCTTTCTCTTTCGCGATGCGGAAGTCGCTTTGATACGCGATGAGAGCGGTGTAAGAGAAAAGGTAGCCCCGAGCGCATTTAGTGAGTTCGTCGTCTTGGATAATGTGAGCGGCCCAGAAATCAGGCTCGAAGAGATATGGCGGAATAGGTTTCAAGAATATGCGATTCTTTGACCACACGAGATGGAGATCTGGACTTTCGCTGATGGCGATGTCTCTTGAGAGGAGAATTTGGTGATGTAATGGTCGAGGGGGCATTGGGCGACCACATATCCAAAGCCAATCTTGTATATCATTCAACCTTTCGACAAGGAGTTCCCGCTTGAGGAAGTTCGTTTCCAGGTCGGGGACGACTATATGGTCATGTCCTGTACGATGCGAAGCCGGAAGTAGACTATTGAAGTCTGATGCCTGTTGCGACGCGCTGGAGTTCTCTCGTGACTTAAGCACTTGAGTTGTGAAGGGGATAGGCGATGTACCCATCGTCAACGATTATCACTTTAGCAGCCAGCCTTGAGGATGTCGGTATACACTTGAAATTGAAAAATATTTCCGTTTACCGTAGGATGACTTACGAGGGGCTATAGCACGCTAATATGACAATCTTCTACTCATATACATATAGGGTAATCAAACTATTTTATGTGGCATACACGCTCTGGCTCTGGTCGGGTGTCTATTTTAAAAGAAGTAAGCAGGGGTTAAAATGATCAGCATTCAGCCCATCGCGGGTCGACATGGGTAAAAATCTGACATTGGCTGCAACCCGCCCCCTTCCCCAGCACCTGGGTTTTAGGGTCGGGGATCGCACCAAATCTGAAATTAACACCTCGTTTCTTTTCCGCCTCTTTCTGCCTTAAGCGAGTACGTAAGTATACACTGCGAGCCTCGTCTATATTTTTCTCTAATCACTACAAGGAGATATGTGCGGTAAAAGCGTCAGTGGACGTCGAATTTTTCGGTATCCAGAAATAGTATTAGCCAAGAAAAGCTTACCCTACATAAGCTCCCTAGTATTTTATAATCTAAGAAATGATTGGTAACATCGCGTACCTAATGGGAGATAGCGAGCGACCAGATTATTCCGGCCTAAGACGAGGCTAGGCTGGCTTGACAGGGCTTAGACGATTTAAGCAGCATTTTTAGTGCTGACGGACTGACCCATGAAGCACGATTTGAGACGGAGTCTATCAGCCGCACAGGTTATACCATGCTCGCGTCATCACGTACCTAATTCGCTAGGCATGTACTTTCTTATGCTACCGGGTCCGAAAGGACTTTGGGACCATGGATCGTTCCGTGATCCTTGTCCCCCTGGAGACTTGGGTCACCTGTTGTCTGGCTTGGCCTATAACTCCCGTTGCCCCATCTCATCGGTGAGAAACCTCAACTTGAATCTCGTTGAAGCGTTTCGGGATCTATAGTCGTATCGCCATGTCTCTGCAACGCTCCGCGACGCGGAAGGCTGCCGCAGGGCCTGCTAGACGGAAGAAAGAATATGATATTGTACAACAAGGTGTCAAGGAACTTTACCCACTTGATAAATCTGGTGTCGAACCAGAAATCGAGTAAGTTGGAGAACATAAATATTGAATTTCGCTTTTCAGTTCTAACCTTTTCTAGCATCGTGTTCGTGCCCGGCCTCGGCGCACATCCGGAAGACAGTTGGAAATCAGAGAGCACGGGCTTCAACTGGACTACTGATGGACTAGTCAGAGATTTCCCGCGGGCTCGTATCCTGCTATATATGTACGAGTCAGCATGGACTGGTTCTCTAAAGGTGAAGCAGTTCATGAGCAATATTGCCATGACCTTACTTAATGGGTTGAGGAGTAAGAGAGAGGTAAGCTAATCCCCGTATGTATTGCCTGTGTGCTCTAGCTTACATGAGATGGTAGGGTGCCGTACAACGACGTCCAATCGTGTTTATTGGCCATAGTATGGGAGGTCTGGTAGTTGCGAAAGCGATAACAATCGCCGACTCGCGAAGAGATAGCTTTCCTATGATGTTTGAGGCCATCGCGGCGGCTATCTTCTTCGGTACACCTTTCAATGGAGCACCAGTTGCTTCTGTCGCCGCCATGTATGCATATCTTGCCGAGAAGGCTGGCACAGCGACCAGTTCCAAGCTCTTAGACTTAATGAAGCCTGGCGACGAGGGTCTTCGTGAGCTTAAGCACGAATTTATGCGCCTTGTGGGAAAGCTAAACCCCAAGATCGACCTACAATGTTTCTATGAGGAGCAACCGACCGATTTTGGTAAGATGGCTGGTTTGCCCGACCTCTTTGGCATGAGTAAGCTTGTCATCCCGAAATCATATGCCGATTTTGTGAGTCGCGACTCTGCGACACTTCCGGGTGTCGAAGAACAAGGCCTGGCGCGTAACCACCGAGATCTTGTCAAGTTCGATGGCCCGAAAGATGATCAATGGAGTCAATTTGTGAAGGATCCTTTGAAGAGGATAATCCATGGTGCTCAATTGGCAGTCAAGAATCGCCTGAATTCCGTTCGCGATATTGATCGGAAAATGATCAAAAACATCATGAAAACTTTAGATAGCGCACAGGTGTCCACGAAACGCAGAGCCCTAGAGCAAACGTTTGCGTCATCCTCCTGGATAACGAAGGAAGAAGAGTATAAACAGTGGTTATCCGATGAGACCAAGACGGATGACGGGGCTAATACATCTCACGCTGCTGATTGTCTATGGATCCGAGGACCAGAGGGTCGAGGGAAAACCAGTGCATCTTTGGCAACCATTGATGAGATCGACAGGACCAAGGACACGGATTCAAACCAGGGCCCGGTCTTGCTTGCTTATTTCTTTTGCGAATCGACCACAGATTATTGTACTGCCGAAGACGTTCTCAAGAGCATCGTGACTCAATTAATCGACCAACAGGAGATGCTCGCTTCTTACGCCAAACTATATACTAAGAAGCGAGGCGAAGGGAACAAAGCGCAGGTAACTGTAGAGAACTTATGGCAGACTATCCAGGATATGCTCATAGACGAGTTCATCGGCAGTAAGGTTATATTCGTGCTCAATAACCTGCACGTGCTTCCCGAAGATTCAGATTCTACTATCAAGTTGATGAAGTACTTGAACGCCGAGCTCCAAGGTGTCAATAACACGGATACGAAGCGGGTCCCAACAAGATGGATGATCACGAGCAGAGAAGCCCATAATATTGAGGAGGCACTCAAAATTGAGGGTGTCCGTCTTGTTGATCTTGAAGACGAGAAGTACGGGAACCAGGTTCAGACGGCATTGCGAAAGCGGGCTAAGGAGCGAGTCACTACGCTCGAGAAGGAGAAGAACTACAATAAGGCGCTTGCGTATTTCGCAAGCAGTCTCATCGGAAAACGTGCGCAAAATACCCAGTGGATTGACATCACATGTGTTCAACTTCAAGAACTTCCAGAAGCCGAGAGCGATCTCAAAGTGCGCCGAATACTTGAAAGAATGCCCCAGGATCTAACGACACTCCTGAACAATTCATGGCTTCAGATATTTAAAGCCAATGAAGCCGAGGTTGAGAAGATTAAGGAGATGCTACGTGCCCTTGTCCTTACATACGAAGACCCTACGGAGGAAGAGCTTGGTGTACTTGCTGGGTTTTCCTCAAACGAAGAGGAGAAAGCTGAACTCCGTAAATTCGTGGAGATGTGTAAGCCACTGCTAGCCATCAAGCGGGCAAATAATACCATTTCTTTTATGAACGTCGTGGTTAAAACACATCTCCTAGAGAATTCCAAGCAACTTCTCGGCATGTCGGACGAGGAGAAGAAATGGCAACATGGTGTTCTTGCACTCAGGTCATTCTCGCATGTGAACGAGAGCTTCAATTTTCCTAGTCAAGAGGAAACCGCTGAGAGTGGCGAAAATGGCGATTCGGCTGGGGAAGATCAAGACGGAGATGAAAATGAAGAAGAAGAGGAGGAGGACGAAGAAGATGATGATGACGAAGACGACGACGATGATGAGTATGATAGCGAGAGTGAACCAGATAGCCAGGATGACGTAGACCCCGAGGCCGATATTCTTCGCGACCTAGCCCGTAAGTCCAAATCCCCAATCCTGCACCATTTTCCACTCCTATAGATAAGTTATCCGAAGCATCCGAACAGCTTGGGTGAAGTTTGGTCTCAACGAACAACCGCTAACTTTTACCATTACAGTACCATACACAGTCAAGTATTGGCTACGCCATGCTAGTAAAGCCACGCGTGAAATTGCCGAGGACTTGAGCCTAGAAGAAGATTTCTGGAAGTCCGATTCAAAGATACGACATCGCTGGCTCGTAGAATACTGCCGTATGACTAGCACCTTCGACGGGTTTGACTACAAGACGTTGACAGGGTTACGTATGTACTCTCCTAGCCTTCCTATCTATTCTCATCAGGGATGGGGTTTGCTTGTGCACACGCAGACATAGATCAGCAGGCTCTCCTAACTCATACCCATCCACTACCAGTAACGATTGCTGACTTTAGTGGCCACAGATATTGCTGCTTCCGTCGGATTTAGAGAACTTGTTGCAGCTTTAATCCGAAATGGCTACGAAGACCAGATTAAGATCCGCGATTCATTGATTAATACCCCAGTTAGTATAGAACAGTTTCTTACTCTAGTTAACGTTTGTTAATCTCGTGTTTAGTTGCACTTTGCGGCTTACTTCGGACGACCTAAAATCGTCGAGGAGCTCCTGAATAGAGGTGCCGCGATTGATGACGGAAATGAAATCCAAGAACAGACACCTTTGCACATGGCTGCTTTTGGGGGTCATATCGAAGTTATGAAGAAGCTCCTCTTGAGAGGGGCGGATGCTAATGCCATGTCTAACGATATTGGTCCGGTATTAAATGCGGCAATATCCTCGGGAAATCGAGCATGTGTTGAACTCCTCATCGAACGCAATGTCTCGTTAACGGTTGACCGCGCAGACATCAACGCGCCTCTTGCACTGGCCGCATTATTATCCGACTTCTCCATGTTCGAGTATCTGATCGAAAAATATGCGGATAAGTTACCACCCGAAGAGTACAGCAAGGCATTTGTCATGGCTGCGGAGGCAGGTCGGCTTGAAGTTTTTAATAGGATGCTTGAGTACGAGCATACCCAAAAATACTTCCAGTCTGCTCTTGATTCGGCCGTTGGTGAAGGGAATTGGGACATCGTTACTATCATTCTAGAAAAATGCGAAGGGCTTAATGTTGACCAAGCCTTCTACCAAGCAGCCACGGGTACAGAGCAGCAAGATAAACTCCTTGAAGCATTCTGGAACTATTCTGGCGGCACGATTAGCCCGGATACACTCAACCATTCCCTCTACGATGCTACCGATAATAAAAAGGAGTCCACTGTGAAGCTGCTTCTCGAAAAATTTAAAGCGGACCCTAATGCTACCGGCGAGGTGTAAGTCCTCAACTATGACCATTATGAAGTTCAACTTGCTGACGTATATAAAGATACGGCAATGCTCTAACCGCTGCCGCTTATGATGGCACGATGGAGATTATCCAAATGCTTCTTGATTCCGGTGCCAATGTCAATGCGCCAGAGGGATGGGCCCTTCAAACAGCCGCTACCGAGGGCCATCACGATGTCGTTGTAGAACTTTTAAAGCGCGGTGCCGAAGTGAACGCCTTCACTAACAGCTCATATTTCGAGCCGGGTACTGCTATTCAAGGGGCGTGTGAAGCAGGCAAAACTGGTATCGTTTCCCTGCTTCTTGAACACAATGCAGATCCCAACCTCGGAGGAGGTCGTGATGCACCGCCAATCATTGCAGCCGCCCTTCGCGCCGAAGAGGATATTCTTGAGCTTTTAGTTAAAGCGAAAGCTCATTTAGATGTGCATGGCAGCGGAGGTTGCCCATCAACACCGCTTAGCTTGGCTGCCGCCTACATGCCTCTATCGTCGCTCCAGCTGTTACTTGACGCAGGCGCCGACATCAATCTCCCAGATAAAGACGGGAATACCGCCCTTATTGAAGCTGCATCTAAAGGCGATGAAGAGGCTGTTTCGTTCTTGATGAACGGCGGCGCTGACATTATGCAATCAAATAAAGACGGTGGTAATGCCCTACAGTTGGCATTGGCCGCTGATAACGAGGAATGCTTGAAAGTTCTCGTCGATCATGTTTCGAAATTGTTAGGCGCTCTCAAAAATGCTATGGACTCTGGCAACAACGCAATCACCAGTGTCGTACGGGGTGCGTTTAACAAAGAGCAAGAACTCAACTATGATGATGAACCTCAAGTAACTCCAAGGAATATTGAGTCGTCTGAAACGTCGGTCAACGATGTCGCGGATAGGCAACACGACGAAAAGGTCGAAGAAGCTCCTGTTGTTTCCGATGAAAATGATATCAGAAGTTCTATTTATTCTAACGAAGCGCCATCCCCCGACGACGACGACGGCGACGACGACGACCATGCAGCCGAAAATGATACCCAGGATACAGGCACTTCTGACGAACATTCTTCATTTGACCAGATTTCTGAAAGGCTTAAATCTGCTATAGCCAATCAGGCAGCGCTATGGAACGAATTTACGACCACCCGGTCCACAACACCCACAGAGGTTGGCCAGCCCACCTATCAACCCAGCGGGAAAGGCGATGTAGAAGCTTACCATCCTGACGGCCAAGCCGAGGAAAATATTCCTCATCGCATAGAAGTCGAGCAAGAGCCCCAACAAACGACCTCAGATCCATTGCCGATCGAACTTCCTACCCACGAATACATTAAGAGGAAGCCAACACCCAGTGTCTCATATGATAACCAAGCCACATATAGTCAATCGTACTCCTCAGGACCCTCTCAGTCGTCAACCAGTCACACCCAGGCATCTATAGAGACGAGGACGTATGGCCAACCCATCACCGCATACCGGCCTGATCCAGCTGCCGCTTCTCAACAACCTCATGAAATCCCTCCGTATCAGAACCCACAGAGTCAGACCATGCAACCAGATTCGTCCGTATCTTATCAGCATACCCATGCATATACGCAAAGCCAGTCTGCTCAAATAGCAGCACAATATCAGAGTTCGGCCCCGTATCAGCCTAATAATTCTCCATATAATAATACAAATCAAGTTGATGCAACTCAGTCTCAACCGTCAACAACCCAGTATCCTACCAAACAATCTACTTACGCTGCGTATAATCCAGATACACATAGTCAGCCGCAGCAAGGGTCGGCGCCGCAGCAATCTTACAACCCCAACAACCCAATCCAGGCATATCAAGGACAAGCTTACCAGCCACAAGACTGGCAGCAACAGTATCAGGGGTATTACGGAAACGCCCAGAACCAGCAGTATACCGGTAGCGCGTACGACGGCTCCGATTGGGAACAAGGTCGCCCGCAGCTCAAGCCGCAGCGGTCATCTTTCTTCGGAAACGGGATGAAGAACACGCTCAACAAGACGAAGATTATGGGAACCGGTATATTTAACAGGAAATGAGTAATAGATATAATAATGTCTGGGATTTGTATAACAGGTTAGCGTATACGATTGGGTGTTTCGTGACGGAAAATGAGTGTGTACTATTAGCTTTGGTGTTAGGAGGAACCCGCTATGTATGTTGGTCATCTAGAAATATCCGAAAGGCTAAATAGTATTAGCAAATTGTCAACTCATTACAGTACTGGCTACCTACCGACATACAACGTGTACGATGATTGGTCTATTTGACGATGATCGTGCTATGGAGATTCCCCGTTGCATAGTTGAGCATTTATTTGGGGGAGCAGGTTAATAAGAGTTAGCCGCAGCTCCTGGGCGAATATAAAGTAAATCAGGATTCTCGATAATTCAGTTACGTATCCGGAATATTTCAAAACGTTGTTAAATCTGAAACGAGAAATTTGATGTAGTTTGTTTATGTCCTCTGATATTAGCATGTAGCATGCATTAGGTTAGGCATTTACCTCCTTGCCAGTTGATTACTAGTACACATCACAGGAATATGGGATGATATCTATTGAGTTAGGAATGCCTGCCTATCAACAATAAAGTTTCAGGTACCCAGGTATATCTGAGCAAACATGATGATGTCGCCGATGGGTATGTAATACGTGGATTGGTAAAGGTGCAGCCCTAATCAACCTGTATGACCTAAGTTATCATGCTAAAATTCTTTCGAGATATGTAGGTACCTAGGGAATTTTAGCACTAGCCTTTGAGTCAGTAAACTGCCAAACATATGATATTAGCATCCATTTGGACTCCCGAGTGTTTGGTTACCGTAGTAGTCATTAGTTGCACGGGCTTCAGGTGGTAACTGCTTGAGCAGGTGGCCTAATCTTTTTCTTGAGCATACCTACCCACCGAAGAGTTGATACCTCGAAGGTACGCACACACACCGAGAAACTGTGTACGTGCACCTTCCTACATATACAAACACGTCTCTCTGTTTAGCCTCTTGAGTCGACGAGTTTTTCCTGTGCACGACCTCTGCATACATAACACTCTCTCCTACGCGACTCTCCTCCATACCAAATTCTCTTTTCTACACAATCCAATCCCCAAATTCTATCACAACCACAGCATTTCACTTCAGAGAGTTTTGACCTCAATTACCAAACCTGAAAGCCTGCACAATTTCCCTGAAGCTGCACTACACTATAACGCGTCAATCGTGGACCGTAGAATTGTAGGTATCTCTTTGAAGCACCTTATATATGTTTTTCTCGTGTCGTGCTTTTACAACACGCACAACACGTAATATTTATTTTGAGGAAACAATTTCTAATGCTCTACCTTCAGCATTCACAAAACCTCACCGTCCAAGTCTTCTTTCCGTTTCGACATGACTAGCCCCAATTCTTGGGAGGACTGCAGAACAGAGAAAATGTTGCCGGAAGATCAACTCAAAGAGTCTCTTTACGAGCCCTACTCTTGTAACTTCGATGTAGGAACACTGGATACCCCGTTAGACAACGAGCCTTTCATGCCTGTCGAAATGCATGACCAGGTTATTGATCCCCCCCATCAGAACACCAATGAATTCGATACCGCCTATCCGGAGCACATGCTTAGCAACTACATGTCTGAAGAAACTTTCAATCATAATAATTTGGAGAACCTTTCACAGATCAATTACTCCAATCTTGCTTGCCCTATTTACAAACCCGACCACAACCCTGACCACACCCACATTGGCGGCACGTCAGATTACGAGCGGTACCATGCTAAATTCTTTGATATGAACTCCGAACCTGAGTCGGAGGACCCTGTACCGGGACCTGTGCAAGAGCCTGTGCAAGAACCTGAGAAGTACCGTCAGTACCCGGAGGCTTTTATGGATCCACGCCTTTTCATGCACGATCCCCCCTCTTGGGTCTACCCCAAGCAGGAAAACAACGGCCCCGATCTGCTATCAATGCCACAACCAAGTTCCCCGGGACTCATTCAGAACATTCAGTCTATGGGTGAGTTACTAGTTTATCACATTATAATGCCATACAGATAAGCTAATAGCCATGCAGAGCCTTTGTTGGCGGAGCAGTCTTGGGTTTCCTATGTAACACCAGCGCCCTACACTGAACCGATGTCCTACCCGGAACCGTCCTACACAGGACTAAGACCCCGTGCTGAGCAGATGTCCAATGCACAATCTGCATTCCACATGAACCCGGTCTTGCATCCTAAACCGGTATCTTATTCGGAATCGATGTCTTATCCGGCACCCGTCTCTTATCCAGATCCCGTATCTTATGTGGGGCCAGTCTCTTATCCGGAGCCGATATCTTATCCAGAATCCGTATCTCCCCCGGCATCAATGCCCTATAAGGAAGCTGTAGTCCGGCCCCAGCCCCGGCCACTGGAAGGCAATAGCTCACATCCCTTCCGTCTGCGTCCCGACCCCATCACCATGCCTGCTACCCCCCCTCCCGGCGCTTGTGTCCAGAGCCCCAAGTATGACAGTTACTACTTCAATAAGGTTCCTGCAATGCAGTACGGACAGAGAGTGGGGCAGTTTATTTCCGAATTTCAAGTTCGCTCTAAGACCCCCTGCGCCGAACCGGTGGTCAACAGCCCTGGACGCAACCAGCGCCAAACGAGCCTATCCCCGGAAGAGCGCCTGAGGAACGCATTCTAATACTTTGGGGGAGAAACGCAATGTGAATGGTACGAGAAGGATTGCATGTACCAGGAACATTGTGATAAGGGGAGGATTTCGATTTCTTTACGCTAGGTTTGCGTTGTGTTTACCAACCTATACATTTGATCGCGAAATAGGATCGCGAGAAGGGATGATGGGATGGCTGATGTACAGTGGATCACCATATGGCCTCCGGTGATGTTGCATACAGCAACAATGGTTGTGCATTATTGATTTCTCTTGTCTCTCTTTACTGTTTTTCTTTCCTGGGGTTTATGGAGTTCTCTTTTCTTTGCAAGGTGGTTAGGCAAATGGCGCCGAACCAAATGATTACCCAGACAAGAGGATACCCATGTTTAGTACTCACGAAAGTGCGATGCTTTTCGTTTCTTACTCTTCAGCCATTATTGTACTTGCGGGTGATGGTCACTATTCCTGTTGCACTATCCTGCACATATGGCAGATGCGATGTTCTTTTCTGTGTATTTATAGTTGACAATAGATTTCTTTAACCGAACAACGTGATCCTCCTGTCCCATTCCTAAGCTAGAGTATTTAAACTCAGCAGGAATCATACGCTTATACCTATTATTTGCCTTGAAATTTTATGAGTTTGGTAAGCGTGAGTATTAGCCAGATGGGGATACAACTGGAAATCTAAGTATATTACGACAATATTAAACCAAATACAAGCCATTAATGTTTTAATGCCCCCTTAGTTAGTATCTTAATGGGAAGTAAGAATCAAAGGAACTAAACTCAGCATATATAAGATTTTTAGATAGAAATAGCCTAGCACGATACCTTCTCAGCAGTTTGAAGTTTGAGATAACTAGGAACTTAAAAGATATAATAACCAAGTTTCTAGATATTAAAACTAATATCAATAACATCATATTGGAAAGCAAGCATGATATTTGCTATATATCGAACACTTCTCGTTTACCACCGGAATCAGTTTTCCCACTTTCATGTCTTCAAACTTTGCTCGGTACGATGTATATATTAGGTGATCTCTTTCGTAGTTTAAATGCCTTTTGAATTTCCATTCATTCTAGAGCAGATAAATTTCGTTGCATTTTTGTAATAAACAGTATTCACAGTAATGAGCTGCTTATTCTAGCCACCGTTGGTAGCATATCAAGTTTATTGACCTTTTGGAAATAGCCATACCGCTTTAATATACTCTAGCCCACAGTTTCAGGGGTAGTGGCTTGGGGGGTGAAGCACCTCCTCCACCTGTACCTGGGTGCCCGGTACATGTATCACAGATCTAGCCCTACTCAGTGAGCTCGCTGAATTACCTACTTCCCTATGAGCTAAGCATCTACCTACCTTGTCGGGTGCTCTATACAGTATACATACCATGGCTCAAGCTTGCAACTTTGATGATACACTATTATATACACTCAGATCTTTTCCCTCCTATGTGACTGATCGTACATAGTACATGAAAATATTAGCTATCATTTGTCACCACCATCAAACTCCCATCCACGCCTTGGCCAACGCGTCGAAAATGCCCATTCAGATTGACTCAGGGACGTTACTACATAGTAACGTACCTTTGGGCAGGTGGTCCTAGCAGGCCCACCGGACGCAAACAAAACAGTTATCATTATCACTAGGTTAGGTCCTTACGCACCCTCATCGTACCTATGTACATATTATGTTCGTACCTACAGTTGTACCAGTGACTCCTAGGGTAATTTTCACTATCATCTATGTGCATTGGCCCCTCTCAATGCTATATAAGTATCTGATGCCTCTCACCTCTTCATCTTCTTTATCTTTCCTTTCTACATCCCAAACACAAATGAACAGTCCATTAGAGAACAATCTTTCTACTACTTTCATCTGTGCAATTCAACTCCCACACTTGGAGTTCTTACCTTACTCGGGATATCGTCTCACTATCAAATAAATCAACTACTCGTATACACCCCCTCATCACTACTCTTTCGACAAGACAAAGTGCTGCCCTGCTCTCAACAATAACGAACAAAATGTCGGGTCATCGTAAGAAAGGGACGCGAGAGAACCCTATCTCCCTTGATGACGACAAGCCTGTTGCGAAGACCCCAACCCTACGCGAAGGTGGAAAAAGCCACACAAAGACAAATCTCAAGTCAACAACCGCCTCTTCTCAGCAAGGCCGAGGTGAGGGTATGTCGAAGTCTTCTACCCAAAAGAAGCAGAAGAAGCAGTCGGCTTTTCTTTCGGAATCTAGCGACGATGACTATTCTTCTACCATGAGACAAACCCGCCAACGTAAGTCTTCGATATCATACATTAATATTTATGCAAACTAGCCAATTACTAATATCCTGTCTCTCAGCCTGGAAGTTCGGTCCGACTGACGAGGAGTTCTTTGCTTTGGAAGATCGTCCGCGAGGTAGTGGAGACTACGGTGCACATATTCTCCGCACAAAGTTGCGTAACGGAACAGAGGAGGCTGAAGAAGAAACCTTCGACATTTCGGATGAGGGCCTACTGTATGAGGAAACGGATTCTGATGGGGAGGATCAACCTAAAAAACGACGCAAGAACCAGAAGGGACCCGCACAGAAGCGCCAGAAGCCTACTCGAAAGCCTCACATCAGCAGTTCAAAAGCAATGGATCACTTAATGGCTCGAGTTACTGATAAAAGCCGACGGGATGAGTAAGAAGAAAGGTTCCTAGAGTGTCTTAGAGCCTAATGGATGGGTGAATAGGTATTAGGAATAGCTCTATAGATTGTTGACAGAGCTACGGTATAAAGAGATATTCACACCAAAGATGCCGTAATGAGTCAATTTGGTACCATCTCGTGATAATTGCGATCTCACTCAACTACCAGAGACTTATTGCAATTTAAAATGTTTCATTAATGGGAAGTTACCTAATTCTTACCTAAAGGAAGTTGCTGTAGTAGATCTTTTTAGTCCACAGGGGAAGGTAAGAGGGCTGGGGACATGTATCATAATACGTGTACCTTCCTCGGAAAGTTGCAAACTACCTTGGCGCAATTGCCTTGCCGTAACTGCCTTGTCGTAACTGCCCTAAGTACCTGTTCACAGTATAAAATGTGTCTGTTACTGGGGCAATATTTCGAGTCTTGTTGGCGCGTGCACCGCGGAAGGCCGTTCCTGCCTTTGAATGTGCATTAAACCTCGACCCTACTCTGGTATAAATATCCGGCCCTCCTGATCCTTTTTCACATTTCTATCTTCTCGGTTTCTTTTTTGTTTCTTCACCACATAACCAACATTAACATAACACATTAACATATCCTCTACTAAATCCTAAATCACCTTCAACCAGTTAAAGCACGCAACAGCAGCATGTGAACACTTAAGGTTGCACTACACCAACAACTAAACATATCCTAAATACACCACAATCAGCAAAGAAACCTACACCATTAACTTCGGTCTCCATTAGGAGTCTCTCATAACTGCTTACTCTCAACCCGATAGCCCTTGTCCTCTTTATAGCCCCACGTCAGGGGCGACCCCTGCAACGGACAGCACAACCAAGGGAGTAAACAGTAAGTACTAAACCTAGTGGAAACAATACATCATAATCTAATTCACATTAACAGATGATATTAATAACTGGGTGTGGTACATTCTTTACGCGACCTGCTCAGGATAGCCAGTTGTGGAGGAAACTTTGCATGGCGTACGACGACATTCAAGCCAACATCCAACGTCGTCCACGTCCTTGAGACGGGTCTAGATTTTGATTTCTACACATTAAGACGCGCTTTAAAAGCTTTATTTCAGCCAGTTGATTTCGGTCTCCCTTCCACCCTTAAAATTATCCTTACTCTATTCAACCAGAAAATCCTACTTATCATTATTGCAACTATTTTTGCAACCCATTATTATCTTTATATTATTCCCTAACATGGATCAAGGTATGTATCCTAGCCCGAACAAGTTGCTATACCGTTACTATGTATAGATTCGCAGCTGACAATTTATTTACTTCCAGGAGACTACTAGATAACAACCCCTGATTTCAATGCACCCCTGGGCAGCGTCGACGCCGTCCACACCGTTTCCGAGGATGGTCAATAATATATTTGCAAATATATAACTGTGTCAACACTTAATCACCATGGCTGCCTGCTATGCCTAGTTGACACCATAGTTACACTTGCAAACCCACATATTAATCCACCTACCAACAGCCATTACCGTTGCGCGTGGGCCGGATTTCAGAGGGCCGTGTTCACGTGGGCGGCTTGCACGTGGATGGATTGTAAATGGACGGTTAAAGGTTCACCTCAGGAGTTAGCTGAGGCTTTCATCGTTTGAGATTCGCAAGACCGGTGGGATCGTGGGCAGGTATGGAACAGTATGGTTGGGAATTGGCGAAGGGAGGAGATCACAGTGGACAATAGGACATCCAAAAGGTATTCATTATCATTATAAGGTACACCACAACTTAATAAGTAAATTACTATGAACTGCAGTTCGCTATACAGCCCTGATGGGCCATTCAAACAAATAAACAATTCTGCCAATCCGAATGCCAGAGTCCTTAATAACCCAATACAGATGGCTGTAAAGTATCATTCTACAAACTAGCATTAATACAAACGAGTAGTTATACTATTATAATTCGGGAATCCATTCTTACGCATGATTTCACAGGAAAGCGGTTAAGTCATAAGATTCTGTAAAAGATTCAACCCAGTTGGCCTTCGACGTTATTGGAAGGTCATTATGGAAACCGACCTAGATGCCCATACCCTGACAGTATGCTGTAAGCATACCGAAGTTGGCGAGCAAAAGAGGACACTCCCAGTGCTTGCAGCGTTCTTTCTCTCGGACTGCAAAATATGACGACTCTACCTAACACCTAACATTATGGATGAAATGTACGATCAACTCCGGAAATCCCTATTTGCGGGACACGATACTACTAGTATCCCGTTATCATGGCCATTCTATGAGCTCTCTCGTATGTAGTTATCTCAATGCCAGAGATTCTAGGGTTCTAGGAACTGCCATGATGAATAATACCATTCCTCTAAGTCGCCATGATTCCCATAGAAGATTTCCGTGACCGTGTATCGCAATAGGGAGAACAACGGCGATTTGCTAACTCAAATAACCGGCTTGTTCTTGCTATGAGCCTTCCTATTGCGATTGCTATAATAACATATCCGAAAATCAGTTTGAAGTAATAGGAAACATCCAACCAAGTTTTTGTTCTATGCTAACTTCAAAATATTCCTTCTACAAACAGATGACTACCTAGGTAGGTAGTTAAATACGTGGTAAACATATTATTTCTTAAACAAGCTACACAATAAGAAAATCTTAATTACACGAACTTTAAAGAAAGAACGAGTCTACGTGATTCCAAAATTAATGTTACCGGATTGTAGACATTACGTCTCAAATAATGTAACGGAGTACTACGATTATTCTTTAACATATAGTAATGTATAGTTAGGTATAGGCGTAGGTAGCTCCTATTTCAATACTTTCACTCGTGTTTACTGTAAGTATTTAGATTCAATTCTTCCCAAGCTTAGCAGGACGTAGGGTTGTACAAGGTATAGAAACTGCAGTTAAATTTCTTCCTTTGGCATGTTTATTACTATGTCTACCTAGGTAAGCAATCCTTCATCAGCAAACCAGTAGGGAAACTTGAGACAAATATACCATTGGTTCAGCATATGACTATTAGCCCAAGGTATATATTTCGCAGGTTCAAAAAGATGTAAGTCTGAGTTTCTTGAGAAATATACTACCGAAAGCTCCGTTCTAACACCATTCTCATCTTAAATTCAGATATCACCGATAACTATAAGGTTCATATTCTATAAACTATCTCCTAAACGAGCTCCTGTAAAAACCCAACCACAGAAACTAAACTCGCTCTGATGTGCCGAGATATGGCCAATGTAGTGTACATGATAGATATCATTCTAATCTCCTGAATTGTAAGGGATTGATGGTATCCAAGCCGACTCTATACAGAGTGATCGTTGTCCAGTATATTATTACGTGTTGAACCTATCGATATCGTGGACATAGGAAATAATGACACTCCTGCAAGGGTCAAACACTAAATAGAAACATTGACTATCGCTAAATTTGGGCATTTCGGGCTTCTATTTATTTTCTATATTACTCATGACAACACCTACTCCTCCTTCGTCACAGATCTATCCCTACTGAGTGAGCTGGCGAGCTCCTTACTTAATTACCTTAACATCTACAAGGTGAAAATTTATTTTACGTACCCAAGTACTATAGCTCAAACGTACAGTTGTTTAGTTCTGAGTATCCCCGTATGATTGATAGTCATCATTCCTAGGTACCCACTGGTCGAGTCATCTTATCCATAGTCAGCCAAATGATTCCTTCGAATACGGTACGTATCTGAAATACTCTGCAGAAGTAGGTACCTAGGTACCTACGTATAAACGTTCGTAATCGTGAGTTGTTCAAATCGGGTAGCTGTTAGTACTGACTGTTTATAATAATCACTGACGATAGTACCATAGGTACGAACCTTCCTTACAGTCATCCAACAACCTACCTTTGCAAACTTGTGACATACTAGTCTAGTACTTAGGTACGTAACCCTTTACAAACCTCATTGCCACCTCATAGCAACCTGTCTGACCCACTATGTCTAACAGACTTCTAATAAGCCTCCTGATTCATTATGTTTGCCCCCCTCGATATGCGATTCCACCGTCGAGTCGGCAGTTAGCTTGGTCCATGCACACGCCTTGAGCTGGATACCTCGTAGCAAACTTCTCCATTTCCATAGCAATAGGTAGTATACATGTCATGGTACCTACCAACCTAGGTGTTGGGTTCGTACGTACCTAGGTAGGTACGTAGGTACGAACATACCGATAGGTGGTGCGTGCAAGCCTCTAGAATTCTATATAAACATCGGGCATCCCCCAGTCTGTAATTCAATTCTACTTTTCCTCTTCCATCTCAAGTCAACATAACTTGCCTCACAATCAAAGTTGAACACCACCAAGACTCAACCTTGACTACAAGCACAAGAAACACTTGTGCAACCACAACAACATTCTTCATCTTCCATCATTCGAGGATACACTCAATCATCTGTCACCATGCCTCGTGACAAGAGCCTCCGAGATGACGATGTCTTTGCGCCTTCTAAAGGACGCCGAGGTATGTATACTCAATGGTTTCCCGTACCCGAGTTAACAAATTTTCTAACAATACAAGATGGCCGGACCAAGTCACTGAAGCACCCAAACTCTGAAGACTACGATGGAGCACAGCGACTCGGCAAGAAGCAGAAGCACGGCCAGGGACCAACTCCCGAGATCCTCTTCTGGCCTAACCCGGACTCTGAGTATTCTGAGGATGAGAAGCCTAAGAAGAAAGGCAAAGGCAAGAAATCCAAGTACGACAGCGACTCTGACGCCGTCTACTCCGATGATGAGTTCGACAAGCCTCGTCGTGGCCGGAAAGTCAAGGAACCGACTCCGGAGATCCTCTTCTGGCCTAACCCAGACTCTGAGTATTCTGAGGATGAGAAGCCTAAGAAGAAGGGCAAAGGCAAAGGCAAGAAATCCAAGTACGACAGCGACTCTGACGACGTCGACTCCGACTCCGACTCCGACTCTGACTCGGAATTCGAGAAGAAGAAGTCTAAGGGCAAGGGCAAG